TTTTGGAGATAAATAGACTTTCTTTTGCTAACTGTATCCCTTTAACTAAACCACACTAAGCCTATTTCCTCAAAGACTGAGGTACCCTGCAGAATAATTATGAGGATTAAATGAGTTGCCCAAAAGCAGCAGTTCTTATTAAGATGAGATTCGCACCTGGAACAGAGATGTTCCACAGGAGCCTCCTGAGATGTAAATGACCATCTGCAGTCAGAGGACCCCTGACTGGTGAGAGACCAAAGAAGTATTGCTTCTTGAGCTCCATGTTGAGATAAAAGAAACAAACCTCAGAGCAGGAGAGGACCAGGAAATATAGGTAGACAATGGAGAGCATTAGAATACAGCGAAATTCATTACGCCTCTCATTTACTAGCTCTGTAATTCCCCTTATCTGCTCCTTTCTACACAGACGAGTACAAATGTTTAAAATAAGAAACACTATGAACTTCAGTTCAGGCTCAAACTGGAAGAGAGTGGGTGAGATGAGTCCCATCTCACAATCCATCCTGGGAGGAGAAAAACCTCTGGAAAGAAGAGAGGGAAGTATGCTGAATCCTATGGGCCTGCACAGAAAAAGGGTGAGGGAGAAACTCTGAAAATATGACTCATCACTGCAATGAGGCACATTAAAGTCTTTAACATTTCATTCATTTCCAAGGGAGTTGTACACCCAAAATGTGATCCAGATACAAAGAGCAACTGTGAATTTCGAAGGTTTCATGCTAGGCATGGAGAGATGGCAAGGTTTAGATGAATCTGAGGGGGTAAGGGCATGACCAATGAGCAAAGATCAGGACACAGAAAAATAAAGTCAGCTCTCCTGGGATACATCCATTTGTGTGGAATTGATGAGAACAGAGAAGGAAGATGAATGGGAAAGTGACTAGAGAATAAGCTGTGACGGTGCTTGAATGCTAGGATAAAAACCACCTTTGCTCTTGTCAATGAAGAGCCACTTCAGGTTCTCAGTAAATAAATAAATAAATAAATAAATAAATAAATAAATAAATATGACAACAGTGAAGTTAATTCCTGGAAACTCTTCAGGATAATTTCTAATGAATCTGAGAGGGTAATTAGCCAGAACATTCATTCCTGAAACATAATTAACATTTACAGCCCTTGGCGTTTATGAAGTACTTTTCGTACATCTACTTTCATTTTATTCTCCCAAGAAGTGCCAGAATCATTGGTTAGTCTTAACCCCATTTTATAGCAGAGAAGCATGAATGTATCACACAAGGGCCCAACAGGGAACAGAGGGAAAACTCAAATTAGAGTCATTTAAAGAGAGTTTATTTACAAGGGGTTATAAAAAGATAGAGAAGTGTAGAGGGTCAGAAACCTGGAGCCAATAATAGTGGAAATCTGTAACCACTCCCAGGCCGGGTGGGGTGAGGAGGGTGAGTTCACAGGAACCAGGGAGGAAAGAGGCGTATAAAGAGGATTGCCCTGAGATGAGCAGTGACCTTTGGTAGTAAAATTTCAACAGTCCAAGGCAGCCTCCTCCCAGGGAAGAGCCAACGGAATGAATACTCTGGTTTTGTTCTCTGCCCTCCTCTCTCGTGTTCAAGGTCCCATAATGCCAGGGGTCTTAATCCAGCATCTAGAAGGGTTCAGGAATCTGGAGAAGGTGCTGTGTAAATTAATCAAGAGTCCAGAGATGAAACATAATTCTGAAGGCATTTGGGAGGCCACAGGAGCATGGCTAAAGAAACCAAGTTTTCCTCTCTCTCTGGACCCCTTGCTTTTTCTTAACACAAATTATCCTAAGGCAACGTAGATATACACATCAAAGGCCAGGATTTAATATACAGAATCCGTTGTCAGATTGGTGAACTACCTCCAGCTGTTCAGGTGTTTGGCCAGGAGGAGGCAATAACATGTAGGCTGAAATGCCCTCAGCCGTCTGGCAGTAAGCAATCCTTTATGCATTCTTTTCAGGTTTGGGGAAACGCCTTCAGCCACTTCCAGATGATTCAGCCCTGCTGACATGTTGGAATTGCCTTCCTGCAGTCCCATTGGCTGGAAGGAACTGGAAGCCAAAGGCAAGGAGCCCAATGATACAGGCTATACCTTTCCCCCTCAACATCCTCTCTGTCTTCCATCCACAAGAAAAATTTATATCCCCAGCACAAGAACACATGAAGTTCCTTAAGAGTGTGTGTCATCACGGGTTCATGTTGATTCAAACACATTCCCTCGTGAAACCCAAAGTAAGCCACTCTGGGTGTCCTTCATATGTGACAGAAGGAAAAGTTGGGAGAAGGTAAAAGCAAGGGAAGAAGTGAAATGAAACAGCTGCTACAGTCCACACTTCTTTCTGGTCATGAGGGCTAGGTTCATCATCATAGCACCAAGACCCGCTTCATGGGTGCACAACCTGTGGGTGGTGGTGGTAAATATGTAAACATTGCTTAAAAACCTGTTGCTCTCTGGACCTGAGATCTGTAGGATGCTCCCTTTATTTGCTTAGGCCTAAATGTGCCTGTGATAGAAGACCCCTCCTGAACACCAGAGGGCGCTGTGCCACTGAGATACCAGCAACTGCTTTTTCTTAATAGCGTCTACATTTTTGCATCACATTCAACCTTTCAGAAAAGCCTTCTGCTTTTTCTTTTGGTAGTTCTCGGGCCAGCACCGGTTGCTAGGTTGAAAGAGAATAAGAGGTGAAGAGAAGCTTCTAGAGACCAAGATGCAGAGCAGTAAGAACAATCATAAGTGCTAGCCTGCACTAGCAAATTCAGTAACCTCAATCTTTCCGGTCTTCATTATCCCCACTGAAAATTAATACACGATTCAGGCAAACATGTTTAAAGAGCACAATTAAATTGTTTTCTATTAGGAGGTAAAATGAGATCCCATTGATTATCGTTCTAATGATTCTGGCCATTCTAGTTAGAATCGTCAACGTAACTCAACTCAAATTGTATGTATCTCCTAGAAATTTTAAGAATACACACCAAGTACCACCATTAATATACTCTTAACATTAACCTTTTTCTAAACCTAATTAGTATAGGAGTTTGGGGTTCTTTTTCACAAATACAAATTAAGAAGTAATTTTTATATTTTTTAAAAATTTAGTCGATTTTATTGGGATGAACATACAGATGTCAGGGGTATAGTTCTATAACACATCAGCTGTATGTTGGATTGTTTGTTTACCATTCCTGGTCAAGTCTTCTATCTCCATTATCCTCCCTTTTCCCTCTTCTACCTCTCTGTAACTATGAATTTTTGCTTTTTGTTTTTATTTTAGAGAGGAACATTTTTGTTTGTATTTTAGAGGGAAACATTGATGTGACTTGATTGGTTGCCTCCCATAGGCACCTCAACAGGGGCCTGAACCCAGCCCATATGCATGTGCTCTAACTGGGAATCCAACTGGCAACCTTTCAGGTATGGGATGTGCTCAACCATCTTTGTTTTTGTTTTTTGCTTAATCCCTTCCCCTTTTTTTCATCCCACCTCCTAACTCCCTCCCCTCTGACAGCTGTCATTCTTTTCTCTTTTTCTATGAGTCTGCTTCTATTTTGTTAGTTTATTGTGTTCATTAGATTCCACATGTACGTGAAATCATATGGCACTTGTCTTTCTCTGACTGGCTTATTTCACTTAGCTGCTAAGTCTTAGCATATCACTCCTCAATACTCATGAATTCCCTTAACAATTATTGAACATCAGCTGTGTGCCATGCTTACATTTGCTAGACGCGGGTAAAAATATGCAAAGTGTGCTTTTGTGACGTCTCCCATCTAGGACACAATAAAATGACCTTTTTTAAACTGTAAAGTTGAACTGATAGGTGCCACCATGAGAATTTCAGGAAGCTACCGGCAGATACAACAGGGAGACTTGCTCCATTCGCTAGGGGTGGTCAGGAAATGGTTCTCCAAAGAAAACTGTTCCTGAGACCTGACAAAGAAATAGATGCTCAACAGGCAAAACGTGTGCGGGGGGAGCAGGCGGAGGCGAGGCTGGGGAGGCCAATCTCAGCGTGCACCCAAACATTTTTTGGGGGGGACCTGGGGAAATAGAAGGTTCTGGGGCTAGAGTTCCGTATACTGCGGGGGATGGAGAGCGTTGGGCGGTCAGAGGCCTACATAGCCAGGACTATCTTTGTTCTAAGACCAACTAAGAGTCACGGGAGAGTTTTAAGCAAGGGGTTCCGTGACTACACCTGCAGACAAGGCTGTCCTCTGTGCCCCAAGAATGAATGAGGACCTGCAGCCCGGCGGGAAGGAGGCTGCTGTTCTCTGTGGAAGGAGGACCCTGGCGGCGGAACTGATGTTTAGAAAGTAAAATCCATAACACTCGGTGATAAAGCGCATAAACTGCAAACGAGCTCGCTGCGCTTCGTTTCACGTTAGAAAGGCTTTACAAAGGAGACGTTGGCCTGGGAACCGGCGGAGCCGCCGCGTCCTTTCCGCAAGCGCATTGCATTTCCGGGCCCTGCTCCCGCCGCAGCGCAGCCGGGCTGGGCCTGCGCTGGGGAACGTCGGCGGGAAGGCCTGGGTCCCGGGAAGCCTGAATGGCTACGAGGAAGACGCCTGCTTTAAGGTCCTGGTCCCTCCCGGAAGCGCCAACCCAGACCCTCTCCTGCGCTACGGCGGCCGGGAAGGCCCTGGGCTAATGCGCCGCGGGGCGCTGGGAGGAGGCGCACGCGCACAGCGGCCTCGGCGCCGGAAAGGGTCCCGCCCCGAGCTGGGGGGCAGTACGGGTCCCCCTCCGCTTCCCACGCCGCACTGATTTCCTAGACCCGCCCCGGCAAGCTTTGCCATTGGCTTAGAGACGGGAGGGCCCGCCTCTCCACCTTGCTGATTGGCTGTCCGCGAGGAGGCGGGGCTTGGGCGCTGGTGGATTGCATCAGCGGGTCCTCTCCGGCCAGTGGCAGTGGCGCGGCGATCCCGGAGCCGAAGCGCCCTTCAGGCCGCCCCCCGCTCCTCTGTCCCCGCCGCCGTCGCTGTTGAGTTCCGTCTTCTCTTCCCGGTTCGCCGATGTCCGAGGAGAAGGCCAGCAGCCCTTCAGGGAAGATGGGAGGCGAGGAGAAGCCGGTGAGCGGGGTCGGGAGCGCGGCCGGGGGCTCTTGTTGGTGCCCGGCGGCCCTCGGGGAGTGGCGGCGGAGGAGGCCGCGGCCGGGCGCGGGGGGCGGAGGAACCCGAGGCGGGTGGTGGGCAAGGTGGACAAGCCAGGGCCCCCTCGGGGAGGAAGCGTCCATTCATCCAGCGGGCGGGGCTCGCAGGCCTCCTCCGGCTCCGTCCTCTGCCGGCGAGGGGCCTGAGAGACCTGGAGGGAGCGAGCTGCTCAGACCGCACAGCTGATTAGAAATCGGGACAGTTGGGGACCCTCAGCCTGGTGGTTTCACTTCACCTTCGGCGAGAAGACCATGGCGGAGCCTCCTTGAACCCCAAGACCCCATTTAGGGCGAAAGGCTCCAGTGTAAGCAAGAGGAAGCCGGCTTCCCGAGGTCTGGCCACCCTGCCGCCCACGTTTGGGTGAGTGGCCAGTGGCAGAGGCCGATGCCCTGACCACCTGGACAGGTTCCAGGCTTCCCCTGCCCGGGCCGCAGGCCTGCCTCATCTCCAGGCACACCTGCTGGTCGTTTCGCCTTTGAACTTGACCCTTGTGTCATCCCTTGCTTAGGAACATCTCCCAGGTCACTTACATGCCACCAGGTCGAAGTGGGTTTTGTTTGTTTGTTTGTTTTTAGTATTTTTTACGATAAACAAATAAATGTCAAGTATTCATTCTGCATGCTGGGCCCCACCCCTAGGCAGGTGACTAGGACCCCGGGTAAAGGCAGGGAAGGCAGGTAAAGGCGTGAGTGAATGAATGGGCTGTGGGGTTGCTTTGCTTGGGAGAGATGCTGAGGAGGAGCCACAGCCCTCAGCCGGATCTGGGGCGGCCAGTGGTTGGAACTGTTTCCCGCGAGTGGAGGCTTCTGAGCAGGGCAGCGGCAGAGGGGTGAGCTGTGGTTTTAACGATCACGCTGGCTGTGGGGTGGGAGGTGCGTGGGGAAGAGGAGACACACACACAGGAGGCTGCCGCACTGGCCCCAGTGAGAGGTAGGCATTCAGCTAAAGGAGACTCCATCCAGCGGGGACCGGGCAGGCCACTGAAAGCCAGTTTTCTCATCATTAACACGAGGATGTCCCTAACACAGGGTTTGGTTGGGGGAAAGGCATGTGCACACATTCTAAACTATATAAGTTAAATTAAAAGGAGTATAGGGTGTCTGTCCATAGACTTGTTCCCATCTATGTGTTTTCACTTAAAAATGGTGTCTTTCCTTTTTAATTCATAGTCTGTAGACCAGTGTTCCATGTCCATAAATATTCTGCTGTGCCATTCTTAATTGGAGGTATGCCTAATACATATATGATTTCCCCCTTCTATGGTAATAATTGCTAATACTGATTGAGTACTAACTATGGGGTCTGGCACTGAATACATGCATTAATTCATTCGGTCCTCAAAATAAGATTAGAAAGTGCAACCGAAACCTCCAGCTGTTTGTTAAGTGAGTAATTAAACAACGAAAGGAAGTACTGAGAACTCCAGATAAGTTCTCCGTTAATGGACTGTTCCTTGACAATCAAAAGGAAGGAGTTAGATTGAAATATGAAACGAAATTTGGATGGTCTTGACACCATTATGCCAAGTGAAACAAACCAGTCACCTAAGACCACATATTGTGAAATGTTTAGAATAGGGACAACTACAGCAACAGAGCAGATTCGTGGCTGTCAGGCGCTGGGGAAGGGGCATGTGGTAGGGACAGAGTGACTGCTGATGGGTGAGGGTTTCTTTTGGGTGATGAGAGTGTTCAAAATTGATTGTGGACTGTGGTGACAGTTGCACAACTGTGAACACACTAAAAGCCATTGAGTTGTATACTTTATTTTGGTGCATTATAGGAAAGCATCTCAAAAAAACACACTGTGAAACCTCTGAAATGAAAGGTCATAAACATTCAAAATTATAGTAAAGCCCCCTTCAAATCCCTCGTTCTACCTTCAAAGCTTCTTCACTGTGATGATTGCAACTCCTTAGAGTTGGCCGCTGTCAACACCTGCACGGATATCTTTCCTGCCACTCGTAGCTGTGAACCTAGAAAAATTGTCTAACTTTTCCAATTAATTTATCGGTAAAATGGGAATAATAATAATAGCCATCTGGGGTGGCGGTGAAGATCGGCTGTGATTGTGGAGGAAGTTGGGCACTGTGAACCTTCTGGTGCAGTTTGCCTCGGGTGTTTCTGAGGTGACGGTGAAGTAAGGGATGCGTTTCTGGGGAATCCTCTTCACGTTCTCCCACCTGCCCGTCAGGCTTTCTCGCCCTCCACGCTGATGACATTGTGGGGGCTGGAGAAGTCTTTGTTGCAGGGGCTGCCCTGTGCATCGCTGGACGCTTGGCAGCACCCCTGGCCTCTGCCTACTAGATGGTACATGGGCCCCCAAGTTGTGACAACCAACAATGTCTCCAGGCACGGTCAGGTGTCCGCTGGGGGAGAGCCGCTGGTGTGGGCTGCCCTTTGCACGGCCTTCCTCTAACTCTCTCTGTGGCTCCATGTACTTCTAATTGAAGTCCACATTCCTTCTGGTAACCTGGGGGGCTTGCTCTGTCTGAGCCCTGGTTTGTCTTAACATGTTATTTCCTACAACAACCTGCCTTCGTCAGCCCCGGTCTGTCTGTCCCTCTCACTCTCTCGCTCTCTCTGTCACTGTCTCTCTCTTTTTAGGATTTTTGACAGTGAGTCTGTGTACACCTGGAACACACGTCCTCCGTCCTCAAGATCCAGCCTGTGGTCCTAGCTTATTCTACATGGAATCACAGCATTGCAGATGTGTTCTCCTCCCCTCAAGCGTTTCACAAACGCTTGCCTTCATTTCCCTGGAGAGATTACATGTGCACATGGCAGGGATGGGTCTTGGTTTTGCTTCTTCCACAGGGTTTAACAAGCTACCATGAGCACAGAGGTCTTAGTACGTGTGGAATGAATGGATACATGTTGCACTGATTTCCCCCCTGAACATGTTCCTGGATAACTCTCGTGCTTGTTTGTGGCTACATGTTTAGCATGTGTCCAGGCACACCTGTAGCGGGAGTCATGGGAACAGGCAAAATACATGAAATGGGAGGGCTTGAACATTGTCAAGAGACCTCTCTGCCTTTGGGACTTGTCTTTATTGTAAGCTGCTAATTTGCCCTTTACAGTGGTCAACAGCGCTCAGGTTTTCTAGTCTTCACAATCAGAGTTTTACTCTTCAAAAAGTAGATGCTAAATGGCATCCTCTGAACTTTCCTGGGGCAGCATGGAGGGTGTGGATTAGACTGAACGATGAAGTCGCCTTTTCTCTTTGCTCCTCTAGGTGGGTGCCCGCCAGGAGAGGCACAAGGAAGACGGCAAGAAGAAGAGCAAAGAAGGGTCCGGAGATGGAGGGCGCGCGGAGGTTGGTTCCTGGGCTGTCCTCAGGAAACTCATTAGGGGGTGGCCAGCAGGGGCGGGACTGGGCACGTCAGGCCGGGCATGCCTTGGAGTCAACTTCCTGTGGTCCCTCTCTGGCCAGGGCCTATCCCCGTTATTTTCACTGGAAGATCATAACTTATGTAAATGTTAGTGTTTGACTGTTTTGTGACCATGGTTCACCATCTGGTTTTTGAAACGTTTTGAAAACTGGAGTCTCCAGCAGTAGAGGAAGTCAAATCTCTGATTATTATCTTTTTCTTTTTTCTGTGTCAGACTTTTGGAAACCTGAGTAGGTGTTTTTGTTTGTTTGTTTGTTCTTATTGATTTTTTACAGAGAGGAAGGGAGAGGGATAAAGAGTTAGAAACATCAATGAGAGAGAGACATCGATCTCCCCTACTGGGATGTACCTGTAACCAAGGTACATGCCCTTGACCGGAATCAAACCTGGGACCCTTCCGTCCATAGACTGAATCTCTATCCACTGAGCCAGACCAGTTAGGGCCTGAGTAGGTGTTTTATAAGAAATATGTTGGTTAACTTAATGTATTTAGACAGTGGTGTTATGCTATTTTCTTATATTTGCTAATTAAATATTCCCAAGAAAGATATGCTCAAAGCTCATAGCTTCTTTGAATTTAGTAAATACTTTCCTTGAATAGGAGCCCTTAAATCAAGTACATTTATAGTTGGTTAATTAAAAATTATGAGTGGACATACAGTCTGACAGCTTCACAGATCATCCTTTGAACAACACTGAAACAAAATGTAAAAGCCAGCCAGCTTTTATTCCCAGTATTGTTTATAGTTGTATCTTTGGAATAATTTAATTAGAAAAGTTCTTAAGAGAATACCCTAAAAGAAAAATATTACCTTATGCAAATAATAGCAAAATGATAATAATTGTCCATTTAGAATGTTGGCAGCCAGATGTTTATTATTATTATATTTTCCTATTTTTAAAAACTTCTTAAAGTTATAAGAAGAGAGCATTAAATTCCTTTCTTTTATTTTAGGACAACCTTTAGGTAATTCTTGTTGATTTTGGCGATCCATTTAACAAATGAATTAGTAATCATGTTTTTTGTATTGTCTATTTTTAGTATTTCCCTTTTCTGAAAAGGAAAGCAAGTACTTACTGCTTATTCCTTTCTTCATTTGTTGTCTTGCAGTTGAATCCTTGGCCTGAATATATTAACTCGCGACTTGAGATGTATAATAAACTAAAAGCAGAACATGATGCCATTCTGGCAGAAAAAGCAGAAAAAGAGAGCAAACCCATCACAGTCACTCTGCCGGATGGTAAACAGGTGGCCGCGGAATCCTGGAGAACTACGCCATATCAGATTGCGTGTGGCATCAGGTACAACTGTCCTCCTCTGCTGCTGTTTGTAATTAAACTTGAACACATTTTGCCAGGTTTTATCCTCAAAACATTTTTATGTTCCTGTTCAATAATTTTAATGTTTAGTTTACATTATTTGGGATTTTTTTCAAAACCAAAAGTATGTAGAGCTTTATAGTCAAGATTCAAAGTTAATTTCTTAGAGACTCTAGTTTGGTTTTATATTATGCAGGATTTGATATGATTAGTTCTTCTACCTTGATCAGACATGTCACAAAAATAAAGTTGATAAGGTTTCACAAACTATTTTGATTTAAATGTCCCAGTTTTAAAGTTAAATGAAGGTTGATCATCTCACAGAGGAAAACTAGGAAACTAATTTTCAACATGAGAAAATATACTAATTTTATAAATCTGAAGGAGGGCCATGCCCAGTCTTAAAACAGAACACTTTTATCGGGTTGGGAAGAAGTAACAGAATCAGATGCATACTCTATAGTAGATAATGCTTTCTTAATCTGATAGGATTTGGGACTCAGTAGTTGGGTCAGTTTCCATGTGAGATTATAAATAATTGGATAGACCTTTACATATTAAGATCTTTTTGAAGGTGATTTTGAAGGACATTTGGTGATGCAATTTCGCCATTGTTGCACATTGATATTGTAGCAATGGGTACTAAAATTCAGGCACTTCCTCTCTACGTTCTACAATACCCTCCTCCATTGTAACTTGGCAAGTGGCCAGTTGAAAACAGTTTTTTGAGAATTGCCAAATTTTAAATTGAATCACATGAAACATTGATGAGCTGTAGAGCTGGAATTCAGTCATGATCTGCAAGTGAGGGTGCTTGAAGACATTTTTACACAAGTCCAGAATAACTTAGTGTTCTGTAAAAAATTACAGTACTAATAACAGGCTGTTTAAAGGTTCAGATGATTAGGAATGAATATAAAAGGGAAGCAGAAAGAAGGCATGTTCCATTTGCTTCAGCGGAGTTTCTTTGAAGTTTTTTTTTTGTTCTAAGTCTTAAAGTATGGATTATTTTGTCCCTTCTTCGGAAAATTGAAATGATCCAGTATGGTCCATGTGAGATTATTTAGCATTGACTCTCAAAAAAATTCTGTTAAGATTTCAAAAAGGAGGTAGAGCAGAGAAGTTATTTAGTACCACCACCACCACTACCACCACCACCCCCTCTTGCCTTTGGAATCTAAGTAGCTTGGCTTTGTGGAGAACTTCTTTGGAGAAAGTAAAGGATAAACCAGACTACTGAAAAGTCTCATTGTTTGTTTATTAGAGTTGCTATATCTGTTTAAATAAGTATTAAATGTCATAAAATAGTGTTCTGAATTTTCAAGATCTTGTAGTTATATTTTTAGGTACATTGGCACATTTTGGGAGTTTGTTGCTTTTTCCATTTTATTTCAGAAAGATACATATATATTTTTTTGTATAGTGGTATAGTATAGAATACTATAATATAATACATAATATCCTATATAATAAAAGGCTAATATTCAAATTGACCGAATTGTGGAACAACTGGTCGCTGTGACCACACTGACTACCAGGGGGCAGATGCTCAACACAGGAGGTGCTCCCTGGTGGTCAGTGTGCTCCCACAGGGGGAGCACCACTCAGCCAGAAGCCAGGCTCACGGCTGGCAAGCACGATGGCAATGGCGGGAACCATTCCCGCCTCCGTGGCTGCACTAAGGATGTCCAACTGCTGGCTTAAGCTCGCTCAGATTTCATGCATGCACCGGCTTCTAGTAGTAGTATACTATACTAGAGGCCTGGTGCACGGATTTTTGCACCAGTGGGGTCCCTCAGCCAGGCCTGCGCCCTCTCACAATATGGGACTCCTCAGGGGATGTCGGACTGCCAATTTCTGCCTGACCCCCACAAGAGATTCATCAGTCTGTTCCATGTTCCCATGCCTGTACATTGAGTATTTGCCCCTTAGTGATCAGTGCTCGTCATTGCTACCAGTCAAATTGTCCTTCTGTCGCTTAGGCTTTTATATATATATATATAGGTATGTATATATATTACGTAGTGTTTATTTTCCTGTTCTTACTAAGTCAAGGCCTGGCGGACAACACTGTTATTGCAAAAGTGAATAAAGTTGTCTGGGACCTAGACCGTCCTCTGGAGGAAGATTGTACCCTGGAGCTGCTCAAGTTTGAGGATGAGGAAGCTCAGGCAGTAAGTTTTTATTCCGTGTTCATTAAATTTCAGGATGGTGATTCTCATTTGCATGGTTTTCCAGCTCATTACCACTGCCAGGAGGTGATGAAAATGTATTGAAGTCTCATCATATTCGAAATCTTCATTTTTGTCTTCCGCTAAGGGAACATAATAAAAATGCTTGCTTTATGAAATCAGGTGAAATTGAATAAATTTATTTTCACTACCAGATAATAAAAGGAGGGCATATTTATGGAAATTCTATTACAATTTCATTAGAAATTGATTAAGCAAGTAAAACTTGCTGTCTACACTGTCAATCAGCACTTAAGCAAGATGTATGTATACATTTAACAAATAAATTTGAACATTACCTGAAGTATTTCTTACATTGGGAAGTTGATTTCCATTTTTTTCCTCATCTTTAAATGCAAATCTGCTGAAAAGATTTGTACATTTGTACATATTAGCCTTTTATTATATAGGAGAATAAAACCATCTGATGGCAAGGTTTTCTCCCTTATTTTTTCATGATGGTATACATATAAAAGGAAATTAAATGTGCTGTTTTAGTTTGTTTCATTGATGATGGTTTACTTATGTATGTGGATCAATAGTTTTCAAAAGTATTCTGGAGTCCTTAAGTTTTTAAAGAGAATTTTAAAACCATCTGGGTACCTTACTGTTAAATTTTAAAGACATTGATTTGGATATATTGTGACTCATTTGAATGACCACTGTAAAGCCAGGTGCTGCCATTTGCTTTTAGTGTTCATTGTCCTGGCACTTTCTTGTGGCATTGTGGGATCCCGTTGTGCTATCCTAGTAGTTTGGGGCCAGTAGGAAAAAGGCAGATAGAATGCTAAGTGATGCTCCATAGTCATCAGGTAAAGGCGGACACGCCTGTGGCTGGGTGGGCACACTGCCTCAGCAGATCTGGGCCCTCGCAGTCCAGAAGGCAGTCACATGGTGAGTGGCGATTGTTTCCAGAGAACAAAATCCATCCCATTTAATTAATGATGCTAATTGGAATTTAATTTGAAAACAACTAGGTAATTTCTAAGGTAGAAATACACTTTAGCAGTTAGCATTCTTTTAAATTATTTTGGCTCTGTATAGAATCACACTGTAGTTTATAGATTTGTACATTTAAATTTTTCTGTCTGGGTTTATTTATAATAAATTCTATGTATCTCTTTCAGGTGACTATATTAACTTATAACACTTATGCCCAGTCTCAAACCTTCTCATTTTTCTTTGAATTTTCAGGTATACTGGCACTCAAGTGCCCATATAATGGGTGAAGCCATGGAAAGAGTCTATGGAGGGTGTTTATGTTATGGTCCACCAATAGAAAATGGATTCTATTATGACATGTACCTTGAGGATGGGTAAGTTATGTCACTGAATAAAGAGAAATAAAACCCGAGTTACCCTGAGCCCATGCATTATGTTTAAATTGTTCTCAGTAAAGGAGGAGGAGTATAATGCTCACTGCTTCATGGTCACCAAGCATTCCGCCGGTAACACCTGAGTGACTCTCAGAAGTGCAGGACTTCCATGAGAGCTCTCTCTGGTCATGGAGGCAGGGCTGAGGCGCCCTGGGAAATCAATGAAGCCGGTCCTCCCTCCTTTAGCTGCCAGAGAGTGGAGGAGGAGTCCTAGTGGGAGCAATCTCCATGGTGACCAATGCAGGAGCCCATGGGAATATCCATTATTAAAATGATGTATGTAAAATGTTTAGTTTACAATTCTGGTATATGATGCAAGAGTAATTTTTTATATTAAATCCCTTGAAGTGTTCAAAAGAAACATCCTCCCTCTGACCCCCTCCCTCCCATGGTGTGAGTAGAATGGAATGGAAATAATTTTATATTTCCTTCTCTTCCAGGGGTGTGTCCAGCAATGATTTCTCCTCTTTAGAGACTTTATGTAAGAAAATCATTAAGGAAAAACAAGCTTTTGAAAGATTGGAAGTTAAGAAGGAAACTTTATTGGAAATGTTTAAGGTACATTGAACTGTAACATGTGGCATCTACTCTCCTATCATTCATTAGTGTTATTTGAAGCCTACTCTGTTCCTTAGAAAATTTATATATATATATATATATATATATATATATATATATATATATATATATATCTTTTATTGAGTTTTTATAGAAGAGAGATAGAAAGCTAGAAACATCGATGAGAGAGAAACAGATCAGCTGCCTCTTGCACACCTCATACTGGGGATGTGCCCACAACCAACGTACATGCCCTTGACCGGAATCAAACCTGGGACCTTTTAGTACGCAATCTGACGCTTTATCCACTGAGCCAAACCGGTTTCGGCTGTTCCTTAGAAAATTTAACACTGTTTTCAAAATGTGAAACATTAACAAAGAAGTATGCAATGCTTTGGTAAGATGTATTTTGAGTTCTGTGTTAGCAGTATTTAGAGGTAAAAAAGGGTTGTCTTAAAAATGTAATTTTTTCTATTTTCAGTACAACAAGTTCAAATGTCGGATATTGAATGAAAAGGTGAATACTCCAACTACCACAGTCTATAGGTGAGAATCAAATGTCATGAAGCACAATTGGTGGACATGTCATTTTCAGTCTTTACTAAAATTCCTTTCACTCTGCCGTTAGGTGCGGCCCCTTGATAGATCTCTGCCGGGGTCCGCATGTCAGACACACTGGCAAGATTAAGACTCTGAAGATACACAAAGTAAGCAGTGCCACCCAAAGGCGCTCTCCGTGTCAGTGTATTTGTGTCTGATGGCTCGATAGCTAAACTGCCATTGATTTCTCTTTCTCCCTGTTTGCTCCCGGGTGGGTTTTTCTCGTGCTCTCCTGCCTGTGCTGCTATACGTATGTCATGAGGCATTTTTAGCAGAAATTCTCTCAAGCAGTGGCTGACAGCCACATGGGGATTGAGTGGGGGATTCACAGAATCACGCAATTAAGGGCCTTCTAGATTCGCTGCTTTTGCTCTTTGTGTGTGTGAGGTAGTAATTACCCAAGTGGTTCCTGCTAACCCAGTTAGTCCTGCCATTCTCTACTAGTTCAGAAATATTTTATGGGCGATGACTAAAATGCACTTAACATCATAAGCACAATTGAATCATTTCAAGATTTCTTTTGTTGCTTTATTGCCCATTTTTGCTTGCTCAGTCTGAGAGATGCTCTGCAGTCAGTCATGTTGGTGGAGCTGTGCTTCAAGGGGCGTGGCGGGTGGGTTTTCTGAGGGAACCGAACAGCCAGCTCTGCGCTGCCGAGTGAACCAGCTGCTCAGCTCCGCCCAGGGCCACTGTGGGTGTCTCACCAGGTGTGAACTTTTTGTGACTTTCCCTGTATAAGGCGACTATGAATTTGATTCATAAGGTGCCTATGAGAAATAACATCTAACTCTTAAAATAAGTGAGATATTGACGGATTTGAATATTGTTTCACGGTTGATCCTTGTTTTCAGAATTCCTCCACATACTGGGAGGGAAAAGCAGATATGGAGACACTCCAGAGGATTTACGGCATTTCATTCCCAGATCCTAAGCTGCTGAAAGAGTGGGAAAAGTTCCAAGAGGAGGCCAAAAACCGAGATCACAGGAAAATTGGGAGGGTATGTTAAAAAAGAACAATAATGGGTCTAGACTGTGTTTATTTCCCTCTGAAATTCAGCTGTGTTAGGTATTTAGCTGTATTAAGAACTCCCCTTTGAAGAAATGCTGTTGATTTCAAGTATCACTGTACTGTGTCCTAAATAAGCCATAGGTTACTTTCTGATTGCCCACATTATCTTTCTAGCGTGTGCTTAGTTCTACACAAAAACTCACTTTCACTGTTCTTTTATTGAGGGCAAATGCTGATGACCCGCAGTTTTCAGTAAAAGAAGTATAGCAGTGCCTCATTAGCTGAGAGATACTTTGGAAATTCGCCTGGTCTCACTGACTTATTTATTTAAAAAACATTTTATTGACTTCAGAGAGGAAAGGAGAGGGAGGGAGAGAGAAACATCAATGATGAGAGAGAATCATTGATCGGCTGCCTCCTGCTTGCCCCCTACTGAGGATTGGGCCTGCCATCTGGGCATGAGCCGTTGGCCGGAATCGGACCTGGGACCCTTTAGTCCACAGGCTGATGCTCTGTTCACTGAGCCACACCGGCCAGAGGACCAGTGACTTCTTTTAAAGATGTGGAAACTGAGTTCTAGACAGAATCATATACTTGTGCCCAAGGCAATGCAGCGAGTCATCACTGGATCCCATGGTGCATTGCTCTTACCCCACTGCCCCTGAGTGTTTTCAGACTGGAAGTTAGGTATCAGGAGAAAACGTTTCTTTCTGAAATTGTGTTCACTCTGTGCCAGGCGCCCTTGGTTGATGGGGTAGGAAGCTTGAGCAGGAGGCAGCCGTAAGGAAGCTGCAGGGACTGGTGCGGCACCTTCGGAAAAGTTTGGGCCTTGAGGGGTCGGGGGGGGTGCCATTCACCATGAACCGGAATCAGCCAGCTTTTCTATTTCATTGTCAGTGTCTTTTTTCCAGACTCCTACCTGCCTCTCCTACTTAAAAAATAATAAAGAAAAATTGAAAACAGCCAGATCTTAGAGCTTTAAGGAATTAAAACCATGTGAGCTGTCTCGGTAAAGAGAACTAGACCCTTGTTCCATGTCATCTTTGGTACATTTGATTATATTTAGGAATGGAACAGGCAGGGAACGAAGTTGTAAATTACCTCAAATCTATACCATTGAATTGCACACCAAGATGTGGGTCTGTTTTCTTTGCCCTGGGAGTGGCCCGGTGAGAGGAGGAGCCATCAGGGCCATATTCTCAGGGACACTGGGTGCTGATGCTGTGTACATGTGCAAGCAGTGAACATGCTTTGCTTTCTGTTTTCCAGGACCAAGAGCTGTATTTCTTCCATGAACTCAGCCCGGGGAGTTGCTTTTTCCTGCCGAAGGGAGCGTACATCTATAATACGCTTATTGAGTTCCTCAGGGTAAGCCATACTTGTCATCTTCTTCTGTAGATTTAAGACATGCATCGATTTTATTAAACAAGGTCTGCTAAGAGGAGAGATAATCTTGTATTTTAAAAGAAAAAATTAATAGAATAAATAATGGTAGTCTGAGATCTCATAACATTTTAAACACATTTTTCCTGATGTGTAATGCCCCAAAAAACGGATGTGCACACGAGAGAAGCCAATGGCTGCCCTTGAACTAGGCTTACAACCCTTCGCACAGGGGCTCTGTGTGCTCTTTGGCCTTTTATTTTCCTTGGAAAAGCAGGTTAGTTTTTACCTTGCTTTTTGGCTTTGTAAATTATGAAGTGTGGAAAGCATATGTTGATAAAGAATAATTATACCACCTAATGTAACACATTTGCATGGGTTATGTTTGGAGTAAAGTAACCCTCACACGGTGGGGGCACGAGCTGCCCGTGGGCCTTTCCTAGAAGAAGCTGCTCTCAGAGGCAGCTTGGATCCGTTCTGTTCATGTTGTCCTCCTGCCCCCCCCCCCCACACACACACACACACGTCCTCCGTGGTTTGTGCATTTCAGATTTGCATACAGGAAGGTCATTGTATCAGTCAGATTTTTTTTTTAAGATGCACACAGATCCCGCTTATTGTCACTTGTTACATATGACTCCGCCACATAGCTACCTCTGTATGTGCATCCCTTATCGGCGGGCACTGACGTCATTTCTGATTTCCCCATGTTACTGTTGTGCTACGAGCCTCCTTCTGTGGGGGTGTAAGAGCTTCCTCTTTGGTGGAATTTCTAGATCACAGCACATGTGCATCTTACACTTCACCAGAGGACAGGAATTTAAACTCTTTCTCCACCAGGAGTGTGGGCACTAATTTCTGGACCTGCGTTGTGTGTGTTCCCTAACAGAGTGAATACCGGAGACGCGGGTTCCAGGAGGTGGTCACCCCCAACATCTTCAACAGCCGGCTGTGGGTGACCTCGGGCCACTGGCAGCACTACAGCGACAACATGTTCTCCTTTGAGGTGGAGAAGGAGCAGTTTGCGCTGAAGCCCATGAACTGCCCCGGACACTGGTACTGAGAGCTCCGCGTCCCATTTGGTCCCGACTGCTTTCTCCCTCTGGCAGAATTGTTCTAAAACCCTTATGTAATCACAAGAGTATTTATATGCGGCATTATCGTGGTGGTATAGCTGCTTCTGTGCCTGATTTGGTCCTCAGATCTGTAGACATTGAAGAATCGCAGGGAATGGGCAGAATATAAAGTTGTTTTTAAGAAACATGTTCTATGAAAACCTCAAAACTTGGTGCCAGTGAATTAACGTCCTTGGGAATCTTTGCCCTGGCTCTTCCTCTTCCCACCCGTGAACAGCTGGGGGAAAGAGGGCAGCCGTGGCTCCTGGCAGCTGGGTGCGCACAGATGCCTGAGGCAAGGGTGGGAGGAACGACCCCGGGACCGGGCTGTAGTTCCTCCTGAGAGTGTGAAGTCCCTTCAGATAACAGAACGGGAGCTCTCTAGGAATGACAGGGCTTTGGTTTCCAGAGTGACCGTGCTTTGTGGGCAGCCGAGTCTGTTTTACCTTTAAACGGGGCCTTCAGGGCCGTCCTCGGATGGATGGAGTGAGGAGCACAGGACGGGCTGCAGACTGGGGAATGCATATGTTACTCCCCTTAGTTCCGGTGCTTGTGACAGTCTGTTCGCTGTTCTGTGTGTGCGGTGCTCACGCTGCCGTGTGGGCCCAGCGCTGGGGACCCGGTGCTGGTCTGAACCCCTGGAGTCAGTGGCTTTGACGGCCTTTCGTACACTAACCATCAGAGGAGCGGTTTGGTGGTATTAACTGTCGGTGGGTGTTCCTTCTCTTTCCAGCCTCATGTTTGATCACCGCCCGAGGTCCTGGCGGGAGCTGCCTCTGCGGCTCGCGGACTTCGGGGTGCTGCACAGGAACGAGCTGTCGGGGGCGCTCACGGGCCTCACGCGGGTGCGGCGGTTCCAGCAGGACGACGCGCACATATTCTGCGCCATGGAGCAGGTGCGGCCCGGCGACATGCGCCGGAGGGGAGGTCAGGGAGGTCACGGGAAACTACCACTGTGTCCTTTTCTTTTTTTAATAATTTATGTTGTGTTGTCTGAAGTTTTACTCACGTCTCCTTTCCCCCCAACTAACCCCCCCAGCCATTCCCAGCCCAGGCAAGCCCCCACCGCCCAGTGTCTGTCCATTGGTGATGCTGATGTGCATGCACACAAGTCCTTTGGCTGCTCTCTACCACCCCCTGTCATTTGTGTCTGGACCTATTCTTGTTCATCTCATTTTCTTTTATTTAAAGATCGAGGAAGAAATAAAAGGCTGCCTGGATTTTCTGCGCACAGTGTACAGCATATTTGGGTTTTCTTTTAAACTGAACCTGTCTACTCGGCCGGAAAAATTCCTTGGCGATATTGAAGTCTGGAATCAAGCTGAGAAGGTAAGTGGTGCTTTTCAGCGCGCTTGAATTCTGTGGCTGGACGTGGCTTCCCCCGCGTTGTGAGAAAGCCCGCTCCTAACGGGCGGAAGCAAAAGGAAAGTAGAAACTCCTCGGTCAGGGTACGCTCGCCATTGCCTGTTTGCTTTGGGTGTAGAAAGGCTGGGATGTGCTTCAGTCATCGAGCTGTGACCTCGGGAGGGGCTTGGGTGTGAGTGTGTTCACGTGGACAAAGTGACGAAGCAGAGGAGAGTGATCTGTGGAAGTAATGGGGGAAGTTTTAGGCTAAATTAGACCGGTTGCAGAGGAACAAAGATTGAAGTCAGTGTTGCTTCATCTTTAGCAACTTGAAAACAGCCTGAATGACTTCGGCGAAAAGTGGGAGCTAAACCCTGGAGACGGAGCTTTCTATGGTCCGAAGGTCAGTGCCAGCATCCATCTGGGTAAAGTGGCGTTCGTTTTGGGGTGGAGATTGTTGCAGGTTAGAAAGGGGCGGGGAATCAGCCCTAATAGAAGTACTGAGGCAGCTTCCCCGGGCCGGCCCTCACGGTGGGTCTTTGCTTCTCAGATTGACATACAGATCAAGGATGCTATCGGGCGGGACCACCAGTGCGCAACCGTCCAGCTGGACTTTCAGCTGCCCGTCAGGTTCAACCTGACCTTCGTGAGGTGAGCTCCTGGTGTCTGTTCTGAACACTCCTTAAGGACGTTTAACCGAGTGTGTGTGTGTGTGTGTGTGTGTGTGTGTGTGTGTAAAATATAGGGGGGTGTGTGTGTGTATAGTAGTATATATAAAATAAAGGAAAACAAATTCTTCTTTTCTTTCCAGTCATGACGGAGATGATAAGAAAAGGCCAGTGATTATCCATAGAGCCATCTTGGGATCCGTGGAAAGAATGATCGCCATCCTCACTGAAAACTATGGGGGCAAATGGTAATTCCCTACTGTTTCCTTCTGGACGATAGAAATTGGCTGTAAGAAGCGTCTGCTGTCCAACTGAGCCTGTGACGGAAAGGGAGAGTGATTGCAATTAGTTGCTTGTATTTATTGACAAATATTCACTAAATAGGAAGCAGTACAATTAAAACCTAGTGTTTTTTTTTTTAGCTTTAAGAGTATTTATGAGGATTATTTTTATTTCAGAACTTGATGTGTTGAATGTTACACTTCCTAATTAGGAATTATTCAGTAAGAAGCACATTGGCTATTTTGATGGCTTTTCAAGGAGTTTGATTTGTCTGAGCAGACATAGCAGGCGCTGGCTCCCCTGCTGACTGTCATGACTATGATCAGCAGGTAGTTGGACACCTTCAGAAGCCATGCGTTTCCATGGAGAGGACGGACTCCAAAGCATCAGCATCTCGTGTCTTACTTTTATCAGGCTATGCTTTTGCTGGAAACATCTGAGCACATGACTTTCGTTTTTCTTTCTAAGCTGTTTTGTGCAGGCCCACAGTTTGTTAAGGCAGCTGGTTATATATAAAACACCCATTTTGTAGAGCCTGCTGCATTAATTCTATTGATACAAAACTTCCGTTAAAGTGTGGTAGATCTGTTCTGTCTTACACACTGTAGGTATTTCAGTTGTATTTGTAAGTTGGTTAGTTCAGACTTGAAGGGAAGTGTGTCATGCTTTTCAGTGAAATGAAAGTCTCTGTTACGTTTCACAAAATCAAATCAAATACGGGAAACATTCTCTACAAGAATCTAGAGAATAGGGGATCCACTAACTGCTCTGCCAAACCTGTGTTTGGTGGGAAAAGGCACAGTTTGGGCAGAACTTAGTGCCCCTATACCCTTTCCCTGATGAGCCAGACAACTTAAAACATAGAGTGACCAAGGGAAGCACTGGTGTCTGCAGCTTCGGGAAGTTGGACACTGATATACCCCAGAGAGAGTTGCAGATGGGTCCTCTTTAATAAGCAGCAGAACACACTCATCTTTACCCAGTACCCTCCGCAGTCACCATCAGTTACAGCCTGCTGAGTCCTGCAACGTGGAGCTTGAATAAACTGAAGACACAGTCTGTGCCCCCTCATGAGGAATAAGCAATACATAATGCTTGTGCAAAGTAACTTTTGAATAAAACAGCAGTAAGAGTGGTTCTTTAGCATCGTGCTAACCCTGCTGCATGGTGTATGGTCTGTTACCTGCAACATTGAAGCGTGGGGCATAGTCACTGCCCCCAGTCCGCTTTGCCATCTGCTTAGCAAGACAAAACTTAGTTACAGGTTTTTCTCTCTTAAGGTTGGTTTCCTGCTCTTTCATCTCCCTTTAGACTTTATTGGAGATTAAAATAAAAGCCATGGTTTTAAACGGTCCACACGTTTCAGGAAAAGATACGAAGGGTGGACTGATAATGAATGTGCCGTCCTCGTTTAGGAAAATCCACATTAAATACTTTTCATTTCTTCCTAAGGCCCTTCTGGCTGTCTCCTCGCCAGGTAATGGTAGTTCCAGTGGGACCAACGTGTGATGAATATGCCCAACAGGTAATCCTTAAGTATGACTTTTCTGTAACTTTCACATCTGTTGTTTGGCTATCGAATCCCGTAAGCTATATCCTCGGTAGGTCAAGCTGCCTGTGATATAAAGAACTGTTACTATTTTCCATCTGTAGTAAGCTTAAATAGAGCACATTACCTCTTTAATGCTTTCCTATGTGGTTCTGTGGTCAGAAGACGGAGTGGGTTGTTTGATGTTGTTAGTGTTTCGTGTTAGCAAATAGGGAAAGCCTCAGTATGATATGCAAATTCAAACACAACGCGTAATACAGTTGAAGTTACTTTTTGACTCGGAGAGTAGTTTTGCTTCATGTTCAATGCAGATTTATTCAGTTATTTGAAACCTTTTTCCAGGTTAATGGCATGCCAGACCAACATTTTGCCCTGCTGGCCAAACAGCTACCTCTCTGACAGATATACAAATGTCCGTTCACTCCTCACACCTTAAAACTATGACAGTCTGTTTTGTCATCGCAACAATTCTTTATTAAGGAATGTTAAATATTCAAAAGTTGTGTTATTAAAGAGCATTGTTTCAGAATTGCAAATTAAACGTAATGGTTAAAGAGATAAAAATCTAAATATCATTGAATAGTCTTATCACACCAAAATCGTGTTTCAAGACCATCAAAATACATTTTAATCAGGTCTCAGCTATCTTTAATAAATAAATAAACATTAAGCCAGCTATTAAGCAAACCATTCAGACAAACTGTATTGCTATTACTGCACCACAGTAATTTTAGTTATAAATGATGAAAATCACCCATGTTCCATGGCTAAGTCATTGTTTTTTATTTTATGTGCATTATGAAAGCTCACACAGCAGGAAAATGTTTATATTCATTTCTCAGCTAGAAACAGTACGACCTCTTCCACTTTAGGAATATAGTAGCATTTGGAATTATGTAGGGGTAGGCTTTTATTTTATTTTATTTTTTCCCCATTATATTGACTGATTTTAGAGAGAGAGGAAGGGAAAGGGTGAGAAACATGGATGTTAAAAAAACATTGATTGGTGTATGGACACTGCCCAGGGCTAAGCTTTCTTAAATCAAAAAGGAAATCACTGTTGAGGAAAAAAAAATCACTTTTCAATATTTCTTGAGCCTGATACTTTCTTTTTATTAAGTTGCTAGATGCCTAGTGCACAAATTCATGCACAGGTGGGAGCCCTCAGCTTGGCCAGTGATTGGGGCGAATCAGGGCTGTCTCTCCCTGTCCCAGTTGGGGCCAGTCAGAACTGGTTGGTCAAGGGGAAGGACCGCGGGAGGTTGGCCAGCCTCAGGATGTTGGCTGGCTGTGGGAGGTTGGCTATGGGAGTGCACTGACCACCAGGGGGCAGCTCTTGCATTGAGCATCTTCTTCCCAGTGGTCAGTGCATGTCTTAGTGAGTGGTCAATGGTCATTAGGTCATATATAGATTCTTATAGACATCTATTTAATTAGGTTATTGTATACACAAAATTATTGAATAACTAATTTTTAATGTTTACATGATTTTCCAAATCACAGGTTACATAAAATTATCTAAGATCAAAATATAATTCTAATTTTGGATCTGAAGAATTCTGCGTCTGTTTAAACAGGTGCGGCAACAATTCCATGATGCTAAATTCATGGTGGACATCGACCTGGATGCGGGCTGTACATTAAATAAGAAGATCAGAAACGCACAGTTAGCACAATATAACTTCATCCTGGGTAAGAAAGGAAACTGAACCAAAGGAAAGCTGCCACAACCTGGGAAAATTCTGAAATCTTGAGACTTAGCTTGAGAGCATTATGGTCATCAGTTTAGCTCCTTTTAATCCTGGTTCTTAAAATATGAAATTTGTTCAGTTGACATAAGAAGGGAAAACTGTGGTGAGAAGATGAATAATTTGTACAGTTCTGTCTAAAAACTTTTTCCCCTTTACCTTTTATTTCTTCCTACGGTCAGTTTTTATTAAGCCAGCCGGACCAAGTGACTCAATAAACACAGCAGTGTTGGCATTGTAGAATGGGTTTGTTTTTAATGAATAAATTTTAAACCAGTTGCCTAACTGTGCCTGGTCACCTGTACATTTTTTTAAAATATGGATTTATTGATTTTTTTTTTAAGAGAGAGGAAGGGAGAGGGAGAAAGAGAAAAATATTGATGAGAGAATCATTGATCAGCTGCCTTCTGCACGCCCCTACTGGGGATCAAGCCTGCAACCTGGGCGTGTGTCCTGACCGGGAATGGAACCATGACCTCCTGGTTCATAGGTTGATGCTCAATCACTGAGCCACACTGGGTGGGCTCACCTGTACATTAGTCAGAAGCAGCAGCAGGGTGGCTTTTGGGTGCGGGCGTCCTTTCTGTTCAGATGCCCGATAAGAACGCTTCCATCTAAGGGTTCTCCTGTCTTGTTTTAGTTGTCGGTGAGAAGGAGAAAGCCAGCGGCACCGTGAACATCCGCACGAGAGACAACAAGGTGCACGGAGAGCGCACCATCTCCGACACGGTGGCACGGCTGCAGCAGCTGCAGAGGGCCCGCAGCCGGCAGGCCGAGGAGGAGTTCTGAGGACGCCAGCGGCCCCGGGAGGGACGCCGTGGGTCTGGTACTCACCCACGCTGCTCCGGAAGGCGCGGTCTGTCCCGCCCTGGGAGCTGTGCGGCAGAGTCTGCGGAGGCGACTGAGGGGAGGACCCTGTTTGGACCTCGACAAGCTTTAGATGATGTGTATCTGCTGGAGATAATTAAAAGAGACTCATTTACATGATTGTATTCATTCATTACCTGAGCACTGGAAATAAACCACAAGGAATGCTTTAGTGTGATGAGGGAGAACACTTTTTTGTAAATTTAATGCAGTTGAAAGAAGTTTTCAAATTTGATTCAGGTAAAAGAAAGATTTTAACTGGATTATGACATAAAAATACTTAAACTCGTGTAAATTTCATGACTTCTGACCGTCACATACCTCCTACCCGGAACAGATTGCATGATTCAAGATTCATCTTTCATGTTTGATAGCAAACGTGTTAGGGTGGTAGAGGGGAACGGGTCGCCAGTGTGTGCGGTCTCGAGCTGGGCTGTGAGCGAGAGCCTGCTTCCCGGTGACAGGATGGTACCTTCAGAAGCTCCGCTCTTACTCGGCCTGTTTTGGACATAAACCTTTTAAACAACTAAAGCCAGCCGTGGTCTATGGAGAGTATTTGCACAGGTTTTTAAGAAACATTCATTAGAGGAATCTGTTTATGGCACACTGTTTTGGGTCATTCAGTCCTATATATATATATATATATATATATATATATATATATATATATATATATAATACAAATTCCCAATTCTCAGGAGAATTTTTGCATTTTTCGATCAGAGAATGATGAGTGACAGAACACCATGAAATAAGGAATTTCTTACGTAGATAGGTAGGAATCTCTAATCACTTTCAAAAGGCCACATCTGACAGTTCCTGATATCCCCACTAGGGTGTTTGCAAGGGTCACTGAAAGTAGCCAGTTTGACAGGGGTGGAAGGATCTTATTAAGCAGGGATTCTGGGAAATTCTGTAATAAAGCCTTGCTTCTGTCTGAAGACTTAGTCCTCAATGGGTTTGTAATTACTTTTTTATGTTTGTCTTGAGGGAAGCTATATGTAAACCAAGTCACAATACTAACGTCAAGAGCATCTAGTATGAATCATTTTAAAACTTTGTGGATTTTTTTTTCTTTAAAATTCATAGTATCTTAGTTTCTATTTTTCTTCCGTTTTAAAAATTTCATGTTACATATTTAATTTGTTGTCCAAAGACCAACTATGGTTTTAACTGTTGGTATAACAAATGTGTAACAGATTTTTCTTACCTGTTTTATACTAAGAGCAATGAATGGCTTATACAGTGTGTTAGCAGTGTGCTTGCGATCATTGCAGGAGCTTTATTGACCTTTCAGAACTTTCCGTCATTAGAGACAGAGGTGAGCAGAAGAATCCTCTGTAGCAGGCCCTCAGTCCTTCCCCGGAACCTCAGGGAACCACCCACCCGTCAGGGCTCTTCCAATCCTCAGGCGCGCTTGTGCCATCAAAGCTCCCTCTGTGGCCTGTTCGGCTTGCTTTTCCGTTTCTTTTCTGGAAGCAGAGGCTGTCCTAGTTACTGACTTACTCACGTGTTCTGTTCAGGTACACGACATAACAACGGAAAGAGACCAACTGCTAAGCCTCTAGGAGCGTCTAGTCCAGTGGTCGGCAAACTCATTAGTCAACAGAGCCAAATGTCAACAGCACGATTGAAATTTCTTTAGAGAGCCAAAGTTTTTAAACTTAAACTTCTAACACCACTTCTTCAACATAGACTCGCCCAGGCCGTGGTAAGGGCCAAAGAGCTTCATGTGGCTCGAGAGCTGTGGTTTGCCGACCGCTGGTCTAGTCTATTGAGAGTCATCTTGGTAATCAAATATACAAGAATAATTTGAGAATAATGACAAGAAGTTGCAACCATCATGTGATAAATTCTGTAGAGATAGATTTTGTTAAGGAACAGGTGCCCCAAAGTAGGTACCAAAATGTATGGGACTGGTCAGGAGGGTGGAGCAGTAGGTTAAGCAGGATAGGCGAGTTACAGGGTGAGGGACCCGGATCAGTAACCTGAGGTCACACCTGAAGCCCCGTCACCATGTGCCCAGTGACCCCAAGCTTCCTTCCTCACCTTCACTACGGCGATGGGCACTGGCCCAGGCACTGGGACTGCTGGACCAGCGCTTCCAAGTCCACTGGGCGTAGAGGTGGCAAGTGCAGACCTTGGTTCTGCAGGTCTGAGCTGGGTCTCAACATTCTGCACCAGCAAGCTCCGAGCAGATGCTGAGGAGCATACTGCGGAGGAGGCTCTCATTTCCCACTCTGACTTGCCTTCTTTCTTAACTCCTGCCTTTAAAAAAGTCAAAAAGTAATAAAAGCGTTACAAGAAAAGCAGCCTGTTGTCCTGTGAGCCTCTGGGTACCATCTCCTGGCAGCTGCCCCGTCTTGCAGGCATGTGCTTGGAGCCATGTAGCGTGTGCCTCTGCTCTGGTTCTTGCCTCCTCACTGTTGGAGCCGCTGCATTGGCCGTGCCAGAGAGGAGGGTGTCAGTCACACCCTCGTTGCCCCTCCGTGCTCTGGTCTCCGCTATCTGTTGATCCATCCCAGGGTCCTTGTCACTGTGTCCGCGAATAGGCTCTCGGTTACTGGTAAGTCGTGTCCTATGATTTCTCCTAGTACTTTGTAGACTTTAACAAATACTGTCATGGCTGTGTACCGGCCAGGGGGAAGGAGAGTCCTTGAAATGCCGGGACCACTCTGTGAAGTGTATGATAGCCTATGGTGTGCACCTGAAACTAATGCAGAGTAATATTGAATGGGAACTATAGTTGAAAAGGAGTGGAAAATTGTATGTTATCTGTTTTTTATCACAATAAAAAGTAAAATAACTTATTTGGCTCTCTGACTTGAACACTCCTTTATACCTTGCAGTACAATTCTTCCAAAAGTCACATCTCCCTCTCCCCGGCTTTATTTGGATCCCATTGGCAGGCAGTCTCTAAGTCTAAGGGGTGCCGTGTGGTGGCTTGAAGGTTTGAGAGCACCTCCTTCCCTCACATGATTCCCATCGGAAGTCACACCTGGCAGACAGTTCTCTAGTTGCAATTACTAGTACCTTCTAAGACAAATCCCTTCTGGAACCGTCTGCCTCCTGCCCCGGCCTGGGCCCGAGACAGCGCTCCCCGTCAGCCTCTGCCTCCCTACTGTGCTTCCTTCTCTGTCCTGGACCCCACTTCTTCCTTTTCCTTGGTTCACTGTTTCATGTTGAACTACTTCCAGTTGCCTTTCGAACATGGTTACAAGGTATCGAATTGTTGGATGAAACATTTTTTTCTCAGAATTTGGAAGACATTGCTCCCATTTTCCTGTGCCTTTTAGTGTTTCCATGAGGAATCTGTCCTTTTTTTGTTTTTTGTTAATCCTCCCCCGAGGATATTTTCCCATTGATTTTGGAGAGAGTGGAGAGGCGGGCGAGACACAGAGAGAAGCATCGATTGGTTGTCTGACTCCTACATGTGCCTGACCAGGGCCAGGATCAAGCCTGCAAACGAGGCATGTGCCCTTGACTGGAAGCGAACCTGGGGCCCTTCAGTCTGTAGGCCGATGCTCCATCCACTGCCCCACACTGGCCAGGGCAGGAGCCCATTCTTATCCTGGTCCTTGGTGTCTCACCTGTGATTTTTTCTTCCTCCCGAAGGTTCAGATCTCTTTTCTGCAGCCCTTTTCTGACATTTCCTCATGTCCGTAGGTCTTTGGCCTCCATCACAGGGAGCAGCTTTTTCATTCCAGACATCCAGGTTCTCGGTTCTGAGAAATGTTTTCTGTGCTGTTATGGTATTCCACTTAGAGGAGATATCTCAAAGTTTTCTCAATCACTCATGTGTGTGTTTACTTAAGCTTTTTTTTTTCTTTTTAGCCTTCAAGTTGTCTTTTTCTTATATTATTCCCTATTTTAAAGCATTCTATTCTTTTTAAATATATTTTATTGAATTTTTACAGAGAAGAAGAGAGAGGGATAGAGAGTTAGAAACATCGATGAGAGAGAATCATCTATCAGCTGCCTCTTGCACACCCCTCTCTGGGGATGTGCCTGCAACCAAGGTACGTGTCCTTGACCAGAATCGAACCTAGGACCCTTCAGTCTGCAGGCCAACAGTTTCAACAAAGCATTCTATTCTTGTTTTTTGGACTCAATATATCTTACCTACGGTACGGCTTTAAATGACAGTGAAGTCCTGTGTAGCACCCCGTATTATCTTTACTTTCTTCACGTCCTTTTCTTTATGTTTCGGTCTCTGTATTGTGAGCAGGCCTGACTGCCAGAGGTCATGGGTAAGAGGGAAGCATGGAGAACTCCATGTGAAGGGGTGTGTGCCTATGTGCCTGCTCTTTGGAAAATTGGGGGCTATTCTAATTCCGGGCAGCAGAGGGCGGTCTTGCCTTACCCAGGCAGATGGAGCAGACAAGGCAGAGGTGGAATCAGTTAAAATAACCTGAGTGAGGCTTGAACTTCCAGGAGAGCTTTTTCTGCTCCCTGCCTGTTCCCACCCACATTTATGTCGACGGTCTCAGGAAAGCCGCTTTTAAATTGTGAGAGTGCGACGCCCACGAATGCCAAAGCTGACTGAGGGGACCCTCTTCCTGGGTATGCGCTCCTGGGAGGGCATGGAATCAAGCCACGCTATTTCATTATGTTTACATCTTGAATCAGCACCTTGCCCTGCCCGGCTCAGCTGCTCCTCATGACAACCACTGACGACAGAACGTGATGACAGCCCAGAGAGCTGCATGGGGTGCCTTTCCCAGCCCCCCTGTCCTGGGGGGGGGGGGGGAGGGGAGCAGTGGAGTGGACGAGGCTCGGCCCTGGAGGATGGGGCAGATTCTGGCTTTAAGCAGGAAGAAGAAAGGTCAGGATGGGAAGGCAAGCACCTGGGGTGCTGGAGGAGTGAAGCTGAAGCAGGTGCACACAATTCGTGCACATTAAAGGGGATTCATTAGAGGAAATAATTTAATATTGCTATTGGCCCTTACTCTATAATAGAAGTGTCAGAGATGAGAGGAAATTAGTAAAATGTATATGAAAACCTTCCTCCTGTCAGAGTCTGGGACTTACCACGGGACCCAGAGTCATGTCCCCGCCCACCCACATGCACCTCAAAACCGCATGAGACCCAGACCTGGTCGGGGGGCCCCTATTGGGCTAGATCCAGACCCATTAGCTAGGTCAGTGGTCGGCAAACCGAGGCTCGAGAGTCACATGCGGCTTTTTGTCCGCTAGATGTGGCTGGGCGTTAGAAAGGCTCATCCAGGCCGAAAGCTGGCTTCTGCGCATGGGTCGAGGAGTTTCAATCGCACTGGAGGTGATTTCTTTGATCATTACCAAAACCCATAGGACTCATCAGTCCACAGAGCCAAATATCAACAGGACAATGATTGAACTTTCTTTGGAGAGCCACATTTTTTAAACTTAGACTTCTTCTAACGCCACTTCTTCAACATAGACTCGCCCAGGCCGAGGTGTTTTGTGGAAGAGCCACACTCAAGGTTATGTAACAACAGCCCACACATAAGTAGATCTAGGTTTGGGAGCAAGGCATGTGGCTCTCAAGCCGCAGTGTGCTGACCACTGAGCTAGTTCATCTGTGGTCCAAAATCCAGGACGGATGCATGCCCATCGGCTGGAAGCATGTTGCCGTCTGGGCAGCTGTGGAGCGAAGCTGGCCCTCTGCAGCCTTTGTTTGCCATTCTTTCCTCAGACTCGGAGGAAGGTGATCCCGTGGCCAGCTGGTCAGCACCGCCACTGCCTTCCCCTGGCTTCTCCTCACACGGGGCTTCTTTCCTGCTGAGATTCAGTGCTGATTTTTTTTCTTTTTCATTAAACTCATTGGGGTAAAACAGAGCTAAGTTTCAGGCGTGCAGGGTTATCACTCTACATCTGTGTTGGAAATGCCAGCTATGTGTTGACTGCACAGCTGTTCTCTTCCTGAAGTCAGCCACCAGGGGGCGCCCACACACGAGTAGGTCTAGGTTTGGGACCTGGGCAGAACCATGACCTGGGCAGGGGGAGACTGAAGAGGTTTAGAAAGGGCAGCTGCTGGGAGACCGGGAGGACTGCCCTTGCCCTGGAGGTCCCCTGGACTCGGTCTTCAGAGAGGAAGAGGCTAAGGGGTATGAGCTTGTTAGGCCCAGCCTCAGGTCCCCCTTCAAGCCCCACTGAACGGGGTGCGGCCTGAGTTCCCCCGACCCAGCATTGGGGGTGCACCTGGAGGTCCCCTGTCAAGCTCTGCCAGGCAGGGGGCATGGCCTGAGGTCCCCTAGCCCAGCACCAGGATGGGAAGTGCACCTTGAGGTCCCACGTTAAGCCCTGTTGGGCAGGGGCCATGGCCTCGGGTCCCTGGCCTGGCACTAGGACCAGGGGTGTGGCCTGAGGTCCCCAAGCCCTATCGGGTGGGGGACACGGCCTGAGGTCCCCTGTCAAGCACCATGGGGCTGACGGAGAGCGTAGCGTCAGATCCCTGCTGATTGCTTGTTAAGGCGCCTTATGGGAACTTGTCTTCAGCTGTGGATGCAGCCATCTTTGTGATGGAGTGATGGTCAATTAGCAAAGTCCCTCTTTATTAGATAGGATCATCCTGCAGTGTTTCCCAAAGTGTGGTACGCGTACCCCCAGGGGTATGGAAAAGTTTGGTGGGGGTAGGCGTTGCACCAGAGTTTGTGGGGATATGCACTGCACCATGCTTAGCTGCGCCTAATTCTACATTCTCATGAGTACGAGGGGTACTCAGCATGACGAATATTATAGAAGGGATACACATGTGTCAGAGGTTTGGGAAACACTGGTCAAAGGTTTGCATGGTATGTATTTATTGGGGCAAAAGTTTTTGCACTCAGCATAATGTCTTAAGGTTCTTGCATATTGTTATGTAACAACAGCTCATTTCCTTGTGTTTATTGTATAAATAGATCAGTTTGTTTCTTCCTTCTGAATAAAGCTGGATGAGCATTCTTGGGTGAGCTTGTGGGCCAGTCCTGCAGGCTAAGGATAATAAAATGCAACGTGAGCGCTGGCCCCCCAGCCGTGTGGTTGTATAATAGCCTGTTCCACAGAGATCATGCTCCCCCACGTTCTGGCCAATGTCAGGGAGCACATCACAGCCTCTGGGTCAGACACACCGGCGGGCACTTCCGCACTGCACCTGGAGGCCACCCTAAGTGCCAAATCCCCGACATGAAACCACCAACACGAAGCACTGGAAAGAAAGAGGGCAGGGGAAAAGCAGCAGGGAGGTGCCTTGGTCACTCTCGCAGGGAAGGATAACGTCCCAGGGAAGCAGGGTTTGAGCTGAGCTTTGTGGGGCACGTACGCTGCCTAGTAATCGCAGAGAAGAGGTATTCCTGGCCCTCCGTGGTGTCTTCCCAATGGAAAACAATTCCAAACACTCTGCGTACCCTCTGACATCCTAGGGATCGCCCACAGATGCCTGGCTCTTCCCTGCTTCAATGATTCTATTCACCCCGTGGGCGTGGATTCCATGTCCACATGTCCAGATTCTGCCTTTGCTGCTTGCCCTTATTGTGCTTGTGCGTGCCTTTGAAACATGACTGGATTTCCAAAGCGAATTCCCCTATGTGTGGGCTACTTTTTCTTAAGCATCCTGTTTATCCTCTGGATAAAACAAGGAGTAGGTAATGCTGAGTACATTGGCTCTGGCACAGTACAGAATTTTAGGCATCCCTCCCAATTATCATGGGGTGGGTTGCCAATTACTGCACAGACATTCATGAGAAGAGACCTAAGTTCTACCTCACCTGGGCTGTGGCTCATCTGGCAACATACTGATCACGGGGAGAAGGAGGAGGGAGTCTGCAGGGAGCATGGAAGGAACGGACAGCATCCCCATTAGAGCTGCTCAACTCCGGTCACCTGTGGTGGCGGTGGTGCTGGAGGGAGCCTCGCAGCAGGTAAACAAATCACATGGAAACGCCAATGCATTTGGCCATTTATTGATGCCGCGCAATGGCAGGCTATGATTACAGTCAGGTTTTAAAGATGGCCGCACCCGGCAGGTGCCCTTTGAGGCTTGGGCATGGCAAAGCAGCAGAGATGCAGGGAGGCACACAACCATTCTGGAGGACAAGGATCGGTAGGCTTGTTCTTCCCAACCATGTTTTTTACACAAAATTACATAACTTAAAATAATAATAGAAATAGGAATAATACCAGTATTCGAATGAGCAATACAAAACCCAGGAGTAGCGTCAACCATGTTGGCTAAGTGGTAGCACCAGGAAGTTCACGTCATGTGGACTCTCTCAAGAGTGGATCACTGTGCACCGGGTACCAGACACACTGCCCAGCACTTCCCCCAGGTCAGAAGGGAGGAGAGCTGAGACAGGCTTCTCTGGGGTAGGGACGTGTAGCTCTCAGAGTTTACAGGACTTCAGCCAATTGATTGGGAAGTTATGACCTGAAAGAATATAAATCCCTCAGACTGTTTCAGCACCTTGATGAAGGTTACCAAAAACTCACTCAACGTCTGAAAGCATCACCCTGGGATGACTCTGCCAGTTGGGTGTCAGGAGAGAAGGTGGAGGTGCCCTCTTATTGAAGAAAACCCGTCATGAAGTCTTTTCTCCCAACAAGCCGATTGTTGTCTCGCCAAGTCTCACTATTGAGTCTCTTGAAATGTTACTTTCTCATGGTGCTGCAGTATGTCTTGTGTTTGAGAATTAAATTAAGCCATCACTTTCAGAGTCGCTCTAACCCTGCCACTGAGAAAGGCAATGGAAACCAGACTGGGTCTGAGGATCTTAATGGATTGAAGCACCAGGCCAGGTGGCGGCCCTCTCTAGTTCACAGGAGACGAGCGTCCAGTGTCTCTTGCTAGACTTCTCACTCACTCGTTCAAGTTAGGACGGGAGGAGGACATGATGAAACAAGCCAGCAGTGCTGCCTCCTGGTGGCCCCTGTGAGCAGCGAAGGAACGGTATGGACGCCATCTGTGTTCTTGCCTTCAGGGTCTCCCCAATAACCGGAGGCCCCTCTCTTGTTGCAAGCACAGGGACCCGTCCAAACCCTGGAGACCAAAAGCGGAGTGACTGTCAAGGCAACAACCATGTCCAATGACTCCAGTAGCAAAGTGGGGTCCAGGTGGACAGATGCCACACAACTGGCTCACCGCACAGCCCCCGTAGGGGAGGTGAATGTCCATGATGCATGATGAGGGGCCATTATCCCACCTTGGAGAAATCGGAGCAAGGCCTCAAGTGGAGCACCTGGCCAGGCCCTGCCATCTTGGCCACCCGGGTCACAAACAACCTTCAATGGATTGGGAAGACCAGCCCGATCACGTTTGGTGAGGTCAGTAGGAAGCCAAGCCTGTTCCTGAGTTTTGTTAAGACTGGTCATTTCAGGTCTCTGGTGACATGCGTGACCTTGGGATAGGACAGCACCAGCTTAAGTCAATCTGGTTTACTCAGTTCACCCCCTGAGGGCCTACACGACACTTCAGGGACAGTCTCCGCAAATTACCTTATCAGAGAAAAATCACCTTCTCCTCCGCTCACATCCCTAACAATTTAAGCATCTTCTCTCGAAAACTATTATTTCACCGGGTTGTCACTGGTCAGCGATGCTTGTATTTGAAGACAGAGAATTATGATTTAGACATCAGTTTCCTGGCTTTAGGTAAACATGTCTACTTGCCTCCTGTTCCTGGTCTGTCTTGAATTTCACCCCAACCCCAGTGCTTTGTGTGCCACAGAAATGTCTCAGAATAATAATACATTGATGGCTTGAAAAGAAAAGCTCACATAATATAAAAATGGTTAAGTTTCTGGTATCCAAATAATAGAACTGGTATTGGCCAGCAACACCATCACACATTGAACAGAAGATGTATGTGGTCTTGCCCACGTCTACATCTATGTACATGTTCCTGTGAGTTCCGCCACCATCTAGATATTAGCACCATTTTGCATTAGCACCATCTGCTGAACGGAGAGATAATTCAAGATACGGGACACTGTGTTCCATAGGGATGAACTGCACCTGCGTGGGACTGAAAACCACTGCCCCATCACATGAGGGCCGCTGTCCTGCCTTCCCTGCCAGGAGCTCACCCTGAGGGCTTCTTCCTCTCGAGGCCCCACCCCCATTCATCCCCCCCCCCCCCTCTAGGTTCAGTTCATGAAAATGCCTCCCCTTAGAAACCAGGAATTCGCCTTGAATTTGAGACCACGGCCTACTTTGGCTCCTATTAGGTGGTGGGAACATCCAGGATAAGCCTTCTAACGTTCATTTCGGTTTTTGGATCCCCCAACTGCCTTGTTTCCCTCAAAGAAAAAGATCCTCCAAAGCAAGCTCTGGGAAGCAGATCATCTTTACCTCACTTGTGAGATTTTTTGTTTTTTCTTCCTAGACTAGAAATGTGTATTTAATACAACACACCTGATTCTTGGAGGTATGTTAACCTGGAGCTCCATTTTCCCACCTGGAATGGGGGAGGGGGCGGCCAAGGACCAGGCTGGAGCAGTTGTTGTGTGTGAACCCAGCAATGAAAGGATGTTCCACCTGAGCTGATGGCTCAGGCAAGGGATGTGCCACCAGAGGGGGCGTCAGACAGCAAAACCCGTTTGCTCATCGCCTAGGGATGGAAATTCCCCAGGCAAGAGGGAAGAATAAAGGCCCACGTTCCCTCTCTTAATGGCTGACCCTGGGACAATGCTGGGGTTGGGGTGCCAAACCCCACGCAGTGGAAAATCCACGTATAACTTTTGACTCCCCTAAATGGAATTCCCCCTTGCATCCAAGGAGTATGCCAGGGCCCAACCCCAACTCCTTGCTACACAGACACCAAAATTCATGGATGCTCAAGTCCCCTACATCAAATGGCATAGCTCAATGCCTGCAGTCTGCCCTCCACACCCACAGACTCCCACTGCAGATGGAAACAGCACAAGTCTTAACTGGGAAAAATAAAAATAAAAATAAAATCCATGTATAAGTGGACCCACGCAGCCCAAGGCCATGCTGTGCAAAGGTCAGCTGTACTAGCACACAATTAACTTCTGTTCATTTGCTTTTTAAGCGTTTCACAGAAATTACCCTCCGCTCAGAGGCACACAACTGTTCCAGCCTGGAGTTCTGGGGAGCCAAGTGCTATAGCATCACTAACCCTCCGGGCCCTGCCTGCTCCCTCTTACTCTCGTGCCTCTGGGTGGGCATGGGGGTCTGCACACTCAGATCGGGGGTCTCAGGGTGAGGGACTGACGGAGGCTGGAGGGGCACTTTCTCCTCCTCCCTACCTGAATGCTGGGTGAAGAAAGGGGCGCTCTGCCTGAGGAACTCAGGGCATGTCCCTGAAAGCTCTCCCATGACGCCATAAACGACAGATGCCCCGCAGAGAGGGGTGGCAGCGGCAAGATGATTCTACCCAGGTCCATTGACAAGACCCTTTGTTCCTGGATCAGTGTGGCTCTGTTTCCTGGTCCCGTGAGGTAGTCTGGGAAAAAACTGGCCTCTCGGCTTTCCTCTTTGAGGGATGACAAAGAGACATCGTTTCACAGACCTGCCTAACCTGGCACCTGTCCCAGGAGCTGAGCGGGGAGCGGCCTCATTCTCCGGGCGTCTCCCTGCCGATCAGGGGAGCAGCCGTGTTCGGGGCCCACCCCTCCTGCGAGGGGCACTGTGTGACGAGTGGGATGCAGCGGATTTGGTTTTGTTATGACGCAAAGTTGGACGTGAAGTGCAGAGTAACACCTCCTGGGGCAGTTGCCGGGGTAGCAGGGGCAGTCAGCAGGCTGTGGCGGCTGTGGCGGTGGTTCCCTCCTGGACTCAGAGCGCTTTGGGGTTCTGGAGCAGCCGTGGCTTCCTTGGCCGTGGGGCGTGGGCCCCGTGGGCCTGGGCGCAGGAGACACAGCACTGAACCCGCACGGTGGGCACCGAACACTTCCTCATGGTCCTCAGCGTCTGGCAGAAACCGGCCGATAGGTTGTCCTTGGTGCACGGCACATCTGCGGGAGGAGAACATTCAGGAAGTGCCACAATTATCCTTTGTTAGTGAGTGAGCCCACTGCCATTCATTCATAGGGAAGACGTTATGCGTCTACCAGGAAATGTTCCGTAACCATCTATAACGATAAAAGGTAATATGCTAATTAGACCGGACATCATTCCGGATGTCCTTTCTGATGAAGCTGGGGCTGGAGGGAAGCCAGCCGGGGTCCAGGATGCCTGCCAGGCCAGAGGAGGGAAGCAGGCTGGGTCCTGGGAGCCTGCTGGCAGCTGGAGGAAGAGGGAAGCAGCCCGGGTCCTGGGTGCCCAGAGGGAAGCTGGTGCCGGCAGCTGGGGGAAGGTGGGCCTACTCTTGTACGAATTTTTGTGCATCAGGCCTCTAGTTCATCATAATAGTGGACATGCACCGAACACTGGTTATGTCTCAGGCGCTGTGTGAGGTATCTATGTTAAATGGAATCATCAGTTGTAAGCCTTCACCTGTAGCTTGTTAAACACTCCTACCCTTGCCGGGTTACCAGGGGGGTGATGAGTACTAGTAAATAGTTCTCTGCTTCTGCGCTTTGGGGTCAGCTCTCTGACTTGCTTGGGCAATGGGACGCCAGGAGACATGATCCCTGTGGGGCCTTGGGATGTGGGGAGGGTGGCCCTGCCCTGATGAGCGTTGGCCATCACCATGAGGACGTGGCTCATGCAGGCACTGAGCCAAGAAGGATGAGAGATTTACAAAGCCGGCCTCAGCCAAGGCCAAGTAAGGCCTGGCTAGATCAGCTGTATCCTGGTAACCTGTGGAGGCTGCACAAAAAGTACAGGGGTGTAGTTTTAAGGCCCTGGGTGCAGAGCTGCCTTGCTGAGCAGTGTTGTTATGTGACAGCGAATGGAGTGTTTTATGGGCACCACTTCACTGCCTCTTCCCAGCAGTGCTGCCAGCAAGGGCAGCAGTTCTTCTGCTTTGCAAACGTGGCATTGAGAACTGGCCCAATGGCATCTGGCTGACCAGCGACGCAGCTGGATCTGGACACAGGCTGTATGGACCCTATGGCTCCTGCTTTTAGCCGTCATGCCATTCAGAGCGCCCAGCAATCACTGGTCAGCCCACTAACCATGCTCTCTGAGCATCACTGAGTGAGTCATGCGGTCCCTACCCTCCAGAACCACACACGGAGATGAAGGCATCAGATACACATAATCCCCATGACACGTGTGTAATTCCTCACCTGTGTTCTAACCCTTGTTCCCTTCTAACTAGCTCTGGGCCTTAATATGGCGTGTGTTTGTGTGTGTGTGTGTGGGGGGTGTGTGTGTGTGTGTCAGTCTGTTTTCCTCAGACACAAAGCAGTGAATTAGACAAGATTTCTCAGGAGCTACCACCACACACACCCTGGGTGAGACGCAGACTGCCTGGCCCCCAGACTCAGTCTGCAAAGAATTAAGGTCCAAGTCACAGCTTCTGCTTCTATAAAATGAAATTGTTTCAACGTTGTTAAGTGCCTCTCTGAGCTCCGGGCATCTGTCTTTCTCCTTCACAGAAAAGACTTGAATAGTCCCGGAGAAAAGCTTCTTCACACACAGGCTTCTGTCCATGAATAGAACTGTAGGTAGAAGTAGGAATTGGAAATACCCTTGTTACTCTAAACCTGTAACAATATTTTTGCCTCTCACTGCTTTCCCACCTTGAGGTCATAAAGGCAAAATATTCTTTTTATCTTTTCAGGACACATAATTCCCTGGACAATGCCTTGCTTTTTGTTTGGTTATTTTTTTGTGGAGAAATGAACGTCTTCTGTCATCTCTCAAATTCCATTGTGAGCAGATTTTAAGTGCCCTTGACAACAGGTAACACGCGATGCTCCTGGAACCACACGCCTCTCTCTTGCTCACTCTTTCCTTCTTCAGGCCTCTTCATACACCGTCATGGCACCCCGTCTCTCCTAAAACCCCACAGTTACTTTGGTGCAGCCCACATACATGCAAAGGGTTTTCATAGTCCCTATGACAGAATGGCCGTTTTGATTTAGATTTGAAGTCATTAACAGGTTAGATGGCACCCAAGAAGTGCAAAGGCCTGGAGGAGTTCAAACTTGACACAAACTCACGCCCGATCTTACAAGATGGACACAGCGGGTATATTTACGTGATGGCTGGATGGCGACAAGGATATAGGCATTGAATGACTTACTTTCAAAGCATCTGAGAGGCCACGGCAGACAGGTGGGTGGGTGGCTTTTCCATTGAGAAATTTCTTACAGCTGCTCTTTCATATTGTTCTCCATGAGTAAGCGTGGCTCTGCCTTCAAGAGGAGCTAATAATTAACTCTGTGCCCTGATAATTGTTGGCGAGTGGAATTCATTGTTATTTCCACCCGTTGCCAGCCAACTGTTAGTTACCATCTCTTCAGTGTTTGAATTCAAGATTAAATACCAGGGATGCATGTAACCCACTTTTGATTATTGCAGATTATATTATTCAGCAATAAGACAGTTAAAGAGAATCTAACATATAATTTTAAAATAACTGATAATACTTGGCATGTTCAACCAAGACTGTGTTGCTTCTTCAATTAGATAAAGTCAAAACAACATAGAAGGATTCTATTGCCTCAGTATCTTATTTTTAAATTAAGCTTATTGGGGTGATTTTGGTTCATATAATTTCAGGTGTGTAGCTTTATAATATGACATCTGTGTACTCTGTTGTGGGCCCAACACCCAAAGTCATCTTTTTATCACCATATATATCTTCCCCCACTGCCCTTCATTTCTGATAATATCGTTCTGTTGTCTGTATATATGAGCTTTTTCTTTTTTTGTTTGCTGGTTTGTTGCTTTTTAAAATACCCTACATATGTGTTAAATCATTCAGGTCTTGTCATTTTCCATCTGACTTATTTCACTTAGCATAGTACTCTCAGTATCCATCCATGTTGTGGAAAATGGAAATATTTCATCATTTTATGGCCGAGTTCCACTCCATTATACACATTCACCACATTATTAACATTTTTAAAAATCCATTCATCTGTCAAAAGATACTAAGGTTGTTTGTTCCATGGCTTGGCTATTGTAAATGATGCTGCAACAAACATAAGGGTAACCTGTATCTCTACAGTTTGTTTTTCTGGTGGATAACCAGAAGAGGATTGCTGGGTCAAATGGGAGCTCTGTTCTTAATTTTTTTTGAGAAACCTCCATCCACTTTTCCACAGTGGCTGTACCAATTTACCCTCCCACCAGCTGCGTTCGAGAGTTCCATTTTCTCCACATCCTTTCCAACATGTATTTCTTGTCCTTTTGATAATAGCCATTCTAACCAATGTGAAGAAGTATTTCATTGTAGCTTTGATGTTCATTTCCCTCATAGCCGGTGATGTTTAGCATCTTCTTATATATCAGTTGACCGTCGGTGTGTCTTCCTTGGATAAGTGTCTCTTCAGGTCCTCTGCCCCTTTTAAAACCAGATGGCCTGTTTCTGTGGTTGCTGAGCTGTATGAGCTCTTTATGAATTTTGGATATGTTAATCTAGCCCGGTGGTCTTAGTTCTGCAGGAATAGACCCTGAGGTGCAAGTTTGTGTCCAGGGGCTCAGTGAGATGGCGCTCCTGGGGAAGACCATTACAGGAGCGCATGGGAGGCAGATAGAAAGGGAGGAAGCACAGCCAGCTGCCATCTCCGGCGCAGTCCTCACTGCAGCGGGTCCCACGGGGCAGCTCCAGGATGCAAGTTCTGTCTCAGCCCAGCTCCTGAAGCCAGTGAGCTGCACTGTGACACCCCACACTCTTCACCCATTGGCCAACGGCTCCTCAGGGGAAGTGAGTTTTCCGGCACTGTAGGCTTTCCAGGTGGAGAGACAAAGCTGCTGGAATGTGTGACAGACAACTGAGACAGAGCATGCCTCCTGCAGCTGCCCCAGGGGACCAGGCTGAAGCGAGGATTGTGCTGGAGATGGCAGCCTGGTTGAACTTCCTTTCTGTCTTGCTTCCCATGCTCACCGAATGGTCCTTCCCAAGAGTGTTTTCTTAATGCATCCCTTGCACACAAGTCTGCGTCTCAGGGTCTGTCCCTGTGGGGCCTAAGGCAGTGTGCCTGGATGACAGAGGGCCATTCGGTATTCTGAGAAGGCGGGAGCATCTCTGAAAAATCTCTGCAGGAGGAGAAGTGGTTCTCACCCACGTGGATGGCAGTGTGGATGTGCTTTAGGAAAAGGGATGAGATGATCCCCAAGGACTTAAGTCACTCCTCACCGAGTCAGACTGCTTCCTCCCGAGATGCGGCTGGCCTTTCGGCATGAAGTTCCCGGCTCAGGAGAGGGACCACGGCGACCCAGGAATGAAGTCATGCAGGACAGCTTCCCTGTGAAAAGCCTCCCTCCGAGCACCGCCCCCCACTCACCAGCACTCTTCCTGCAGGCCTGTGGGTTGCACTCTTGGCGTTCGGGAGGTCTGGGTTCATGGTCACACTGGCACTGGTCTTGACCTTCAGTGCCATTGTCCTCTGAGGAGACACAGTGGACAGTCCTCTTCTGAAAGCCACCCCCACAGGGAGCCGTGCACTGAAAGAGGGGGCACGTGGAAAATCAGAATGCTCCCCAGACCCACCAGGGGAACTCGGCAGAATGCCGCCAAGCCACCGTGGTCAATAAGAAAGTCTCAGGAACCGTTTTGGAGTCACAGAGTCATTAGTCAAAGGCACTGATAATGTGGGATGTGAGCTTAGGAAGAGTCTATATTACAGATTGTGTGGACTGCAATGGGCTTAATTTACTATTTGCTTCTCAGTATAATGTGTACAGAGGTTGAATTATGTATAAAATAGGAAAAAAATGTCTATTTGGGCCCTGGTTTCTTGGCAACCCAGTTTCTTTGAACTAGCTTTGATCTGGGGCTGGAAATCCGATGTGAGGAGACGGCACAGAGCTACAAAGAAAGCTGAGAGCAGGATAAAAGGGAGGTGGGAGAGGAAAACCACAGTGTGATGGAGGAAGACTTTGGGATGGACCCAGCTGGACCACGTGTGGCCTCAAGCCATTCTGAAGGTAAGGCTCCATGGGAAGGGCATGATGTGGCCAGCGCAGGCAGAGGGAGGTTTGCTGGCCTGTAGAAGCAGTTTAGACAAGATGATTCCTGGGCATGTCAGAAAATGTGTCTGAATTTATCATATATTTGCTTTTAAAATTCTAGGTATACCAATCCAAAAAAACTTGAAAATAAAACCGATAGTTTTATTTATACAAGAAAACAACTCTGAATAAATCTTTCCCTCCTTTCCAGGTTAATTCTTTTCCTTGTCTCTCCATCCAACTGGCTGCCACCTGGCAAGCGGATCGGCAGAGGATGAGACACCTGGGGCTCGTTACTAAGCCGCAACCTCGACGGCTCACGTGATGCCCATTCACTCTAAGAAAAGCCAGAGGCTCAGAGACGGCCAGGCCCAAAGCGCCTTTCCTTAGGCTCTGAGCCGCGGGGATAATTTGGTATTTGATCTGCATCTTTTGAAAGTCTTCCATCTTTTTCTCTTCTGAACTCAGGACAGAAAACACTGAGCCCCATATCAGCCCTGGGTCAACCTTAGGAGACTTAGAGACTAATGGATAGCAGAAAGATGCTACCACTAAAACATACAGAAACACACTGTAGGTCAGTGGACACACTGAACATTTACAATGAATGAATATATGTTCTTTTGAAATCAAAAGAAAACAAATGCCTTTTTTTTAGACTAAAGATGCGAAGAGAACACCACTGACTCTTACCAGGTCCCAGTTCCCGGCGGCCCAGTGACAACAGGAGTGCTGGTTGCAGGGGGCAGTAGACGCCGGTCGATCTGCCCAATCACAGAGGCCTCTCGGACAAGCCACGTGTCTCTTCTGCACTCCGCCCCCACAGGACCTGGAACACTGGCACACCACAGGGACAGGTTAGGTGAAAATCACACGGCCACGTCTGCAGTGAGAAGGGAAGAACTTCCTACGATCACTTTTGTCGCGTGCACGTTACTGAGAATATTAGTGTCTGTGCTGGAATCTGAGCATCTGAGAATATTGTATCTGTACAAGGTCCTGACGACCACCCAGTCCCTTCAAACAACAGCGAGGCAACAAAATGAGAGAGAAGGAAGGCACAAAGGAAACTCTGAGGAGAGAAAAGCAGAAGATGCCAAATAGCCCCATGTCAAATATGTCAGACAGAAGGCATTTTGGTTAGAAATCGAAATGAGTCATTCCAGAATGGATGTTGCTGTCTGTGTTTTGCCTTCTGGCCCCGGTGTCTATAAATGGCGATGTAAAATGTAGGCATTTTCATTATGATTCGCCGTGAGCAGGCACCTTTGCAATACAAGTTTGTTCGTTTCCTGTTAAAATCGGATTCAGTCTTCTTTTCCGTCCTCAGAAAGCTGTGAATTAAATTTGTGTCTATTCTGAACAGAGAAGTTAGTCAGTTTGCTCAGGGTTCTGATGCACTGGCTATACTGCTCACAAAATAAATCTGAAATGACAAGTTAGGTTCCTGAAGGGACACAACTCTAAAATGTGTCAGCTTTGTGCTCATAATTTTACAAGACTTATTGTCTCCTTTGCCTAACATTTTTGGGAGGGAATTAAATAATTCACCAAGAACCTTTAAAAAGCACTGTGAGTACCTTGAAGATATCTTAATTATGATGTAACAACAACAACGAAACTATGATGGGTGTCAGCATCTTGCCCATATCATGTCAGGCACTATGTGTGTGGTGGTACCACGGAAAATGCAAATGATATACAATTAGCCCTTTCTGCTCAATAAAAGAAACAACCTATTGCTTCCACAATGTTCCAACTTTGAGAGTCAACATGGACTTCCCCCCATTTATTCACTCCATTTTTAACTCCTTGAGGAGAAGAGAGTAACCCCACATTTGGGATCCTTATGTGTACCTACACATGTGCATAGAGATTCAGGACCACCTGAGCTGGTCATCTAAAACATACAGTGTGTGGAAAGGGTCTGGCCATCACCCCCAGCCTCACGCACAAGCCCAGGAAAGGCATGGGAGGTCTCATCACAAGGGTCCATGTGCACTTCCCCTCAGGGACCCACACCCCCTGTATACCTACTAGGGACACTAGGTTCTAAAAGACACTAATGTGTCACCATGGAAACCACACAACACAGTTCACGCTGTGGACCCCATGGGCCTCCCCGCAAAGCATTGGGTCCCTGAATGGCAGCCAGTCATTGGCACATGACACACGCGCGGGCACAGATAGTCACGTTGGTCGGGCCGTGTGGGTGGGGCACGAGGGGCTGTACCTGGCCCCAGGGCTCCACCTGCCACTCTTCGCAGGGCTCCGTGTTGCAGCTCATGCTCCGCGGGGGCGGGACGCCGGCCAGGAACTGGCAGTGGAACGGCCTCAGGCTGCGGTGCTCCCTGTCCACGCACTGAGTCTCCCGGATCTGGAAGCCCCCGCTGCAGTTCCTGGAGCACTGTGTGGAGAGAGGAGTGCCCGGCCCTCAGTGCCCGGGCCCAGGAGGTGTCACAGCACTGGACGGTCCAGGCTGCAGTCACCAGAGGGTTAGTTCTAGCTCACGACGCCCTGGGAGGGATCATCCACGTTACAGATAGGACATCCGAGGGTCAGGGTGTTTCTGTGACCTGCCCAAAGCTCCCGATGGGAGAGTGAAGAACTGGACTTCAGAGGGGACCGGGGCAGGGGAGACAGAGGCAGACCCTTGTGCTTCCCAGCCTTTCTCTGCCTGGTACTGTGGGTGAACAATATGGGTGAATAATACATCCCCTGGCCCTTATGTCCTGAGTGTCCTCCTTCCATCCTTTGGATTACCCACCAGCCATTGATCTTCCTTGAGCTCTGGGCTTCAATGTCACCCCTCAGAGAAGCCTTCCGTGAACAGACCCCTCCAGTTTGATCACAGGGACAGGAGCTATGGAACGACTTTCATTTATTGTGTCCGTCCTTCCTAGTAGTCTCCCTGCCATGAAGCTGGAGCCCTTCTCTCCTGGTCACCACTGTGTCCTGAGCACCTGGCACAGTGCCAGGCAAAGCAGAGATGCCCCACCAAACTTTATGAAAGAACAGATGAATTCCAAGCACGGGGCAACCAGGGAGGGCTCTCCGGGGGCCAGAGAGATCGGTGGTCCCCAAAGGGAGGAGAACATCCTGCTTTGTCTTCTTCCTCCTTTCATCCCTCATCCCAGTGCATTCGTGGCCAAGAGAATGCAAGTGTGTTGTAGCTGCCAGGTATGTTTTCACGTGGCTCCTTCTCTGCTTGGTACAAAAGCACGCTCTCTTTCTGGCCATGACAGGATAATCATAATTGTAGGTTCTTGTAGATGGAAAAGGAAAAGCTCTCAGAACTTTTCAATCGAGGTAGAACCCAAATACCACCCCTTCCTTCTGCACCCCGGCACCCTGGGCTACAGCATGGGGAGATGCGGGGGCCCGTGCGAGGGGGCAGATGGATGCTCCAGTGCTCCCATAAACCAACTGTTTAGCTTCTCAGAAATAAGCAACACTTGAAGACAGCCCCCAAATCAACTAAAGACTTCGTTTCCCTGCTGTGCTGTAAGCAGCTGCCAACTTACAGTCAGCCAGAGGACATGAGGAAGCGAGCTAATCATTTCCACACAAAGCGGCCATTTTCCCGACAAGCAGACTTCTGGGAGAAAGCACGTGGTTAGAATAAGAAGGCTCGTTACTAGGAAAAGGACTTTTACAGACACATGTGTAAGAAATACTTCCTTAGGCTCCATTCGATGCTATCCTCTGACATTCCTACACTGAATTTTCAAAACAGCCTTCCCCTTTGGTGACAGAGGGAATTCCCATTCAGTGACACGTGGAGTTTGTTAATGTGCTGAACGGAGTCATCAGGGAGGACACTCACTGAAGCTGTGACTTTTCTGCTCCATTAAAAAAAAATATATATATTATTGATTTTTTTTTTTTCTTACAGAGAGGAAGGAGAGGGACAGAGAATTAGAAACAATGATGAGAGAGAATCATTGATCAGCTGCCTCCTGCACAGCCCCTACTGGGGATGTGCCCGCAACCAAGGTACATGCCCTTGACCAGAATTGAACCTGGGACCTTGAGTCCGCAGGCTGACACTCTATCCACTGAGCTAAACCGGTTAGGGCTGTTCCATTTTCTAAAGTCCTTGGATTCTGCCAGCGCGAGGGGAGGGTCAGGCTATCCCATCACTCCACTCCTGACGCTGTTTCACCTCTGGGTGTGAGGGCCAATTCTCACATTCCTTTCCTTATTGCCCTGCAGGAGGGTCGTTTGTGTTCCTGCTCTCCTAGCCGGTGGACCAGCTTGAGGACGGGAGCCAGACTGGGGAGACTAGACACACCAGTGGAGGCCCTGCTGTGACCAAACAGGCCTCACGCTCTACAGCTTGCTCACCTGGCAGAGTCTGCAGGCAAATGCCCTCATAAAGGAGCCACGGGCAGAGATCAAGTGAAATCGCAGTGGCTTCTCTCTTGCGTTGTGTTTTAAGTTATGAAACGCACACAGGTGTTCCGATGTGAAAATTAACAAACAGGCTCAGGAGGGCCGTGAGTTCATCCCTTCTCTGAGCCTCTGCTTCCCATGGTATCAGAGGGATAAGCTGGGTGATTAAATACCCCGACATTCTGGAGGGTGTAAGTGTGGGGCCACTAGGTCTGTCCTCTGTTTTTATTTCAGAATACTCCTCCAGTCGCATGCCAAATGCTAAACCAGGAAACAGAAAGAAATTCTTTTCGGCTCCTTTCCTTATGCTACACAGATTCCTAAGACCCTCAGGATCAAATAACGCATTCCACACATTCTAAGTTGAACTGCATCAACATTCGCCCTCCATCTGTTCCCTCTCCCCCACCCCACCTCCCTTCCTCCAAGCACTGGGCACTGTGATGTCCAGGCTCTGAATCCCAATCTGGCAGCGGGGTCAGTGACTCCAATGAGTAGAAGTGATAAAGGCTTATGTGTAGGTCGTCCATGATCCAGTGAGGGCACAAAGGAGGGGGCTGTGTCCGAGGAGGTCAGGAAAGGCTGGGACAGAGGGGCGAGGCTGGGGCTGAGTCATGTAAGACGAGCAGATGCTGCCTCGGCTGGCAAATCAGGATGGGAGACATGCGAGGTGTAGGGATGGCACAGGCAGAGGCGCAGTTTGTTAGGAATTGGTCAGAATGCTAGAGCAGAGGGAAGGTGGGCAGCGGGAGAGGCCTCCAGCGGGAGAGGCCTTCTCCAGCGGGAGAAGCCAACTCCACCATCTGGCTTCATGCTTCCTGTGGCTGCCATGGCTCTGATTTAACTGCCATTCCTCTTTAGGGATCCCTCCCCGTCTTCCTAAAGATCAGAGCCACCGGGAGAGCAGTACATGACATTCCACAGTCCGTCTGCAGCTGCCAGGGAGCAGAGATGTCAGTGAGACCCCGTGGTGCTGCTTGTCAAGGCAAAGTGGCTCCCCAGAGAGAAGACGGGGGTGGCGGGGTGCGGGCATTTGGGGCTGTGTGTGCATGCCTGGCTCCCATCTCGGTGCCGCCCACTGCCAGGCAGCTTTCAACCTCACCACTGACCAGGGCCAGGCAGCCTGGGTGGATGCCTCCAGAGGCTGGTGTAAACCGGAGCGGCAGGCCTGTGAGTGGCCCAGAGCGCCCACGCGGTGAGGTGAGCAGCTTTTGCAAGAACTTCGCAGACAGCACAATGAAACGGGTAACCCCAGCCCGATGAGCAAGGACAATAAAATCACAGCACGATCGCTGCTTCGGAAGATCAAATTCTCCTTTGCGGTTCAGCTTTCACGTTGCGTCTGGCAGATTCAACGTAATACAGGCTTTGTGCGCAGCTGCTGAGCCGTGATTTAATTATGCGGACGATAACGGATACTTATTACTTGCACTGCTAAATGTAAGTAATTTAGAAATAGGGTTGCAGGCTGGACAAGCGATTCATTGCACAAGTGTAAGTCACCCGGTGAGGGAAAGGACAGGCAGGTAAAACACGCGGCTAATACACACGCTGTACTGTGCTGGACTGCTGTCCCCAGGGCAGCAGGCGTATGGCCACGCCTACGATTTACTCACCCACCATTTTCTCACAGAAATGGGCAGAAGGGAGGCAGGGAGTGAGGAAGGGAGGAGAGAAACCAACTTAATAGCAAAGGCTTATATAAGACCTTTTCCCTCCAAACCACACCCACCACTGAGCCTGCTCTGTTACCGCCGCCCTCTACACCCCCATCACAGCCTGGTCAGCTGCCACGCCCCCTTCACACCCCACCACTGAGCCTGCTCAGTTACCTTGCTCCAGTTGCCCACTTTCCAGCTGGCACAGGGACGGAGGTGGCATCTCTTGGCGGGGTCAGGCCTCTGCACGGCTGCGCAGTCGGAATCCACCCGGGTGCTGCACTCCACGTGGCGCCAGTAGGCCCCCAGCCCGCACGTGGTGGAACACTGGCGGGGACAGAACACAGAGCTGAGACACACCACGGCACCTGCCGTCGGAGTTCCGTCTGGCTGCGATCTCAACACTACCAGTCCTGCGCCTGGCCCCGGGCCAAGGGCTGCATCTGGGCTGGCAGGGCCCAGGCAGCAGGAATTTAAATAACTTCCATTCCAATATACAACCACAGTTGAGAATCTCTGATTGATATGCAGGAGGACAAGCTAGTGCAAAAAAAAAAAAAAAAAAAAAAAAAAAAAAAAAAAAGGGAGTGGGGCATTTGTAATGCTTTCAACAATAAAGTTTAAAAAGGAAGGGTTGCCTGCTGAAGTGCCACCTACCGCATTTCATGCGGGTGCTATCCCAGGGGCCGCCAGCCCCATGCACCTGCCTCCCACTCCCCTCTGCACCTCACCGCTGACACCACCACAATCTCATTATCTCAGTCCGCCCTACACACACACTACGGTGTCAAGGGGCATCGCTATAAGAAACCCAGGCTTGGGAAGCTGGCTTGCTCCAGGAGTGAGACTGGGATTTTCTGCTTCTAAACCACAGGATAATATTGCCACAGCCGTGTCGCGAGTGGCCGTGGGAGTCACCGGGACAAGCTGGGACAGGCAGGCTCTGACTCCGGAGGTCTGGAGGGGCTGGAGAGGATGCAGTTCTAACCGGCTGCCAGGGGTGCAGGTGCTGTGCGTCCTCAGACCACAGACCACAAGTGGAGTTAGCAAGATGCTATGTCATGATGCTTTTCACTCCTTGACCCCATGGTGGTGAATAAATCAATGATTGTTTGCCACAGGCATAGTCTATCCCTCACAAGATGTTTTAATTTGTTTATAACTCTTAAATAACTCAGGGTTAGCACGGGGTCACCTTGAAAACTGCACAAACGCCCCTCCTATAATTTCTTGTGTTCTATGCGCCCGGTGCTTTCCTGCGGATGCTTTGACTTCATCCCCTCTTCCCTGCCCAACCTGAGAAGGCGGGCTGTTTCTGGGCCTGTGAAACCCAGCTCGGGGCCATAAAGAAAAGGGGTGGGAGTTCCACCTGTGCCATTCTGGGGAGTTTCTTTTGATTAGTTATATAAGCAGCCTTACATTAATTTCTCTTGCTGCATTTTCACCCTCCATATAATTCCATGTTTCACTCTGTGCGACTTCTTGGGTTAGAACACATGTATGACGGATAAATTCACTGCAGAATCATAGCAAAGCAGAGTAAAAACAGCGTAGGTCCGTGGTCGGCAAACTGCGCTCACGAACCACATGCGGCTCTTTGGCCCCTTGAGTGTGGCTCTTCCACAAAATACCACGGCCTGGGCGAGTCTATTTTGAACAAGTGGTTTTAGAAGAAATTTTAAAATGTGGCTCTCGAAAGAAATTTCAATCGTTGTCCTGTTGATATTTGGCTCTTTGACTGATGAGTTTGCCGACCACTGACCTAGGTCATCCATGTTTCCAATGGGCTCATCTCTCCTCCTTCAAGTTGTTTGGGTTTTGGTTTGTATCTCTCAAGTTCCCAGCACTTTCTCCCCTGAACTAGACTACTTGTCTATAACAGAGACAATGACAGAGCTGAGCACTGCCCACCAGCGGCCCCTCGTTCGCACCATGCGCTTTGCAATGGGACTTGGCAGCTCCTCCCGCTGGCGGTGGGATATAGTGACTTTGGCGGGTAAAATGCAGTGGGTGATGCTGTGCCTGTTCTCAAGGGGCCTGGCTGGTGTCAGCCCTCTTTCTTGGACCCCATCTCCACCACGGGAAGAAGGCCAATCTGCTGTGTAGATTTGGGGGGGGTGCCTCTGAGTGATTTGGAGATCATGTGGAACAGAACGGGGTGACCCGGCCAAGGCCATCCCAGCGCGGCCAGCTTCAGCCAACGCTCCAGCAGATGCAGGACCGGCCACACTGAGATCAGCTGAGCTCGGCCCAGACAGCACAACCTCCCAGCTGACCCACAGGCTCGTGAACAAACATAAACGTTTACTGAGGGGTCGTGGCGGTTGGCTATTTAGCGTTGCTGTAGCAATGGAGAGTTGTGGGGTAAACATTTTGTTTCCTAAGCTGCTGAGACAGAGAAGGCCCCGTGCCTGGTCATGAAGGAGGCTCCTGCCAAGTGTGTCGGGTGGAAAACTGAGCTCTGGGCGGTTCCCTTTCCCAGCCACACTCCTGGGAAGTGGTAGCGCTCCCTGGCTCCTGCGAGGCTGATACATTTTTGATGAACTACAATGTGTTCCATAAGACAGGTTATTTCTGTCAAAGCCAAGTGGCTACATTTGAGGTGGAATTCATTCTGTGTATCTTGAATAGAATATAATCAAAATGTGTCACTTAACCTCTGAGCTCCAAGAGTCATAAGGTTGAATGTGCACTTTTATTTATTTGGAGACAGTAATTTCTCTTAGAATCGATGAACATTTATCAGGTAGCACACATTAAGAATCTTCAGGACAAAAGCATTAGGACACATTTGAATTTAATAATTCCACAACTGCTTTGGGATGCGAGGGGTCGGGTTTAAAGATGAGGGGATAGGAGAGAAACTAATTTCTGGGCCATCCTAATGCTGCTTTTACATGAAGCTTTTGAATTAACTTGTGGCCTGAGAAGGGCTGGTCCTTTCTTATTCGCACCCCCACTATGCCAGCTCTTCCATCAGAGGACTGTGATCATTCACCGAAGGATCTCGCCTTCGGACTGCAACCTGGCACCTGCCTCTGTCTCATTATAAACACAGTTCTCCCCACAGTCACCAGTGACCTGCTAAGTGCAAAATCCACTAGGTCCTCTGGCAGCCCTTATGGTACATCCATGTACCAGTTCTCTTGGCTTATGTCTTAAATAGTAGACTATTCCTCACTAGCCTTCCCCTTGGAATCTCTTTGTTAGCCAGGTCCCATGCCTGGCCCACCCTTCCTTGCATCCTACAGGTTAATGGGTGACCTCCTTCCCTCTTAAGGGCCTAACTTGTACCTACTGGTCTTGACTATCAAGTCTCATCTCCAACAGCCTCAGACTCACAAACATCTGCTGGTTATCACCCGGATATCCCAGGGTCCCTCCAATTTAACTTCACTCATCCCCTTTCCTTGTCTCTGCTAACACTCTCTCTCCTCTATAATGTGCGGTATCTCCATTTATAGGAGCACAACCCAACAGACAGCCAAGATTTATTCCAATGGAACAGTCATGGCCAAGTCCTCTCCTCCTCTTTCCTTCCACATCAATTATTCACAAAGCCCTGTGGGAATTCGTGTTAATTAGCACAAAATCATGCTATTTCAGCATGGGACATGCTTTAGAAATGCTCACTGTCAGCATCCTCCTCACAAAGCCCATTAGAACTTTGCTAATGAAATAAGAAAGAAATCAGAGTAAAATGTCAGCAATCTCCATACTCTGAGCATGAAGATCTATTTCCTCCACAACCTGTATTTTTCACATGCACATGGAGATGGTAAGATGCCACTCCACGGACAGGAAATGCGACAGTTACTTAAGAAATCAAACACGAATCAATGTGCAAAGAGTTCAAATGTAAACAGAAATTTTTGAAAGTTTGAATTTACCTGTTTAATACCAATAGAATCAATTCTATGACCTAAGATGATGATTATTTCATATCAAAACCCTTATACAGCTAAGTTGTCAATTGGTGCTAAAATTCACAAGAGACTGTAGAGTAGAATAGAAAAAGTTAGAAGATTCATCATCCAAAGGACACGTGTGTCCTTAAACAAGTCAGTGAACCACGGACTATCCTCGTTTTTCTATTTATAAATTGCTATCAATCAGATCCTCCATGCTCCTCAGGGCTGTCAAAAGGAAAAAATAAAAGATTACGTTCGAAGTGGCTTGGAAATTAACATCCTTTATAAATTAAAGGTCTGTTTTTTTTTTTTTTTTTAATATTAGCTATTATTACTTCACTTCCTCTTAGCTACAAACATGAGCCATGAAATGTTATAAAAATGCTGAATAGTTGGAACATGCGATTATTTTGCCACAAAGTCCTCCTTTGAGTTATCAAATTACTTTTAACAAGCACATACACTGTGCATTTGAAATTAAAATGGGTGAGAAATGATTTTGATGCCACCCAGGATTGAATCGGTTCTAGAAATGGAAAAACAGATGTCACGCCACATTCCTGCAGCCGGACAATGGGCACCAGCATTTTTTCATCATATGTTTTGTCTCCCTCCATATTCTAATTCTTTTAACAAGCTCACATATCTTTTGGAATGTAAGCAAACACACCCACAAGAAAGAAAATAAATGATACAGTGAGCTGTAGACTTTCTTTAAAGTAAGGGTGCTAGAATTCTATTCTACTTGTTCTTACTCGATGGGGTTAGAGTAGGGTCTCAAACATCAGCTTTCTGAATGACAGGTGCCCTTTCGGTTGGCCTTCATCAGGAGATGATCACAGCTCACAGCTGGGGGGACCCTGGAGAGGACCTACACTAGCTCATTGTCCTGCAAATGAGAAGCAGGCTCAGCGGAATGGGCCCACTCTCCCTATCACACAGCTGGCTGGCCAGGCCTCCTGACAGAGTTCCAGATTCTTTTCACAGTATCTCACCACATCTGTTCTCTTCCCTAAAGATTTTGTTTTTTCATTTTTGGAATTAGGGAAGTAAAGAGGGGGGTGAGTAAAGCATAAACCTGATTGCTTCAATGCTTACTCCACATTAGACTACATTCCAGACAAGCCCATTTTGAAACTTGCACAAGAATGCATCAGCCCTAACTATTTTCCAGAGAGAAATGGGCATGCGGTAAGAAATGGAACTCCTTAGCTGGTTTGGCTCAGTGGATAGAGCGTCGGCCTGCAGACTCAAGGGTCCCAGGTTCGATTCCAGTCAAGGGCATGCACCTTGGTTGCGGGCACATCCCCAGTGGGGAATGTGCAGGAGGCAGCTGATCGATGATTCTCTCTCATCGATGTTTCTAACTCTCTATCCCTCTCCCTTCCTCTCTATAAAAAATCAATAGATTATATTTTTTAAAAAGAAAAGAAAAATAGAACTCCTACCTCGCTCCAGTTTCCGACGACCCAGCGCGCGGGGCTGCGGAGCGGGCGCTGCGGGTAGCTGGAGGCGTTCAGCAGGAAGCCCTCGGCCATCAGGCCGGCTGCGTCCTCCTCGGTGAGGACCGGCCCCGGGCTCTGCGTGGGGCTCACACGGCCGGGCAGTTGGGGGGCGCTGTGGCTTCCTGACTTTTCCGGGGGTGCTGGCGGGGGGCCGCTCCCCGGAGGGAGTGCCGTGGAAGCTGGCTTCCCAGGGGCCGGCCCCTCAGCTCTGGGTGTCCCGGCTGTGAGAGTAGCAGGTCCCTGGCTGGGCGGCCGTCCTGGCACCGTGCTGACCGGGGGCCACAGGGATGCCCCCCCAAGAGAGGGCGTTGGCGGAGCTGCAAGGGGCACGTCTGTGCTCCTCTCCACGGAAGCATCCTTCCCGGGGGCCGCGGTCCGGGTCCACAGCACAGCGCTGCCGGCAGTCCTGTCCTCAGGGGGCTCGCCGCCGGCTCCCGAGCCGCTGGGGCCCTCGGCGTCCGGCTCCTCGCTCAGGGTGCTGGGGGGCGGGGGCGCCCGCCGGGCCCCGGGGCTGCTGGGCACTGCCCAGTCAGAGCCGCTCACGGTTGTGGCTAGAAGGCCCCCCTCGGCGGTGGGCCCCGGCTCTGAGCTGGGGGCACCCTCTCCCTGTGGCTGGCTGCTCGGCGGCCAGGCCGGGAGGATGGGCTGGGCGGCAGCCCCAGTGGGCACGGCGTCAGGGGTGTCCAGCTCGGTGTGGATGGAGCTGTTCTGCCACCGTGTCGCACCCAGGTCTCCCTCCCCGGAGGCTGTGGTGGGACAAGGGCTGCTGGTGGCCCTGGTGCTGGTGGCCTTGGTCCCGGGCGCTGTGGGTGTGGGCAGCGATCTGGGGCCAGCTGGGGGCGGGATGGGCTGCTGGGGGTGATGCCCAGAGCTGGGCGGCCTCCTCCCGCTGGGCATGGAGCCCCGGCCGGGGACCAGGAGCCTGCGGCTGGTCGGGCATTGCTGCAGGCCGCACAGGGCCCGGCTGTTGGGCTTCCTCGTCACGTCGCAAGGCTCGTCATGGTTCTTGGCGCAGGTGACACTGCGCGTCCGCACACCGCCGCCACAGGACACGGAGCACTGCAGGAGGGGACAGCGGTCAGGGGCCTGGTCTCACTGCAGGAGGGGACAGTGGTCAGGGGCCTGGTCTCACTGCAGGAGGGGACAGCGGTCAGGGGCCTGGTCTCACTGCAGGAGGGGACAGCGGTCAGGGGCCTGGTCTCACTGCAGGAGGGGACAGTGGTCAGGGCCCTGGTCTCACTGCAGGAGGGACAGCGGTCAGGGCCCTGGTCTCACTGCAGGAGGGGACAGCGGTCAGGGGCCTGGTCTCACTGCAGGAGGGGACAGTGGTCAGGGGCCTGGTCTCACTGCAGGAGGGGACAGCGGTCAGGGGCCTGGTCTCACTGCAGGAGGGACAGCGGTCAGGGGCCCTGGTCTCACTGCAGGAGGGGACAGCAGTCAGGGTCCTGGTCTCACTGCAGGAGGGGACAGCGGTCAGGGCCCTGGTCTCACTGCAGGAGGGGACAGCGGTCAGGGGGTCCTGGGTCTCACCCTCAGACTGACGACCGACAGAAACACAGTGGGGCTCAAACGGTCACACCTCACCTCTGTTTCTGCTCTGGTGGCTACGCCTTCAGTTTCCCATGAAACTGTGTATCTGCCTGAGACCATCTGAGCCTCAGAACCAACCACTTACCCTCCACACACAGAAAACACAAACCACAAGGGTGTAAATGAGGTCTCCCTGGGCTCTGAGTGTTGGACAGTGGATTCACAGAGTGCAAACATTTAAATAAACCACCCAGTCTTTTAAAGAGACAGTAGTCATCTCTCCCCTAGGGTTTTGATGCTGTTCGATGAACATAAAATGCTTACACGTTCTCTGGAGTCCATGAGGTTGGTTCCAATGAGCCTTCCCCTTTTTATGTAGGGAATACCCATCGAAACTCCCCTAGCCTCACCCACCAGCTCCATTTCCGCTCGCCTGTCAGTAGAACCCTATGAAGGGCTAGACATGGTCACATCCGTGTGTAGACCAGGACCTTTCCTGCCATTTAAAGTGGGTGGTTAGTCAAGGGTGGGAGCGACCCTTCACAGAGTGTTCGGTGAGCCCTGTAGCGGTACTGAGCTACATGGGGTCCTGGCAGCCACCCCTCACCCCCCAGTGTTCCCTCCACATTCTGCAGGCGCTCCAATCCTGGCCCTGTGCTGGGAGGCTGCGTGACCTTTGAAAAGTTTCTATGCCCGAGTTTCTTCACCTGCGCAATGGGGCTTAATGAGGCCACTGTGAGATCCTGCCGTGCCCAATATGTATTTGCTATTGATATGTAATTAAATACTGATTGCCAATTTGGCAGTGTCCTTTTGTTGCTATGGAAGCAATGCATTAGTTCCCCCCTGCCACACACGGACACACTTTTTTTTTTTTATGTCTCTCACATTTGTGTAATCCCTTAGCTCTGTGCTTACAGTGCTCTGTGCATCAAAGCGTCCTGAGTTTAGCTACTGACTTATGGCCCCCAAGTGAAGGAGGCCACAGATCAACTCCATCAGGATATTTGGGTGCCACTGACTGGACAGAGTGGAGACCTTCTGTAAGAAGGTAAGTTGGACAAAACCAGGAGATGAGTCTTGTTGAAACTTGAGATTGGGAGTAGAGGAGGAGGGGCTGGCCACAGAGGGCAGACAAGCCCTCCCTGGGAGGAGCCTCTAGCTCCCACTAGGTCTCTGCTCTGACTACTGACTCAGCTGACCCCCTTTCTCTCCTCGCTGGGGCTGGTAGACTTGCCTTGACTGAGGAGGGCAGCTCATCAATTAGCCTTCCCTCCTTCTTCCCACCTGGGGCAGTTCAGGAGGATCATTCTATAGGAGTCCCGGAGCCTCACGGTTCCTGTGTCTTTTGGCCCAGTCACGTGAGAGCTTTAGACTCATCCACGGTGACCTGAAAGGCCCAGTGCAAACCAAATGAGCAGGCATTTCTTCCCATTACCCTGCTTGAATTAAGGTCAACCGCAAGACAAAATCCAGACCATGAATACTATGTATATATAGTAAGAATCACTACGTCTTCTCTCTTAAAAAGTAGCTAATCAGAGTTAGAATGTCAAAGCCATTTCATTGTATTCCAGCAAACAGAATATGTGATGTTGAGGTGAATGGATACAGCCATTAGCAAAATGGCAGAGGGAAGAAAGGAGGACACATTTGATGAGTATTTTGATTCCGATTTAACTACAGGCACCTGTGCTGGCAACATCTGAACGCAGGCAGCGGCTCAGTCTTTCCGCTCTGCCCCGTCAAGTGGAAGCTGGAAATCGCACTCCCTGTCTGCTAACAATACGCCGGCGAGAGCCTGTGTTTGAACAGACGCAAGTACTTGTCACCGCCTGACAACATGTTGGTCCTTTGCTCCAATTAAGTCACGTCATTTTGCTCCCCATAAACAGGAACACAATAAAAAGAACTCCTCAGCCAAACATGTAATTGAAGTTCTTTTAAAAAGCATGAGGACTCTGGCAATTAGTAAATTCTACAAGACAAAAATTAACTGCTTCTGATGCAGCCAAAACATTTTTGGTAAACAGATTTGATGGGCCAGCCGCTATACCCCACTCAGCCTTATTTCAACAGCAGCGTAATTTACAAGGCCGGCTCTCCTTGTTCCCTTGTGGGAATAGCAGGGGGAATGTTCTGGACTATTGCTGATAAGGCCACATGCATCAGTGCTGCTATTGGCAGTGCACCTGTGTTAGTATGTAGGTACATTTTCTTTACAGGTGTACCTCGGTCTTTTGTTTTTGTCCTCACTCCCCATTTGATTGGAAGTTCCTACAGTACAGGGACCATACTTGCCATTAGAAAAAAATTCACCTACATGACCAAGAATGCATGGACCATACTTGCCATTAAAAAAAAAAAAAATTCAGCTACATGACCTGGACAGGATTAGAAGCTAAATAAGCCCAAGCTGTGACTATGAGCTAATCAATGAAATCGAGTTTTGGAAATAAGGTCATCAAGGTGGCTGTAGTCAGAGGAATTTGTGTTCAGTTAGTTATCTTTAGGGGTGGAAACGTTGCTTATACAAAATTTCAAATTCCTCTTCAGTAAACACTTGCAGAGGAACGTTATACGTGATTAAAATCAACCTCATTTGCTTATAATAAAAATATAATTTTTTAAACAGAAAGGTTTTATCTGAATTGGTCACATTCCTCCCTGACCCATCAAACTTAGTTCTAACTGATTTTTTAATTGATTCTCCTTAACCCAGTGTTTTCTATTTCTCTGGAGGTGAGTTCTAAGAAGCATTCCTCAGACATCCTGGCCAACGGGAGCATTTCCTGCACATCCAGGAAAGCGTGTGGCTACCTGAGGAAGCCTTTGGAAGACAGCATCCATGGGTAAACTCTGCCCAGCTGGTGGTTAGAAAGCATTTGTCTTCTGTCACTCCTGAGGTCGCTGGCTGAAATGTGCATAAGGAAACAGAGTGGAGCCCCAGGGACTCAGGACCTGGGAGGAAAAGGGGTCCATTTCCACATCAACCCCGTGAGCATGAGCCTGGGTGTTACCAGGTACCTTGGTGACCCAAGAAAAACGGAAGCTGGAAGTTTTCATGACCGAGCCCACTAATCTCTAATTCCATGCAGAGAATTAAGTCAAGTTAACTTTGGGATTTGAATGCATGTGGCGAGTAACAGCAGCCATCCTAAACCTGGGTCAGGCCTGGCCTGGCCATGTGCCGGAAAATGGGTGCTTGAGAGGCATCTTGGAGGGTCACCGCCTGTCACCCCACCCTCAGAGCAATACTTCCTGGTTTCACTTGACTGGAGTAGCTCCAGGAACACATAAGCACGGCCAGTGTCTCACACACTGGATCTCGGGGTGGGTGGGAGCCCCGACGTGCTGCCAGTGGTGTAACAACAGGCCGACAAAGCCCTGATGGTTTATCACTGAGCTGCCTGGGCCTGTGAGGCAGGCCTAGCTCTTCCCCAAGAGTGTTTGACCACTGGACAAGGGAGAGGAAGAGCCTGTAAGAACAGAAAACAAGCCAATGGGCCGAGACCGGTTTGGCTCAATGATAGAGTGCTGGCTTGGGGACTGAAGGGTCCCGGGTTCGATTCCAGTCAAAGGCATGTACCTTGGTTGCGGGCATATCCCCAGTAGGGGTGTGCAAGAGGCAGCTGATCGATGACTCTCTCTCATTGTTGTTTCTAACTCTCTATCTCTCTCCCTTCCTCTCTGTACAAAATCAATAAAATATATTAAACACACACACACACAAAAACAAACAAACAAACAAAAAAAAAACACAAGCCAATGGAATCCTGGGTAGTGGGGAATGCAGGAGGCAGGCCAGAGGTGCGATGCTGGCCACTAGACCATTTTCCTCTAGAGCCGTGGTCAGCAAACTGCGGCTCTCAAGCCACATGCAGCTCTTTGGCCCCTTGAGTGTGGCTCTTCCACAAAATACCACGGTTTGGGTGAGTCTATTTTGAAGAAGTGGCTTTAGAAGTTTAAGTTTAAAAAATTTGGCTCTCCAAAGAAATTTCAATTGTTGTGCTGTTGGTATTTGGCTCTGTTGACTAATGAGTTTGCTGACCACTGCTCTAAGGTCACTTGGATTGACGAGGAAGGGGAGGGGCTGGTGAGGATGGGGCACAGATAATGCCAGTCTCCCTTTGGGCCCCTGGGCTCACCTCACTCCAGTTGCCTACGGTCCAGTCCGATGGACACAGGATATCCCTGTTGCAGGACACGAGGGCCTTGGGCTTCAGCAGGTGCAGGCAGTTTGTGGCCGGCAGCGCCCGCTCATCAGAGTCCATGGTCTGGATGCACAGCACCGTTCGCGTCTTCTCTCCGTGGGGCCCACATGTCGCCGAACATGCTTCCCACTGCCCTACCCACCACCTGTAGACACACATGGACATGTGAGAAAAGATCTTCCAAACCCCCGTTACATTATTCTTAAAGCAAGCAAGTTAACTTAATTCCTTTTCTTTAATCCCTTTGTGACTCTGCATGCTTGACTTCAGTGTAGAGTCAGATTTTTCTGCTTGCATATGTCATTTTCATTGTGTTTTGATGTGTGGGAAATACTGTACATTTGGATAGATTTGGAGGTTCAGTCTTAGCATGAGAACGTGTCCATTCTGAGGTCCTTGGCAGCAGCATCATGTGTTTGTACTGCTCAGCAGACAGATCTGGGTTCAAATCCAGACTCTGTCCCTTGTAGGTAATCGAGTGGTTTCCAAGCTTAGGAGCTTCTGTGAGCTGGTGGAGGGATCGGCTCCGCCCTTCCCCAGCTTTTACATCATGCCTGCCGTAAGTCTCCTCTATTAGTTTCTGTGACAAATCACCACACACTTGGCAGTTTAAAACAACAGAAATCTAGTTTCTTATAGTTCCGGAGGACAGACATCCCGTCAGTATTACTGGCATGAAGCTGAAGTGTAGGCCGGGTGGCACTCTCTCCGGATGCTCTGGGGAAGGCCTGCTCCGGCCTCTGGGTCTGGGGTGGCTGCCAGCATTCCTTGGCGTATAGTCCCTCATGCTGATCTTAAAGGCTAGTGTCTTAGCGCCTTTCAAATCTCTCTCTGCTCCATCTTTGCATTGCCTTCTCGTGTGTGTGTGTGTGTGTGTGTGTGTGTGTGTGTGTGTGGATTTTCCCTCTGCCTCTCTCTTGTAAGAACACTTGTGATGACATTTAGGGCCCAAGTGGATAATCCAGGAGGATCTCTTCATTTCAAGACTCTTCTCACATCAGCAAAGATCCTTTGCCAAGTTTGCAGCTGCGGGAACAGGACATGGCTGTCTTTGACCTAGTTTCCAGCCACCCCATTTAGGGCTAATGTCCAGTCCCGAGAGCTCAGAGTTAATTAAGAGTTACTTTATCAAGGCTCCTCCTCTGGGGTTCAGCCTTGGCTTGTTTTCTGCCCACCGGCCTCTGCACTCTTGCCCAATACCCATCTCCTTCGAACTCTGCCTGTATCTTATTATAGGGTTATCTCCAACCAGAAAGTTCTGGAAATTGTAGGAAGAGATAAGCACCCTTGTAGAAATGGAATTCTGGAAAGAGTGAAGTCCAGTTTGTAGCTACAGGTGAATAAGAAAATGTCAGATACCAGGCTGATGTCTGTTATAAAACAGAGCATCAGCTGATAACCAATCCACAACCTCTGACCCCACCGTTTTTAGGCACACAGCCTTGGCCTTAGCACGGGAGTGTGTGCATCAGATGTTTTGGTTCCCACCACACTGGCACAGCGCTTGCTTCGCTTCAGACCCAGCCTGGAAGAGAGGAGGGGTGCCAGCCTCCTGTGGGGGCATCTGCTGCTCGCAGACCTGCTGCGGGCTTAGGAGCTTTGGATTCCAACCTCTGCCATCCCAGCTGCATGATGTGCGCGAGGCAATGAACTTGCCTTCCTCTGTCAAACTGGCACAACCACAGCTACTTCCCAAGTAACTGAGAACAATAATGGGAACATATCAGGCCTCTCTAAACCGTTGCCAAGACTGAAGGAGGCACTTAAAACACCCCTACTGTTTACTTCTCTTCCACTTCCACAACTGCTGTTTCAACACTGAGCACTTCTGACCCCAGCTGTTTGGCCTTCGGGGCTCGGTCCCACCGGACTGCCCACGCTTGCCCTTCACACACCCATGGCAAGTCCGTGTTGTCCCCTGCGCTTCTGACCTACTGGCTAGAAAGAGAGCGTTCCCATGCTCCTCCCCCGCTCCGGTAATCTGCCGATGGCTCACAGAGCTCCGGAAACGTCTGATTTGCTAGATTACTGGAGCAGCATTAAGGGAGACGCTCAGGAGCATCCAGAAGACAGAGGCGCAGGGCACAGGGCACAGAGCTCCCACACCCTCTTCAGTACCTCCCTGTGGCTCAGCACCCGAAAGCTGTCCTTATTTATTTGTTTATTTATTTATTGGAGGCTTCATTACATCAGCACAACTGATGAAATCGTTGGCCATTAGCAAGTAACTCAACTTCCATTCCCTCTCCCCTTGCTTATCCTTCCTTCCTTCCTTCCTTCCTTCCTTCCTTCCTTCCTTCCTTCCTTCTTCTCTCTCTCTCTCCCTCCCACCTTTCCTACCTCCCTCTTATTCTCTTTTTCTTTTTAACACAAACCCTCATAATACCATCCAAGCTACCGCCTGTGACTCCAATGTGATTAGTAGAGATTAACCTCTCTATTAACGTGGTTCCCACCACGGGTGACTGTTCCAGCAGACATTAAAAGGCTTTATGGGTGTCATGGGTGTGGCAGGGTGCTGCTCAGACCTGAACAGCTAGGAACGCTGTTGGGCGCCCTACAATGCACAAGCCAGCCCCCCACAGCAAAGGACTCTCGGCCCCAGGTCTAGGCAGGGCCGAGGCTGAGGAAGCCGGGGTCATAACCCTGATCCTCCAGGCAGCTGTGGGTACCGTGGGCACCGGGACCGAAGTGTCCACGTGCTGTCTGGCGGCGGCCCCAGGGAAGATGCTCTAGGAAAAGCCACAGGCAATAACGGAAGCACTTCCGGGTGACTAGGACGCACTCCCCGAAACTGGTCTTCCTAGAGAATCACACACAGAGCACACAGCTTAGCAGCCAGCACCGCTCTCTGCGGGTGTCCTCGCTCACAGCGTCCGCCAGCTCCAGCAGCGTAGCCAGGGGGCCGGTGATGGCTCCCGTATTGGCTCTAACAGCCCGGGCCCCCGGTCACCGGGCAGTGTGCAAGGCAGATCAGCGCTCAAGCTGCCGGCAGGCTCACCTGGGCGGACAGTCCTTCTCCCGGCACTTCTTCTGCCTCCCGTTGGGCTGTGTCTCTGGGTCACAGAACGTGGCCTTCACCATGCCGTGGCCCTTCCTCACGCAGTGGGCCGTCTGCCGGCGGATTCCTGACGGGGAGGGGGGAGACAGGAAGGTTCACACCCATTCACCCCCAGCCCACACCACATGCTCGGTGTCCGGCCCCGGTCATGCCAAGGGCTTGTGCTCATAGCTGATGGGAAAGCTGTCTCAGAGGCGCTTAGTTCTTAACGTGGGGCAAGTTCCGGGTCCTCTTAGTGGCCCCGCTCCCACTGCAGCTGGCAGTGCATGGAGGGACCGGATATGCAGGTGGACTCATCTATAGCCTAACACACATGTTAGAATCCAGCTGAGGGGATCAGACTCACACACACACACACACACGAAATAAAAACCAGAGTGAGATTTAAAAAAGGAAAGCAGACATCGCCGCCAGGTGTCCTAACCCAATTGCTATGTCACGTGCTTAGTAAGGAAATAGAGGAGGCAGAAACCTTCCCGTTCGCTGGGCTCATGCATGGAAGACAGGAGTCAAACACAAAACTGTGTTGTGAAGTCTGAGGGGTTCAGCTCTTCAATAAGGTGACCAGATGTCCCGATTTTTAACAATTTGTCCCGTGGAGTTTTTAAAAAGCCCTGATTTTTGGAAAGATTCTTTAAAAATTGGGAGTTTTTTAAAACGCCGTGGGATGCAGGACAAATTGTTAAAAACCTGGACTGTCCCGCCCAAAGCGCGGACATCTGGTCACCTTACTCTTCACGGAGAGGCCTGGCAGCAGGGGCTGAGAAGGCCGCTGCCTGTGGCCACCAGGTCGGGAAGGTACAGAACGACAGGCACACAAGCCCCTCTGCAGCCTCGGACGTAAGTAACAGCTGGCCCAGCAGTGCTGGCCTCTGCCAGGTGTGACCTAAACCAGGTGTGCCCCAGACAAACACAAACAGAGAGAAATGTGATACCTATGACTGATTTCAACATAAAACTGCAGCCTCATAACAACCCAATGAGGCCAACACTGTCACCACCGCTACCTGACAGAGGGAGAAACTGAGGCCCAGTGAAGGCCCACGGGCTGGGCAGGGGTAAGGACCCTGGCCTTGCTAACAAGGACGTCATTCACAAGAGAACTTGAGGAGCAGCCAGAATGTCCTGTCTGAGGTGGAGGGATGGCAAGGAAAAGTGTCAGCATCCCTCGGAGAGAGGGGACACGTCAGTGCTAAATATGAAACTCGGGGTGAGGAGACTGAGACCCCAGGGGACGGAGCCACCGGCTTGCATAAGGCAGGCACCGCAGGCACCGGCCTGGAGCGTGCTCAGGGCGCCCGGAACTGGAAAGGCCCGCGTACCCCAGGAGACGGTCACCTCCTCACCCTCCTGGCATGACGTGGAAGTGGCCTGCTCAACCACATGGCCAACAGCGCCTGAACTGCACCAGGCCTCCACAGCCACCCTCTCCGCCTGTCTCACTGGTTCTCACGAGCCCAGAGGCCCAGGCTGGCACCTCACCCTCCCCTGAAAACATCGGAGGGAGCGGCAAATAATAAGAAAACCCTTGAAGCTAGCTCAGTGGTTTAAGCATTGGCCCGAGTACCCGATGGTCTCAGGTCGAGGGCATACACCTGGGTAGCAGGTTCAATCCCTGAGTGGAAGGAGTGCATGTGGGGGATAACTGATGTGTCTTTCTCACATTGATGTTTTGATGTTTCTCCTCCTCCCTCCGTCTCTCCCACTATCTCTAATAAAAAAAAATTCAAAAAAAAAGAAAGAAAGAAAGGAAGGAAGGAAGGAAGGAAGGAAGGAAGGAAGGAAGGGAGGAAAAAAGAAAGGAAGGAAGAAAAATATCCTCGGGTGAGGATTAACAACAACCAAAAATATCCTTTAAAATGACTCAACAGCATTATATTGTTAAGCAAAACAGTATTTTTATCCTTTTTGAAAACAGACGTAAGCTTTCAACTATGCAGGCTTTCTCAACTGATAGACGATGTGTTATTGTTATTTTGTCATACAAATAAACCACTTTCCTCAGCTGGAAGCAACACTGGAAGGGGAACTTTGCTGGCCCAAAGAGCGAGTCATTGTTTGGAAAGACAAACTCCCTCAGAGCATCTCGCATCTCGGACCGTGAGTGGAGAGGGATGGGAAAGGGCTGACACTGGAAAAGCTGGCATGTACCTGCCACTGCAGTGTAGAAAAGAGAAGAAGTGTAGGTACGTAGAAGTTTTATTAAAACATTGGGTCGTTTGGCAAGCTCTTGATTTCAGAAAATCAAAGGAAGCGAGCAGGTGACTCGCAGAGTTCAGAAACATTCCTAAGGCTTGCTTCTGCGCAGGGATGGCAAGGACCAGTGTGCTCAGCGTTCCTGGTTCTAGGGGAGGAAAGAGGCACAAAACATGAAATGAACCCCCTTCAGGACGATAGTGACATCCCCTGGGTGTCAGTGAGGGGACAGACCCACTGGCCAGCTACTTACTGTCTAGTGCATAACTGAAGATTAATAAGGATGTATCAGTGTTTCTCTGTTGGAATGAATGGTCTGAACTGATCTAACAGTTTGTGCAAAAGAATAATGCCAGCAGCATAGTTGATTATGTATGTTTATGTGTATATCTTATGTGTATATGTGCTTATGCATTCTTATACATAGAGACGTGAGTGACAGCAATGACAGAAGGGGTGGGAGGTAGCAGGTAGGGTGATTTTATTATTTTAAGGGACTCATGCTACCCAAGAAGTGGGACAGTGTTATCTGGAAGTGGATTCGGATTAGCTGTAAATGTACACTGTAAGCTCGAGGGCGATCACTAACAGAAGTAAGTTGGCCACTCCAGGTAAGGGTTGTCATTAGTTCATTCACAAAGTACAGACCTCCACTGCATATCACTTGAAGTTTATTTTATATATTTAAGCAAGTGATAAACCCCTCATTCCATAGCACATGCTTAATTAAGCCCATCTCAATAAATCCTCCTATTATCTTCATGCAGTCCTACCTTTAATATAAACCCTCTAGCTATTGTTAGAGATCAATATCTGGACTTGGCTGGCTTTCCCTGACAATGACAGTGGACAAAGTCAGATGGATTAGCACCAAGGTCTGTTGAGGCAGTAAAAAACATATCTGTCTCCGGTTTTGCAAGGAAGTGAATTCTGTCTGTTACACATCAGTATGTGGTCACAGATCAGCATCTGGTCACACATCAGCATCTGGTCACACATCAGGGATGGAGTGGAACATGTGTCCCCATTTATGCTTCTCCTGTTGTGTCTACATATTTGGCCAAATCTCAAACCACATGGATGGCTGAGCTTTCAGAGGAGTGCTGTCAGATACACCCTGTAAGGATGCTTCAATAACCCTACCTACCTGCCCCACACGTGTTTGCTTCCAATGAACATGATCTTGTTTCCCAGGTGGCTCAGGACAGCCTGAACCATCTCTAGGAGTGCTGCGTGGTCTTTGGAATTTTTACTGTTTGCCTTTTTCCTACTGGAACACGATGCTCCTTACACGGAGGGTCAATGGCGACCTCCAGGGAGCATCCAGCCACGTGGGGGAGGGAACGCCTGCAGCTCCGGGCAGAGCAGGGACGCCGGCTCCCCTTTGTGCTGCCGTCGTGCCTGTAGCCCCGAAAATGCAGAACAGAGGCATCCGCAGAGCACACACCGGAGAAGGTCACGATCAGAAGTGATGACCCATTTTCTAACAACAGCGCCATCAGTACGTTTTATAGGAAACAGGAAATGTTGGCTAGAATGGGTGACAGCTGACCGAGTGCTGCAGTATTAGAGACGAGATGGGGCAAAAGGGTAGTGGCTTTTACATCTTTACAAAAGCAGTCTATGTTCTTGTGTAATGAAGAGTCCTAAAGCTTCCTATGGAGCCCAGCCTCTGGGCCAAGCCATTTCTGCAGCTGTTTCTTCCCAGCTGACCCAGTGGTTGGACTTTCATGGCTGATCTTTTGAAGGACAACTCAGGTGAATTTTCCCAGCAAGCATTTCATCATGGGTGGTAAGCACTTGTGATTCCAACTTTTCCTGGAGGACAGCTAGTCCTAAATTCCCCCAGGCTCACCTCACAGTCAGCCCTGGCAGTAAGGCAGGAGGGAAAGCATGTAAGGCTGAGAGGACAGAGGAGTGGACATGAGCATGGAGACAGGACCGTCGCTAGTCTCCACAGAGGGTCCCCTTGACCTCTGAAAAGTGGGCTATGGAATAGGCTGGCTTTGTGACATTTCGCTAAGTTTATAAGATTGTATTGCCAATTTTTAACATGGATTTATGATTTGGGAGTACTTTTCAACTTGCTGTTTTGTTTTTTTTTTTTTTTTTAATAGTTTTTATTGGTTTTAGGGAGAGAGGAGATTAACCAAAGATCTTATACACATACTAAATGCCCAGTGCATGACCGGTGGGGTCCCTCCGTCTAGCCTGTGTCCTCTCTGAATCCAGGACCTCTCAGGGGATGTTAGAAAGCCAGTTTTGGCCTGATCCTGCAGGCCAGGCCGAGGGACCCCACGGGTGCACAAATCCGTGGCACTGGTTTGGTATTAGTTTCTTAACATTATTGTAATATTTATACTTTGTGAAACTAGCAATTCCATGTGCAAAATAACACTAACAAGATCATCCTTTGCAAGGGTTAACCATTGCCTGAGTGAGCAGAGGCAATGCTGAAGGACCAGGCTGTATCAAAACATGATGCTGACTCACACTTCGCAAGGAGGCCTCATGCTTTAGCCAGCTGGGGGTGCACCGTTAGGATCACTGCACGAATCGGCCAGTTCCCTTGTGTTCCCCACGCTCTGACACATGCCTGTGCAGTGCCAAGGGCTTGTTCACTACCGTTAAAGCCCCCCGATGAGCATAAGGCCCCAAGTCCCGCCCTCGTGGGCCCTGGACGGGTTCACGGCGCCCCACAGTGGGAGAGCCGTGCTCCTCAATGTCCACTCGCTCCTCTGAGTTCCCAGCCCCTCTGCGCTGGGAGATGGTACCCAGAGGACTAAATCCCACAATGAAACGTGAGCAGGAGTGATGTGTGTCCATCCCAGGCCAAGGCCCTTGCTGGGAGGTGGTCTGCCTCTCCCATTTCTCTCTTCCCCGGTGGGGCCTGCTGGAAACCCCGCATTTCAGATGTCTTAGCTTGGAGGTTAAGCGGGGGCCGCCCACCCTGCCTCAGACTTGGAAAGGGTTAAAAACAAACCATTGTGTTGGATTCCTGATATTTTTTTGTTGTTGTTTTGTTACTGTAGCAAAACCTACCCCAATCTCATACTTGACAGCAAGGAATCTCTTGATTTTGTGGAAAAACAAACAAACAAACAAAAAAACCACTCTCCCAGTTGAGCTAAACTCCATAAATCTGGGCTAGGAATTAGTGTTCTGGGGGGATTTGGCCATGATGTATAACACGTCGTTGGGTGTGTTGCTTGGCTTTTGTAGTCCTCATGTCCTCAACCAGAGCAGAGGCTGTTTTAAGTCTTTCTGTTTTGGTTTTTAAAAAATACATGGAACCCTTTCCCTAATCAAAGCCTTTCACAAAGGTCAGTCTAAAGCCGATGGGAGAAAAACTGTCTCTCCATTTAGACCGTGATCTGTACATTTACTCCTCACGGGGTCCCCGGGGCCATCTCCAGGGAACCCTCTGGACCATGGCACAGATGGCAAACCACTGGCCTAGATGCCCCCTGGCCCGCTCTGGGGCTGACGGGGGCTCCCAGCGAGAGCGCTGCTCCTCACCTGTGCCACACGTCACGCTGCACTCTGTCCAGCGGCCATACTGCCAGGAGAACGTCGGCTTCTCCACGTCATTGTCAAGGCCATCTTTCCGGACCGTGTACTCGTACTTGATGCCAGGGTTAGGAACCAAGAATAGAAGCTAAAAGGCAAGAAGAGAAGGGTCAGGCCCAACCGTCATGACTTCACACTGGAAACCACGGTCACGTAACAATGCTGCACCGTGTCCATCAGCCACAAGGAGTTACGGAGCAGGCGCCGGAGCAAATGCCATTAAATGCAGAAGCCTCTGCGCCCCCTCCCCCCCCCGTGACACCTGATCCACCTATCTCTACATTTAAGCCCACCACCCATCACCCTCAGATAAACGGCCTGTGCCAGCCACACTGGAAATGGAAACCAGTCCTCCCAACGGATGGTTTTAGGGGCTCCGGCATTTCATTATGGGGGTTTCAGCCACTTGTAGTCAATAAATGATTGACGGCACAAATTAATATCTTGCTCCCCGTCTGTTACTTGGTAGGAGTTTAAAAAATATATATATTTTTATTGATTTTAGAGAGGAAGGGAGAGGAATAGAGAGAAACATCAATGATGAGAATCATTGATCAGCTGCCTCTGGCTTGCCCCCTACTGGGGATCGAGCCCAAAACCCAGGCATGTGCCCTTGGACGGAATCGAACCTGGAACCCTTCAGTCTGCAGGCCGATGCTCTATCTCCTGAGCCAAACTGGCTAGGGCAGTGGAAGTTTTAAGCATTCTTTAGTCGTGTCTCCTAGCAATTAGAAGTTGGAAAAATTGGAAAAATTGGGAAAAATTATAAAAATCCGAACAGAGGTTCATGTAGCAGTTCCCTTTCTGCGTTACCTGGAGCCACAGGGACTCGTTGGTGGGGCCGGCAGCCATGAGCTTCTCCTGGTCTCCGTTCCTTTCGTACTGAAAGACGGTGCCCGCCAGCTTGTAGTTCCCCTTCCACTGGATAGTGAGGGCTCCATTGAGGTAATACTTCTCAGGGTCTTCGCTCCTGAGGGCCAGGAAGTTCCCAGCTCCCTTCACCTCTATCACCCGGATGTCCCGTGCTCCCTTGGGGATCAGTCCGATGTCCACATAACCTAAGAAGCGAGGACACGACACGGTGAGTGAAAGAGGCGTGCCAGCTCAGTGGAACACAGCTGGCTCCCGACACTTCATTCATTCTCATTACATCGCGCCCTTGGCCTCCTCCTGGGTGGGCACTGGGATTGACAGAGGTACGGAGTATGGAGAACTTTAAAGAGCTGGGCTGCAAGCAGAATTCTCAGGAGCTTTGTGAATCATGATGTAAACAATTTTTCGAGACGTGAAATAAATGCAGATTGTACTCGGAAGCTTTTGAGCTTGGCCCAGCATTTGTTTTTCTGTGATTTTTGTTGATGGCTCAGACATTTACATCCCCTAGCTAGCTTCTCCATAGCATCTCTGCTCCCCGAGGTTTTGCTGCTGCCAGAGTTAGCATCCTAACATTGCGTTGGCTACATCCTTTTGCTCATCCTCAGTGCCTGCAAGTTAAAGATTGAGTCTTAGAGGTGATTTAGTCACAGTGTAAGTTCTGCAGGAGAATCTTGGGGGGACTCTTGGGTTGATTGCCACCCTGGTGCGCTTAAATATGGCCTGTGATGAGGAACGCAGCCCTGAGCACAGCACAAGTCTACTCATTACAGAGTTTCTTCTTAGGTTTGCTGAAATATGAACTTATATTTTACTCTCATGTGTTCTAATCCAGCCTTCTAAAAAAGCACTGAGGACATCCATTTAGCGACGATTATCTATTCTAGCCAGTCTTCCTGTTTCCTGGTTATTCATGGTAGGAGACACACTGAAGAGGTAAGTGCCGGAAACCAATCATTGCCACTAACAGAAAGATGTGGACAGGGAATCGGGAAGGCTGGTCAACCTTAAATGCTCTGAAAGCTCGGAGCTAATCCCTCATTGCTTAGTTGAGACATTGGTAGCTGAAGCAGCCTCCACCTATAGTCTTATGTCAATGCTTGCTGATTGGCTATTATTGGAATTTCCTGCCTAAAGAATATGAGTATAGCCAAGACCGGTTTGGCTCAATGGAAAGAGCGTCGGCTTGGGGACTGAAGGGACCCGGGTTCGATTCCGGTCAAGGGCATGTACCTTAGTTGCGGGCATATCCCCAGTAGGGGGTGTGCAAGAGGCAGCTGATTGATGACTCTCTCACCGATGTTTCTAACTCTCTATCTCTCTCACTTCCTCTCTGTACAAAAAATCAATAAAATATATTTTTTTAAAAAGAATATGAGTATAACCCATAACCTTAATAAAGGGGGTAGCAAAGCCAGAGTGGGGTGTAGTCCTCCCCACCGAGGTGGAATCCCGCCTGGCCCTCAATATTCCCAAATTAATTATTTTCTAGCCTCTTTCCTTTGTGTGCAGCCTTCTCCAGAACCGGAACCCTGAACCACTCGGGACAGGAAAGGGGTTCCTACAGAAAAGAGCTAACATTTCCCCTAAGCACGCATCCTGACGGTGCTTCTTAAGAACATCCCTTATGCACGCGACGGAGTGGAAGGGACGTGGATTGGGGATGGCACTGGGAAGGGAGCACTGAGGCAGGGGGCTCAGAACACTTGAGTTCTAGTTTCTGTGTTGCCACATCCAAGCTCATGACGTCCATGGATTTATTTAACTCCTTACCATGACGGGGTTGACTGAGATGATGCCTGATGACCACCCAGCGCTGGGATTCCATTATTTGGCCCTTTTCTCAGCCAAACACCCGTTAGTCCTTCAGCCTCTCTATGCAAATGGTGGTTGGAAAAGCCTGGTCATCCCGGCCCGTTTTCCACTGAATACGCTCTAGGTTTCCAGCCTGACAAGCAAACCCGCATCTCTGTCCCCGAAAGTGCCCACTGCTCCCAGCATGCGGACAGGGAGCGGCCTGGGTGCGGGCAGCTCTGCGCAGGCTGGGCCACAGGAGCGACTGGCTCAGGAGCAGGTACAGGCCTCACTTTCAGTCCCAGGTCCCCCACTGGCAGCTCCAATCCAGAGGAACCCACATGGGGGTCTGGTAGTAACTCCATTTGGCCCTCACTCACTTCGCTGAGACGGCAAGTGGAAACGACCCATTTATTACTAACTCCATGCAAACATTTACCACATGCAACGGAGGCGAATGTCGTTGATAAAAATGCCTTTGACACACTGCTACCTGCAGCTACTTTATGACAGGACATTGCACAGTGTCCCAGCCAGGAAACCAACTGGCTACCACCTCACTCCTTCTCTCTCTCTCTCTCTCTCTCTCTCTCTCTCTCTCTCTCTCTCTCTCTCTCTCTCTTTCTCTCTCTCTCTCACACACACAGACACGAGACAACTAGATGGAAAAGCAACAAAAGCGTGCTTTTTGTTTTCCACTTAAGAGCAAAATTCCACAATTTTAGTCTGTACCATGGATGGGTTCTACCAAATTGAAAGGGCTGATTTTATTATAGATTTCAAAATCTAAAATCAAAGCTCTCAGCGATGCAAACGCTGCTTCCGAAGTTTGTAGACGGAAGATGTAAACTGAAGCAGGGGTAGCCATGAGCAAGAGTAAGATGTATTTGTATAATAATATATATTTGCAAAAGCTTACCCAGGAGGAAGGAAAGGATAAAATGATAGTGACTTGGAGTGAAAAATAACCTGGATAAGCTACCCACCAGACTCCTTTGCACAGGACACAAAGGCCCGCCACAGAGAGAGCTGTCTAATGAAAAGGAACATTTCCATTTCCCTCCTCCCTGCCTCCCCGTCCTCTACAGCAAAGACATTACAGTTAATAGTTGATTAAGCTCTCTTTAGCTTTTATGCATAGAGATAATTTTCTAACAAGTAGGACTGTGCTCTATGAACTACTAATGATTGCCTTTCAATTTAATGTCTTTTCATTTTTTTGGAGCATTTCAACATAATCCCCTGTTAATGGATAGTTAGGTGGAAGGGAATGGCTACCGACTGCTTTATGTAAAAAAACAGAGGCCTGGTGTATGACATTCGGGCCCTGGAGGGTGAGGGGGGTCCCTCAGCTCGGCCTGCGCCTTCTCGTAGTTTGGGACCCCAAGGTGTCCTCAGCGCTGCTGCGGAGGCAGAAGAGGCTTCTGCCATCACTGCTGCGCTCGCCAGCCGTGAGCCCAGCTTCTGGCTGAGCAGCGCTCCCCCTGTGGGAGCGCACTGACCACCAGGGGACAGCTCCTGCATTGAGTATCTGCCCCCTGGTGGTCAGTGCACATCATAGCGACTGGTTATTCTGTCGTTTGTTCAATTTGCATATTACTCTTTTATTACATAGGATGAGGAACCTGAGTTCCCAAGAGAAGAAATCTATGCATCACACAGCAAGGCTCTGAGTATATGCACCTCTACCCAAGGTTTACTCACCCCTAATCTAGTGTTTAAATGGGAAAATGTGGTTGGCAGAACAGAGATAAAAAACAAATCCTCTTGTATATCTCATCTTCATGGGCCTTCTTTACAGAAATGAGAATAATTAAGTAGTTACAGGAGTATAGGGTCATTGAGACGTTTATTCTATTTCAAGAGAAGTCTTTAGGGTTATACTTTATCTCCAAAGTATCTATATTAATAAAAGCATAATATGCTAATTAGACCAAACAACCTTTCGGACGAGGTCAGGGCTGCTGCTATGAGGGCTGGGTTGGCAGCTGGGGCTGCCACCTTGGACCTTGTTGCCCCTTGCACGAATTTCATGCATCAGGCCTCTAGTTAAAAATAATAAACATATTAATTCAGTTAAAGCACTTTTCTTCCACCTTCCCCATTTTGCATTATTTGAAAGTCACAATCTGCTAAAAAACAAAAACAAAACCCAGCCATCAATCCTGCCCTCCATTCTCAGTCCCCTGCCACTTCAGTTATTTATTTGTTTGTTTGTTACCAGTTCCTGTTTTCTGTTTAAACATCTTCCTCACGGTGTGGCAGGCAGAGCCGTCCCCAAGGCACACTCCGCAGCGATCCTCTGTGGCGTTGGAATCGATCTCGTAGTCACAGCCGACCATCTGCAGGAAGAGGGGTGGAGGGTGAATGACACAAGCAGGAGGCGTCACACCTGCCTTGGACCTTGGACTTCCCTTTCTCCCTTTGCTCTTGCACCATGACCTAATGCACCTAAAGTGTCATGATTTCCTTCCACAGCTCCTTGGCAAAGGTGGAGACTGGGAGAATGCCAGGTTCTGTGATGAGATAGATTCCCAGCCAATGAAACGTAAAGTGTGAAGATAGGAGCGATTCATGCTTAACTGAAAAGAACTGGTCTCGCCATTTAAAGAGTGGGACCGTAGCAATAATACTTTTCTCACCATAACGCTCCTGGCCAAGAGATAGGATCTGAAATTCTAAAGAGAGATCTGCCCAAGAGAAATTGATTTTTGGTGTTCAGTAGGTCACAAAAGTAGCCCAAAAAAAGGACCTTGTGAGAGAACAAAGAAGGTTCCAGAGAGTTTCCAAGAGGAATGGGAGAGGGAGCTGACTTAGGACAGGTAGAAAGGTGATCAGATGAGGGTGAGGACTCAGCAGGGGTTGAAGATATTGACTCTGAAAGGGCACAAGTTCACAAACTTGACTTCTATATTTTAGGAAGTACACAGTGGGCGGACAGGAAGACCAAAAAAGGGCTGTGGTTGGGTTGATCAGACGTGGGATCTTGGAAGGAGAGGCTGGTGAAAGGCTCAGACAGCTGATGTGATAGGTCAGGACATCTGGGCTCTTTGGGAGGGACCTTGGCCATAGCCGTGGTGACTGGGAGAAAAGGGAGGAGCAAAGGAACTGATGGTCAAAGAATGGGTCCCAGGAGAAGGACGAGAGGCTGGCAGCTGAGCAGGCTGCCCTGACAGCCGGAAGACAATAGAGCTGGGAGAGCGTGATAAAAAATGTCAAAGTTTACATTTATCTATTTGATAAACAAGCTTAGGAGTTCAGTACAATTCAAAAAAAGTGGGGCATATATAGCTATCTCCTAGTAAAAATTCATATCTAACACGCCCAATCTGTTTATCTAACATGCCAAAATGTTTGCAAATATAATTTCAACATAGAGAGGAATATATGAGCAAAAGTATATATAATAAATATTTTCATATCCACAAAGAAGACGGATTTGGCACTGTATACATCTGTTTTCTGATGGTATTCAATTCCTTCTAAATAAAAACAAAAACAAAAAACAAAAAACTCTGTAGTAAATGAATAAGATTAACAAAGCTAAAATGTCTACAACCTGGACCTTCAGAAGATAAATGGCATTGAGGTTATTAAAGGAAATTTGATTGGAGTAGTTTTTCAGCTTAAAAACTTAGCTCAGTGTGGTATAGACGGAAAGTGGATAATTACACCTTCTAAAAGGCCTTAACTGGTTTCCAGGAAGAGGAAGGCAAGCAGAGAAAACATGGCGGAGCTCATTAAACTGATTTCATTGTGTTTTATTCAGAACACCTAGGTTTTCCGTCACACGCTGCTGATGCCGCCTCTATGCAGGCAAAGGTGCTCAGGCCTAAAAGATCATTCTAGCATCCCATTCATCTCTTGGTGGGATAAGTTCTCAGCTTTAGCTCTAGCTACGCAATCAGCCCTAGCTGTGTATGGGGAATTTCAAAAATATCAATGGCCAGCCCCAAATTCCAGAGATTCTGAAGGTTGAGGTCCAGCCAGATGTCAGTGTTTAAAAGCTCTGCCTGTTGGAATTATAGGCATCCGGGTCCGAGAACCACCATTTGGATAGTGGTGGGCTGTTTTGGCCTGGATTCACTAAACAACCCCTTCCCACCTGGGGAACACATCCAGCCTAAATCATATAATTAACTTTGGCTCGTTGTGGCTACGGTGATAATTAATGAGTCTGAAAGGAATTTCGCCTGAGCTTTTCCAAATCGAGAGTCTGATTAAGTCTGGCTGTTCATCACTCATTCCTGGAATCAACATATCGCCTCCTGTGCTTTAGTCAGAATGGGAATAAATCAAAAGGCGACTTCATGGTGGTAAGCGCCCTCGCAGGGAGCTGAACATTCGTGGGCAAGAGCTTCTTACAGTGGCAATTTGGTCCCATAGGAAAAATACGACAAATATTTGCAAAAACAAATAAAGCGCATTAAGAATTTATTATGTGCCAGGGCTCTGTTACAGGCTTAACATAGATGACCTTATGTCAATCTTTTTGACAATCACAACTAGAAAGATAAATATATATGGTATATTTTAATTGAATTCAAAGAGGAAAGCAGAGGGAGAGAGAGATAGAAACATCAATGATGAGAATCATTGATTGGCTACCAACTGGGATCGAGCCCACAACCTGGGCATGTGCCCTTTACCAGAATCAAACCTGGGATCCTTCAGTCCACAGGCCAATGTCTATCTACTGAGCCAATCTGGATAGGGCTAGAAGGAAATATATATTAACATCTCAATTTTATTAAAAAACAAAACAAAACAACTGAGCCTTAGAAAGATGCCCAGGGTTATAGAGCTAATAAATAGTGGTGATGAGTTCCCATTCTGGAGCCCGAGTGTGACACCATTATGCTTTGCTAACAGTGAGTTGGGCATTTCTATAGCATAGCTTTCCTTTCATTGATTGCAAACACCTTCTCTTTAACCTGAGGCTTATACCTAGGTGTTGGAGCACAAAGCATGTTCATTAGTTCCTTGCAAAACAAACTGTGAGAAATTAGGACTTTTTCACCGGCTGTACACATAATAGCATTAACAAGTCAGTCTAAATAACTTACATAAAAGCAGAGGCGATTAATGGAGTCAGTGAGGGAAAGGTAAATAGAAATCAGACCTGTTTATAGCTACCTGTTAAGCCATCTCTCTTCCTAGGACCATCTCGGCAATCAATGGAGAATTAAATGTAAAAGTGCTTCATGGAAAACACTATACAAACTATTATTAATTTTCCTAAAGTTTAACAACTCTGTTGGCAAGAAACCATGAAAAATGTAATGCCACGAAAGTATTCTGTTGCCTTTTTCTAACAATTCCTCCTTCAATTTGGTTCTGCTTCAATGTGCCCCTGCTCCAGGCCTAAAATGATATCCCAGAGCCCATCAACTAACCAAGAAAGGAAGAACAACAACAGGAGGAAAACGATTGCACTCCAAACTGTGCCTCTGATATGCACTGAGAAGTCTGCCTCACAGACCGAAAATAAAACCAGGCCAATGCCACAAAGGCTTGAACATCTGACATCCTGAATTAATAAAAGCACGATTTTATGAAGTTGTAGATTAAGGAAACATACCCAATACCTTACATATGCCATTAATACAGACATTCCTGCTGCTGCCGCCTTCAAAGCAAGGGGTACCGTCAATGACCGCGTCCAGCATCTTCTCGGAAAAATGGCCGTCGATGGGTCGGCAGAAGAGCTCACAGGGCCGTGCTGCAGTGAGAGAGACAGGTCAGCTCTGCAGCTCAGCGCCCCCTTCCTGCCCCCTGGGATTCTTCTGAACATTCAGATATGACCCCAGCTGTCCTTCTCCTCTCTGGAGACTCCCACCTTTACCTTTCTATGGCACATGCTAAAAAGTAGGGCTTTTCTCTCTCTCTCTCTCTCTCTCTCTCTCTCTCTCTCTCTCTCTCTCTCTCTCTCTCTCTCTCTCTTTCAGTTAAAGGGTTTTACAGCAAATTAAACTGGGAGATTGCTTTAAAACGCCATGCTCTTTGTCATAAATAATGAGACTTTTCAATCCAACATGAGGCTGTGCTTGTAGAAATAAGGCCCCGTGCATGAGGGTCAGCCTAGAAATTACATCATGTGTACCACTGATGCAGAACTTCAGGCAAGCACGACACCTGCCCGCTGTCCTCAGCAAGGTCAGCAGACCTCCAGGGGCGGGATGGGGGAGGGGAGGTGTCCTTCTGATAGGGCCAGCCCACCACTATCACCCACACTACTGTCATAACCCTACCCTAGCAAGGCTCCCTTATTCCCCTCAAGTCCAACAAGTCCTCAGACACAGACTGACAACCACACAGGAACAAGGGACCTGCTTTTTTCGGATGAAGTTGGAGGGGCGGCCTCCTTGGTTGCCATGTGACTGTGTACTCCTGGTAGCACGAGGAAGGGCAAATGGCACATGGGCAAAGGACCAAGGGCCTTAAAACAGAGCACTGGAAAGGTCTCCTTTTCCGTGATAATCATGACCTCTCCCTGAAGAGGGGCCCTGATGTCAGGGCTTCACCCCCCATCTTGCTTCTGCACTGCAGAACCATGGCAGCCTTAGAGGCAGGGAGGGCAGAGTGAAGCACTGGGCAGTGGTCAGTAGAGTCTTCGTGCTAGCTAACAGTAACCTTCCTGGCAACCACAGGAGCAGCCACGAAGCCACTGCTGTGCCCCCAGAGCTTGCACTACGACGACCGAAGGCTAGAAGGACCCTCTACTTGAAAGCAGCCACTGTGAATGGAAGGTTTAGGCTGTTTAAGAGTGTACAAGGCTTGCCTGGCCCCGTGTGGCTCATGATCATAGTTCGATTTCTGGTCAGGGCGCATGCCCAAGTCGCAGGCTTGATCCCCAGTAGGGGGCGTGCAGGAGGCATCTCACCATTGATGTTTCTTTCTCTTTCTCCCTTTCCCTTCTTCTCGGAAACCCATAAAAATACATTTTAAAAGAACTGAAAGGGTTTATAAGGCTGTTTCTCTGCCCTCCTCTCTGGCCTTTGTTTTCACGGCGCTCTGGGCATTGCATGACGTGGCCCTAGGACCCAGGACTCTGCAGAAGGAGGCAGGGGTGGCAATGGTCGGGCTTAGTGCTCATCATGAGTGCCAGAGAGTCTTTGCCCCAGACATCAACCTCATGGACTCCACACCTTCACAGCGTTGAGCATTTTCCCCGTCTCCAAGGTCCTCCTCTGTCTGACAGCCTTCAGTCTGGGCCATGATTCTGTTTTCCCTCCAGTGTCCAAATCTGTTCATAATGCACAGCTAAGTGAAAACTGAGGCTGATTTACCGTCATGCAACGCCCAGAGCGCCCTCTCACCCTCACTCATCTCATCAATCCTCCCCCGGTGCTCGAGGGGCTGAAGGAACTCATTGCCTCCGAGGCTGCATTTTCAATTTGCTGAACCAGGACAGCCCCACGTTTTTGGAGGATGATCATTAGAAGTGAGAGGTGAAGCTTGTTAATAAGGATAAACACGTTTCTCAGGTCATGGAAAAGCTTTCATGCCTGTCATGTTTTATGAGTAGATTGCAATTTCACTTTCACCATTAAAACAAACAAACAAACAAACAAACAAACAAAAAAACCACCAGCCGAAACCAGTTTGGCTCAGTGGATAGAACGTCGGCCAGAAGACTGAAAGGTCCCAGGTTCGATTCTGGACAAGGGCATGTACCTTGGTTGTGTGCAAGAGGCAGCTGGTCGATGATTCTCTCTCATCGATGTTTCTAACTCTCTATCCCTCTCTCTTCCTCTCTGTAAAAAATCAATAAAATATATTTTAAAAAAATAAAACACCAGCCTCTAAAATCCATGTACAGGCAGCTCTACGGGTCTGAGCCTGCTGCTGCTGCCTTGAAACTCTCCATCATTTTGTGTTAGAGCTTGGGCTCTGTGAGGGGTGTCGGTGGCATAATGAAGCGCGTGCGTGGACGGAAGAGACATGCCTTGTGCACGTCTGTGGGCCCTCATCAGACTCCGAGAAATACTAACCCTTAAGGGGAAGGCCTAATTTAAATGTTGTATTGTTAAAACAAGCTATATTCAACTTAGAAAAGAAGCTCAGTTTAATGACGAGGCTCAGATTGCTGGAGGGGAAAAACAAAAGCAAATGAAAACTCCTAGTAAAAAATCCCAACCGATAATCAACCAAGTAATTAGTTGGACTCAATAATTTTGGGCAGACTAAGATGGCATTCTTTTACTTTCTGATATGTATATATTACTGCAGTCCCCAAATATTAAAAAAAATTTGACTCTGTTGACTAATGAGTTTGCTGACCACTGGGCTAGTGGGCCATTTAGTTTTCCTTCTCCTAGTGCAGGGGAAAGTGAGAGTGAAGAGGGTTGTCAATGGCTTTAGGTATCTGCAAACATCCTTATTATTCCATTATTTCCCCTCTTGAAGCCAGATTCCTAGTCTGTGAAATGATAGGCGTGGCTAGATCTCCCAAGCTTTCTGCACATGATTTCTATCTAAACCCAAGAATTCTTATAATAAACTCTATGCCTGCCACCCAGGTGGTCCCAGGTGCTAGGACTATCCTCCCAGCTTTTGGGATAGCTGCCAACATCAGCCCTCCATGGTCATCTGGGCTTGAAAGAGCTTTCCCGGGACACTCACCCCTTCCAGGTATGGGACAGACAGTACCTGGCGACTGGTCATGCTGGACACACAGACATGGCTCCTCCACCCTGAGTGTGGCAACTTTGAAAACCAAGGCAGCTCCAGAGCTCCCCATGCAGTTGGCGGAGGTCTTTTTGGAGGTTGCATTGCAGTCCACCTTCTCCCCTGCCCAGCCCACTCCCTCCCCTCTCCTTCCTGCACGCTAGTCTCTGTCTGTCTGTTTCCTAGGGAACCCGACCCACAACAACTGCTTAAAGATTTCCCTGAAGGATCCTGTCCCATGAGGAGCAGACTGTGATCTGACCTCATGTCAGACCCTCCATTCTTGCTGGAAACCTCCTGGGCATTCAGCATTAATTGGGCTTAAATATTTAGAAGCAACAATAGAAATAATGAGCTCACATGAAGAGTTATTGGGTGTTCTGAGAAAATTTTAAAGATCTAAAAAGAAAGAGAGATTCCAAGAAAGTGACAACATCAAGATCATATACTGGTGGTTTCCTAGTAGACGATGCAGGATATAAACACATTCTATGAACATAGGCCAATGAAGTCCCTGGGAGTCTACATAAGTCTCTCTCTCTCTCTTTCTCTGAGTGAGTAGAAAACTCTGCTGTACATTACTTTGTTCTCTGGAGCCTTCTATGGGAAGGTTGGAAGGGTATAAAGTACTTGGTGCCCAGAGTAAGTGCTCCGTACTCAGTGGTTGATGTGAATGAGCTACTTGTCACTCGTAGGGGTGTCTGTCAACTAAGAAAATGACAGCTCTGTTAAGGTAAGAGTTTGATGGGAAAAGAAATCAACATGCTGGTCAAGGCAGTAGTGACTCCTATTAGCAGGTAAGCCACTCTGCTCGGGTAATAGCACCAGGGCCTGTAAGAAAACCGTGGAATGGAGGATGGAGGCTGACAGCCCCGGCGGGCAGTGAGCTTAGCTTAATTCCACCGTGTGGTTTATTCAGCCTCATACTAGTTTCAGATGCAAACCAATCACTCTAACGTGAGTGAAATTTATGGCTACTTTTATAACTCTCATTCTTTAGTACCTAGTCTATGCTACACAAAAAGTATGCATGTGGTAAATGCTTATAAAAAATGAAAACCCAGTTGAACTAAATCTTTTTATTCCAAGTCCAACTACTCAAGCCATCAGAGTTCAGAACACACAAGCCTGACTCTGCATCTACAGGGAATCAAGGGAGGGGAAATCTCCAAAAGAAGCACCTGCCATAGTCCTGGGGCAGCTGTGCTATGTGAGTTCTAGAAGGCTGCACACAGAGCAACAGGATCATGGACCCAAAAAGGTTTCAACATACAGAGAACGCCCGGAGTGTAAGAAAGGCAGTACCTTTCGTCATTGGTTCTGTTTGTTTGCTTTTTCTCGGTCAAGTATATACACAAGTTTCCTGATATTCAAATGCCTGGCTCAGGAAGCTAAATTGTACCAATAATGAAATGATTCGCTCTTCTAGAACATGGGTGATGCTAAACAATGAGGAGCAAGGAGCAGATGTTGCCTATGACAACCAATAGCTCCAAAGTGGACAAAGCACTCCAGGGTCTTTCTTTCCAAAGAACTGACAATAGCATGTTTATGACAATAGCATGTTCAAATACGAGCTTTTCATTCATAGCCCCACACCTAGGAGCCCTCTCGTGTGCTACTACACTGGGATTTCAGAAATGTAAAATCATGAAAAATTTGGTTAGTTATTTTTTACTTCCTGTCTCAAATCTCCTTTGCTCAGGGAAATCTTCCATGTTTCATTCCTCGCGAGAACAACAACAAATAGCCCAGATTCTTTCTGATGTTGATCTATAGCTAATAGTTAGTGATCTGATGGTGATCTATAGCTAATGGTTAGTGACCTCTTCACCTTCAGGAGAGAATGAGTGACTGGCCCCAAATCAGCAGCAGCACCCTTAAGGCTGCCATTCCTTCTCCACCCCAGCTACATCTCCCACCATGTGCATTCTTTAGATACTTGCTTTTACTCTTCACCCTTCTTACACCATCTCGTACACACAAAATGTTCCTTGATGGCCCAGAGCTGGTGCTCACTCATTTCTGATGAAGTCATTCCTACATCTTTCCTTGTCCTGGTCCCTGCCCACATGGGATGCCTGACTATTCCGATGCCTCTCCTTCTTCTTCTTGCAGTAGAGAGACTACTCGTCCTTAGGATCATCGCCAGCTGCCTTGGAAACCTTCTCTGGAATTACTGCAAACCCACAACCATCTTTTCTGGACTTCTGCCCAAAATCAGTCAGTTGCACGCACTCATCAACAAGCTCTTACTGAATCCCATGCCCCCCGGACCACCTCACTGCACCTCAGCTGTTTTGAAGTGAGCCACCAAGTTTGATAAACTTGCTTTTATCTCCCGCAGAGCTCAGCACAGCGCTTGGACATATTCAACCTTTCCTATTTACTGCACCCCCTAACTGGATCCCGACTTTACCTTCTACAGTACAAAATGTCTAATGGTACATTTCTCTTTTTGTTGGACTCTGGGAGCGGCACAGACCCTGACATGTGCTTTCTGATCATGGCTGTGGACCTACATCTGGAATACACTGTTAATAATCAGCTCCTCACCTGGGTTAAAAACCGGAAACCAGTGGTAGAACGCATTCTTGTAGGGCACCGTGTCGAACTCGCTGCACTGCATCTGCCGAAAGGTTGGTGTATCCGGGCGGCAGGGGTGGACGTTGCACAGGCGGTAGCGCTTCCTCTCTCCTGTGCAGTACTTCCCGCCAAACTTCGGTCTGCAGAGGAGACAGAGCTGTCCTGTTAGCTCCCTTCAAGGCCAGCATCTTCCTTTAAACTCCCCTGGCAGGTGGCCATGCCCACTCCTTCCCGAACCATGACCCTCTCTACCCTTCACACTCTATTTTTAAGTAAATTCTTCCAAGTTTATACATTTTCGTTTATGTTGCTGTCCATGAACATTCAATCACAAGTGTATAGATAACTATTCTGAAATAGCTTGATCTCTTCCCACAGTTAGTCAGTGAACTGGTCACTAGCTGTATTTTTATATTTGTTTCCTCCTCTTTATTTCCATAATCACCAAACTTGTCCAACCCTAATCCCCATTCCTTTCTCACCTCTATCCATCTTTTTTCTTTTTCTTTATTCAACCTATTGTACACACTCTCATCTGGTTAATTCTTACAAATACCTGAATTATTTTAGTTTCTTGTTTACAATCTGTAGTGGCCACAGAATGAAGTCCAGCTTTTGGAGCTTGGCCTTCAAGGCCCTCATGATCTTGACCCAATTCACTTGACTTCCATATTCCCTTTCATCTGCACACTGCTCCAGTCATACATGCTAATGTATTTTGTATTTCTTTTTTGTGCTTCTGGATAGAACAGGCTAACAGATCCCGGGGGGTGGGTGGGGGAAGAGGCTGACCAAAGAACATATATGCATATATGCATAACCCATGGACATAGACAATAGGGAGGGGAAAGCCTGGAGGGGGGTGGGGACTGGGTGCAGGGAGGCAAAGGGATGGGAATGGAGGGCATTTGTAATGCTGTCAGCAATAAATAACTCACTAAATCTATAAATAAATAAATAAAACATAAGATTTGGAACTAAGATATTGAGGGAACTATAATAAATGCTTGTCATTTGCCTTTTACAAACTGTGACTCTTACTCTTCAATTTAGACGAATGTAAAAATAGGTCAAGAAGCTTAATACATTTTCTACTTACAGGAGCTATCATATGTATATTTTTTAAATAATTATACTTGGGCCGAGACCGGTTTGGCTCAATGGATAGAGCGTCGGCTTGGGGACTGAGGGGACCCGGGTTCAATTCCAGTCAAGGGCATGTACCTTGGTTGCGGGCATATCCCCTATAGGGGGTGTGCAAGAGGCAGCTGATCGATGACTCTCTCTCATCGATGTTTCTGGCTTTCTATCTCTCTCCCTTCCTCTCTGTACAAAAATCAATAAAATATATTTTTTTTAAAAATTATACTTGGGAACTAGTATACCAGGAAATAATGAAATTGAGAATGTAATATATATATATATGAAAATCAATGAAATTCAAATTTAATTTATATATACTATCATCATACAAATTTAAATATGAAAAAAGTAAGCAATTTTTTATTAAAACTTTGAAAGCCACTTGTGAAATAACTTCTTTGAAATTCTTAACAAGCTAATATGGATCTCTAAGGTTTACAAAATCCTTATCTAAAACCATAAAAAAAATAATTCCCAGATATGTGCTTAGCTATTTGCTTACCTAAGGGAAGAAAAACATTTTTGCAAAACTGGACTTTCATTATGACTGAAAGAAAGCTGCTCTCTTATCAGCAAACCTGGGTCTGATCTCTCGCTGATGGTGAGATTTACTAGGAGGATAAACCACATAACCTCCTGGAGGCGTTCCCTTTAAGAGAAATGTGCTTATCTTTCCCAGTGATGGAATCAGCTTATTTATCCAAGCTCTAGCAAGAATCCGGTGCCAGGCCAAAAGGAAACACGAGAGAACCACTAATTCTCCCCGCTCTGTGATCTTCAGCGTCCCCCCTAATTTCCCTCAGGAGGTGGGGGTCACTGGTGTCACAGCGGGTGTCGCAGCGCAGGGGGAGGGCAGGGCTGGGCTGCACTCACTCGGGGCTGTTGCAGAGCCTCTCGGCACTCTGGGCCCCGGCCCCGCAGGTCCGGGAGCAGTGGGACCAGGCCGACCAGCGGCCCCAGCCTCCGGGGATGCTCTCTGGCTTCTTCCCCACCGTGATGCACTTGCCAGCCATACACCACTGGGGAGAGAAGAGGAGGAGATGTCAGGAGGGCTCCCACCCAGGCTGAGCCGAGTCCCCTAGACGTCTAACCCCGACTCTCCTAATCAGCTGCCTACAGCCAGGGGTCAGGTGGAGGATAGGAAGAGCTCATAGAATTTCCTCCGAGAGTCTTGGGCCTGAGAAGCAGAGAATTGCAGGAATTGGGGGCACTGCATGGTACCTAGTTGCAGCCAAAGCAGGAGTGTTACTCAAAGCGTGATTGGCAGATGGTATGCCAGAATGTACATCAATACATCACTCCTTCTCGGAGCAAGTCCCGCTAGGAAAAGCTCATCCGCTCAATGTGCTCTGTCACATAGCTGTTCAGTAACATCATTGATTTACGTTCCGGTACAAGCTCCTTATCTCGCTGTAGACAGCAACAAACATTTTGCAGACTGGTACTGTGATAACACTTCTTTACAGCCCCCGGGGTACTTAATGCCAGATAACGTTATCCTCTGGTTGCCAAAACCACTACTTAGTTAAGAATTTTAAGTTCTTTTTAGTATCAACAAAAATGTCTCTTTTTCTGTAACTCTACCCAGTGTTTTTAGTTCTGGTCTTTCGAGTGATTCAAAAAAAAAAAAAAAAAAAAAAATCCACTCTCTCTCCCTCTTCAGGGAAATACTTTTAACAATGGTCAGTTTAGGAGGGTGAACCATACAAAAACAAAAACAAAACACACACACAAAAAACCCCACAACTTGGTTGTTAGAAACGGCCCCACCACCCGGAAAATCTGGGCATGTTTTATCTGCTGCCCTCCTGTCCTCATTATTTCTGATCACTGTGTATTGACCAGGTTCTAACATCTGTGCTGGGCCAGGCCGTCCACAAGCTGTATAAAGATTCCCACCAAAGACCAAAGTTCGAGACCCACAACCACCCGACGAGCTGTGTGGAGCGGCACGAGTTGCTCGGGTCCAGGGGAGTCGATAGTAACATCTCAGTTCATGGGCATCTGGCTCTCCTGTTGGCAGCGTGGACCGATCCTCAGGAAAGGCAGTCAGGCCAGAGGACAAGAAAGAAGACCACAGGTGGCCCATGTCCACCCATTTTGGAAAGAAGCCACCACGGGCTTGTCCTTCCAATCTTTGCCATGAAGATGTTACCAACCACACAGTCCAGGGAGGGTCATCAGGGAAGACGGAACAGACGTTTTGCAACTGGAGCTGTGGACTTGGGCCCAGCCCTCTCTCCTTCACCACGTGTTCCCAGGGAAGGCTCAAAGGCCCAGTGGCAGCGGGTCCTTCCCTCTGGCTAGTCTAGCTCTGTGATCTGCATTCACTCATAGACAGCCGCCCTGCAGAGCCCTCTCCCCCAGAACTCAGTGCCCACCGCCCGCTGCCCGCCTGCCTCAGCCCACATGTCACCTTCTTCTCGCCACACCGGGTCCCATCTGCAGCAGCGTCCAGCTTAGAGCGACAAAAGCCTTTCACCAAGCACCACAGCGTCTGGCAAACATTCTGGAAAACAAACGTGAGACCGTACCTTTTTATATTTCAGCCCCTGCACAAAGCATCTCGGCAGTGACAGTAAACACACACTCATACCCAGTACGCTCCGCTGCTCCCAGTGAGCAGAGTGGTGGCCTGGGCTCAATGAGAGCTCCTTATCCTTGTCCAAGTGACAGAAAGGAACCACGGGAGCACTCACAGCTCAAATGTCATCTGGACTTTGTCATAATTCAGCAGTGGTGTGGAGACCAAACGGGGCAATGAGAAAACGGGGGAGAAAACACATTTCCTGGAAGCTGAGACTGTGATCTCTAGGTGTGTGGCACAGTATCAACGCCCTGAGGTAGGGTAACTGGTGGCATTAGCCATCCAGGGCCAATCCAAAAGCTGCGGACAGAAGTTTACAAAGAGCTGGTGGCGGTAACTGGAGCCTGCTGGCTGAAGGAAGCGGGAGGGGTTGCATCCAGAGAGCCTCCGCTTACTTATTCCTGAAAGCAGCCAGCCTGTTTGAGCTACAGCCCTGAGAAAGGAGGCCACGCCAGGGACACTGCAGCTCCCAGGAACAGTGGTGTATAGAGATATTTAGGAGGCAGGGTTGGTGGGACTTGGTAAGCAGTTAGAAGGGAGGGGGAGGGGTCTTTGCATCAACTTTATCATCTCCGTTCAGTTTTGCTTGCTCTGTGTCAGCACCGATATCCTTCCTCCGCAGAGTCTTCCTCTAAGTCTCCTTCTGTCTTCATCTCGTTGGGTGGCCATGTCTGCATCTGCCTCCTCTCCCAGCGCTGAGCAAAGCCAGAGGCACTGATCCCTGATTTGGAGTGCTCACCAGCTCCGTCTCCCTCAGGACACAGCACAGAATCTGGCCTGCGAGTTGCTTCTCCTGGTCTATGTGTTCAGAACCATATGTTCACACCGGAGGGCAGGACTCAGAGAAGAGTCAAGGTCCAGTTTACGAAGAAGTGAAAGAAGTCAGTGTTTATCCTGGGCTGTGGGGACCTTAAAATCAGAGATGAGACATGGCTAGATTTGTGTGTTGTTTTTTGAAATAACTTGAGAAATGTCAGGGGAAGATTAGGTCGGTGGTAATTACAATAGCGAGGAGAGATGATGAGAGACTGAATCAAGAATGAAACGGTGGGAATGAAAGAGACAGGACAGAGCCACAGACTCTTAAGGAGGTATCATCAGATGTTGGAAACAAATACATTGGGGATGAATCTTATTCCGATCTTGGGATCTGGTGGAACTCTTTAACCAGATGGGAAATTCAGGAAAGAGATCAATGTTAAGGATTGCACTGTTTTCGATGGAGTTTATAGGTGTGAATAATTGTGATTATTGAAAAATCACTATAGCATTTTCTTCACCACCACCCAGTTGCAAAGAATTGCTGGCTCCCCAGAATGCCAAGGAGCTAGAGTCAAGGAATAGAAATGAGACATCACCCTTCTGCTTTACAAACACTGTTCACCACCAATGAGAGTTTGCACTTCGGTGTCTGGATCTTGGGATTTCCAAAAAATCTCCTGATCCTTCCTCCAGCCTGCACACCCCACCAGCGCCACCAGGACACCGGCACTTACTTCCACTTCCTGGCAGAAGGTAGCATTGGGGCCATACTGCAGCTGGCATTGGTGGTGAACGTCATAGATCACTCCAGGGGCGATGACCTTGGACTTCAAGCCTTTCCTTTGGGGCATATCATCGAGACAGAACCCCCAGCCTCGGCTGAAAAGAAGTTAATAGAAATGAGAAGAGATACTTATGATTTCCTTTATCTTTAGTCTTAAGTTCAACAGAAGATTCTGCCCCTCCAGTTTCCTCTTTGTCTTTAAGACAAGCTAATTTCCACAAGACAGAGACCCCTCCAGGCCCCTGCTAGGAGCCCTGTAAAAGCAAAGCCAAACCACAGCCCATTCCATTGGTTCCATTGTGCTCTAGAAAATACAAGCAATGGTAAAACTAGAGAATCATCACCTGATCCCCAATGGGGTTTGGGGACCATTTCTCACAAATCTTGGTTGTTCCTGCCAGTTCCTAAAGAGCCACGGTGACACTGGAGTGATCAGGGGGGCGGTGTTCCCCTGGCTGTGGCCGGAGGGCAGAGCCCACCCAGATGTGAGGGTCAGGACGCAGACGTGAAATCCACCCCTCAGACGCTGTGGCCTGGGAGAGGACCTGAGACCTTTCCAACGTGACTTCTCATGTGGGGCTGCTCGGAGCCGCGCCGTCACTCACTCCAGGAAGCGGGTGATGTACTCCTTGCTGCACTTGGACCAGGTCAGCGGGGTGGGGTTGTACTGGAGCTGGCGGGACATGATGTAGGGGTGCCGGCCTACGGACTCACAGTCGTTCTCTTTCCCGTCATGCTGGATGCCGAAGCTGCGGGAGGCACAAGGCCAAGGCTGTCAAGGAGGCAGGCATGCAACAGGAGGAAGCCAGCTCCCCAGGGCGAATGCCGCTGAGAGCTACTCCCCTACAGAGGGCTTCTGCTTACAAAGGGGCCTTGGCAGTGGGAGGGGGAAGCTCATTTTCAATGGGAAAGCACAAGGACCATCCTAGGCAAGCACTGTTTCTTCTGTGCACCCGGGGGAGCCACGTGGCCAATTCAGAAATGTCTGCTTGGTAGAAAGTGAAGAGCGACCTGTTGGCTTTCTGTGAGTCTTTTTTTTTTTTTTTTTTTTAATATATTTTATTGATTTTCCATAGAGAGGAAGGAAGAGAGATAGAGAGCTAGAAACCTCGATGAGAGAGAAACATCGATCAGCTACCTCCTGCACACCCTCTACTGGGGATGTGCCCACAACCGATATACATGCTCTTGACCGGAATCGAACCTGGGACCTTTCAGTCCGCAGGCCGACGCTCTATCCACTGAGCCAAACCGGTTTCGGCAATTTCTATGAGTCTTGAGTCCGGAGGGCAATGCTGCCTCAAGCTGCCTTCCTTCTCCCGCTGCGTGACCAGAGCACAAAGGAACACTGCCCTTCTCCCTTCTCATCCTCATCTATGGAAGGCTGGAGGGGGAAGCGCTGAGACAGCTGGACAAGGACGCAGCTTCGGGAGGCAGGCATCTTTGGGAAAGACAATGCTGCTGGCAGGGGGCAGGGGGACAGCAGGAAAGGGGAAAGACCAAATATGACACGGGTGGACTCCATAAATGAAGCCACCGGCAGGAGTGGATGGGAGCTGGGCCAGGCTGCCGAGGACCGGGCATTGCGACTATCACTCATCATAGGGCTGCCGCGAGCTAAGCTAACTCAAATAGCATGTAACACAAGAATATATCACCAGCTGGAATATATCACAGTGATCTCCTAGGGGGTTTGGTAAGCATGAAAGACATCACAGTACCCATCAAACTGCCTGATTCAACCTTCTCATCTCACAGAGAAGGAAACGGGCAGAAGCGAGGGCAGTTCTATAAGGTCATCACAGCTGTGGGTGGAAAAGCAGAAGAGGCACTCGCTTTTCCCAAGTCCAAAGCCAATCCTCTACACGTAAAAGCAGTTTGCACAGTTCCAATATCTCATGAAAAACATGATGAGAAAGCCCAAACCAGAGAGCCAGGCCTGGGGTAATCCAGTCTCCAGGGTTCTTCCCAACCCCACCTTTTCCGGAAGTCCCTCTGAGCACACCCCAGCCTTCTGGCCCTTCCTTGGGGAGGGACTGCAGGCTGGCAGCTCCCTGGGGGGCAGGGAGCACAGCAGAGTCATTCACATGCTCCCCTCTCTGAGTTGTTAGCTAGTGCGATGCGCTCTTATCTGTGGTTTCTAAATGGCCCAACAAAGTGTGTTACAAATATGCTAAGACCTGCCCTCCATGGGGGCTTCCTGATCCCTCCTTTTTCCTTTACACAAACATTCCGAAACCTGCCTTCAAGGACTTCATCTCATCAACGTTACACATTTTTGTGACAGCCTGGACCCCCGTTCACTGGTGTTTGTCTGGTGGCTTTCCAAGATTATGGCAGCTTTCCATTTCTTGTCTATTCAATGGTCTCCTTTCCACATGGAAGTGAAGTGAGACTCACGATGTTACCCACATCAGAAGGTCATTGCAATGGTTCAATGGCATAACGCCAAGTGTCAGGCATGAAGGAAAGGCACAAAGTGTTACGGTCTGTGACTTTTTAAGGCTATCACACAATTAATATTTCATAAGAAGTAAATAGGAATTGTTTCTCCTGAATTAGACAATGAGTTCAAGCTTATCCCCTTGCTTCTGCTCACCTCCTTTTAGTTCAAGGAGCTGCGGTGTGAGGCAGATGGAAAGAGCTCAGGGCAGAGGAGGCACTGGGGTCCTGAAGTGTGTGATTCTGTCTCACAGGACAGGTGAGAAAGCAGAGGCGGAGGAGGGTGAGTTTCAAGCCACAGTGCCATCCCGCTGCCTCTGCCCCATGCAAGGTGCTTTCCGTGCCTTCTGCCTGGCATTGCCACAGGGACCTGGCAAAGCATCGCCGTTTCCTTGGCCTTTACCTGTGTCCGAGCTCATGGGCGATGGTGAATGCCAGCGGCAGGCCCGAGTCTTCGTTGATGTTACAGCTCCGGTGAGGCTGGCACATGCCCGACAGGTGGGACAGGCCCAGCGTCTCACAGGGGCGGTTGAGGCCGCCACAGATGTCTTTTCTGCAAGCAGAGGACAGAGGGCATGAAACACCTCCCACACGGCCTGGGCGAAGCTGGGTGCTAACCACACTCAGTGAGGTCTGTGACGCTTCATCCAAGTAAGCTTTTAAACGTCCATGTGAGCACCGGGAGTCATTTGGAATTCATTCAGATTATTCTGGTTTCACCTCTTGATTAATGAATCTCCCTAACATCTAAGGAATGAGAGAGTTTATAGCAGATGTTTTATTTTGAGTTGCTTTTGCTCTTGATCTCAGGAAGCTAAATTATTTTATTTGTTAAAAAAAAAAAAAAAGAAGAAGAAGAATCTGGGTGAAAATTGAAATTCATTTAGAATTGTAAATAAGGAAGGGACAACAGCAGTCAATGAGTTCTTTCAAATGTAAAATAGTTTTGTTTTTTCTGAGGTCTGGGTTCAAAACTCATATGAGGACTTTTTCTCACTCATGAAAAAGGCAACTGCTCTGATAAACCCATGCAGAGATCAAATCAGTTTTCTTTCTAGCTTCCCTACCCTATCACTATTGCATATGGGATGGGATGAACAATCAAAGTCAGAGAGAGAGAAAGAGAAAGAGAGAGAGAGAGAGAGAGAGAGAGAGAGAGAGAGAGAGGCAGGCATTATTCCTCTTTTCACCAGTAATTCATTCGTCTCATTATTTCCCTGCCCTGGAAGAGGAAAGAAAGACTCCAGGATCTCCACAATGCTAGTTAATGCTCTTAAGTAGAAAAACGTGCACCCACATCCTGCTGGGACTGTCTCATCCCTGACAAGCGTCTGAAAGAGTCATTCATTGGCCACTTGGTTTTCTTCGGTCAAGAAGAGTTCTTTGCCAAGAGTGACTGGAGCAAATGCCAACGAAGTGTGAGCTTTCGTCAGCTCCAGACCTTCAGTGCCTAGGTTTTGTGCGGACGCCATTTCTGGCCACACATGGCCTGTTGTGTGTGTCCACTGTGGGCCACAGAAAAGATAGTGCTGGAAGCTTGGTCCATTAAGTAATTGTTCATTGAGTGCTTACTACAGGCTAAAGAGGACAAAGAGGGTAATAAAAGAATTGCAGGAATATGGTTTTTGTAGGTAACCAGCCTAAGCTCCCCAAAAGAACATTAGCTTGACCTCCCCTGGGCACGGGGTTATCAAAGAGAAAACATGCCTGAACATTCAGCCACCTGCCCCATTTCATGGAGTGTGTTCAAGCCAAAACCCATCCTACTGACTGTGACCGTACAGATAACGCGGCTAACGTGGACCTCAGCATAGTCCTCCAGAGGCCAGCTCTGTCTTATCCCTCCCCCCTTCCTCATCCTACCTGTTTATTCAGACCAGCGGCTCTCAGCAGGGGGTGTCATGCTCCCCTCCCCCTCCTCGGGCACATTGGGTAATGTCAGGAGACGGTTTTGGTTGCCACAACTTGGAGGAAGGTTACTGGCATCTCACGGATGGAGGCCAGAGATGCTGTTAAACACACTACCATGCACAGGACACCTCCTCACAACAAAGACTGATGCAACCCAGAATGTCAGTGGGGCCGGGGTTGAGAAATCCCGCTTTAGAAACTGGAATACTCTCCACTGCATAGCAGCTAATGAGGTTCATCATAAGCTTGAGACAAACCCCTGTTCTAAGAACGAATGATCAAAGGAGAGCAAACCCTTGATATGCACAGTAAGAGTATAGCCAGTGCTGTCTATCTGGATTTAAGTCCCAGCTTTACCTGGTAATGACAATGAGATTTTGGGCAAAGGGTACAACCAAGCCTCAGTTTCCCCACCTGTAAATAGGAGTGATTGATGGTAGTCAACCACCAGTGTTCTGTGGGGACTGAATGGCATGATGACTGTCCTAACAGATGTGGCACAGAGCTTGGCTCATGGAAAATACTCCGCAGTGCCAGCTCCCGGGAACTAGCTCCCTCATGTCTCCCTGTGAGAATGAGAGGAGAACTCCTGCTTCAGAGAAGAAAAGAGACCGAGCTGAGACACAGCTGCCAGGCGGTCAGTGCTGGTCCTGGAAACCGGGGCTCTTCCCTGGAGACAGGTCCTGCCTGGATTGGTCTTTTCCGGGCTTTCTGCCCAGTTCCCTGGCTGCCTGCTGGCCTCCCACAGTCTCCAAGCTTACACCCCACACCCTCATTAACCTGTTTCCCAGGGGAGCTGTTGATCAATAGGAGGTGTCATAATCCCAATGAAACTAATGTGAAGGCTTATGCCACAGACTTCTTATGGAACATCTTGGCAATTTTTTTTATCAATAAAATATATTTAATAAATAAATAAATAAATAAATAAATAAATAAATAAATAAATAAAGAGAAAATAACCGTTGGGCTAGGAAAGGGACCAGCATTTTGCCAGCGGACACAGCTTATTAACACAGGGACTTGCTATCTGTCCCCTCACGCATATGGGAGTCAGGAGTTGTTTGGATCATAGAAGCTACCTTTAGAAATGACCAAGAGCAGCAAAGAGGAGGAGAATCTCATGAGTCTGAATACCTGGCACCCCTTCCACCTGCCGCCCACCCTGCCTGCAGCCCTGGCCCCCCTGTGTCTCTGCGGTACCTGGTGAGAAGGACGGCCACGTCGTGGTGGGCAGGGTTGAGGTCACTCTTGGGATTGATGCTCTTCTGCCACTTACAGAAGCTGGTCAGGGTCTTCTCGGCGTGGTGCACTATCTTCAGGCCTTGCTGGAGGAGGAAGAGGGGAGATTGGCACGGGTGAGGTCACCGTGGCTGGGGCCCATCAGGTCAGTCTCCAGAAGAAGCCGAGTGGGATGAGCACGGGTGAGTGCCTCGGCGATCTGGCAGAACTTGGCAGCGGCTGAGTTCCTTCTCTGGGCAAACCCTCTGCTTAAACACTACGACTCGCATGGCTTCCACTAAAAGAACCGGGAGGGGAGAACTTAAGGCAGAAACGATCACTGGGACAAGAAACCCTTGAAGGGAAACCAAGAATATTAATATGTTAGCCAAGACCAGCAGCTGTTTGAAGTTCTATTTCAGTGACTCTCTGCTTCCGAAGTCAAATGCAAAATGAACAGACTTGCAACAAAAAGCTCTTCCTTTCACGAGGCATCCGAGAAGGCCGGGGTTGCACTGGGTGGCTCCCTGCCAGTCCAACCTTGGTGGTTTGACATCTGTGGGTGAAGGGCCACAATTGGGGCCACTGGCTGTCGGGCAGCCACTAGGATGCTGTAGAAGGTGCCCAGGCTGCAGCTTGCAGGGCTCCCAAGGCATCCTGAGGCCCACAGTTGCTAACGGGGATGGGAGGAGAGTGTTTGTTCCAGACTAACTGGGTGAACACTTGTCAGATGAGGGAGAAGGAAAATGGGCTTTCAGCTCATTTGAGAGTCCTTTTTCAGCTCCAAGGGCACTCCAGTTCCACTGGAGTTTCTGTAGGAGAAATTCCTTTCCCTTTTGGAGGTAAGGGAGGATTCTACCTGGAGAAGGACTATGCCCAGGGCCCACTGGAAGCTCAGGCTCTTACATCACACACCCTCTTCATCAACTATGAACCTGCTCCTCACCATCCAGTATTTTGGTAAGGCCACACCCAAATCAAAGGAGGCCTGAGAGACTCCAATGCCCATTAGAGACTCTCCCAGTTCCCCCACCCAGAAAGGAAGGGAGAGGAAGAAAAAAGAAGGAAATAAGAGGGAGGGAAAGAGGGAAGGAGGGATTAAAAAAACAGGAAGGAAGCATTTCTTAATCATTATGTGACAGAGAATTTTACACCTATTCTTTCATTTAGTTGCATCCTCTCAGCATTATTTGTAAAGAGAGCGTGGTTATGTTCATCATTGAAGAACTAGCTGAGGTCACTCGGGTCAGATACTGACAAAGGCAGCGAGAACCAGGGCTCCTAGAGGAACCTGCGGTTCTAACGGACCGGCCGCCCCACAATGTCCTTTGAAACATGGGCTGGACTCATTGCCTCGGGACACCTTACACCAAATCACGTGTGTCCATCTCAGGAAAACTGAATGTTGATGCACACAATACACACAATTTAGACGGCTCTCGAGGAAGTCATGCTGACTGAAAAAAAAATCTCATCTCAAGAGGTGCATGCTGGATGATTCCATTTTCCAGCACTCTTGCAATGACAAGGTCACAGAGATGGGAAAGAGATGAGTGCTGTCCCAGGGTCAGTTGGGAGGCAGAAGGGAGGTATAAAGGGTAGCATCCCCTCCTCCTCATTCCTGAGCCAAATTCAGCGTCAGCAGGGGCCCAGCCTCGGCATGAGGAGAGTCCTTTTCCAGATGTTGCTGCATAAACTCTGCTTCTAGTTTTCCCGGCGTTAGGAAGAGCCCATTTCCCTGAAGGACCATAGGATCTAGGCCTCCAATCCGCTTGTTTAAATGATGAGAAAATCCGGGCCAGAGAGGGGTGGGACCTTAACCAAGTCTACAGCAGGTTTGGGCAGAGTAGGTCGCAGAGCAGCCACTTCTAGGACTAGTGGTTCCCAAGCGACTGAAGGCTTCTTCCCATGTGTTTGCTCTGAGTAACTGGAAAGCTTTAGCAGTTCGCCAGTAGAGGCTGAGGATTACCGCTGAGTTCACCTCTCACGTCCACAAGTAGACCCTCTACTTTCGCGATGGCCACTCTCTGTCTGTCCGCCTCCTACTCACTGTTCACTTCTCAGTCCCCTCCATGTGCTCTTTTTCTGCCACTCTATGGGCTCATTGCCTAATTCATTCTCAGTCACAGTCCTATTTTGGGAAATCACCTATAAGCTATTGACTCTCAAACCCATACCTCATTCCAAATCTCTCTGACAGGTCACGTTCATGTATCCAAACCTCTTGATGGGTATCTCCTTCTGGATGGCACAAAGGTACCCCCATCTCAGATCCCGGATATTCCTCCCCTGCATGCTGACCTGCTGTTCTCCCCGTATCCTTGGGCTTAGTTACAGGGACCACCATCAACCCAGTGTCCCAATCTAAACATGCCAGTGTCCACCTACTGGCCTCCTCTCCCTCATGTCCTGCATCCCAGTGTGTCCTCCTGGGCTGCTCATTCTACCTCCTCTTCATCTTTACCCCCAGCCACCTTAGCTCAGACCCTCATCATTGTGTGCTTGGATTTATGCTTGCAGCAGCTCTTAAGTGCTCTTCTTGTTTCCTTGTTTTCTCTCATCCCATCCTCCTTGCTGTTGCCAGGTCAACCTAGTCAAAACCAAAATCTGCCCAAAACAGACCCAGGACGCAAGACCCTGTGAAGTCTAGCCTCTAGGAAGCTCTCCCTTCTTTGGCTGCCTCACAGTTTATGCTCCAGCAACCTCCAAACTGCTTCTATGACCACTACCCAAAAGCCACATTCCCAGACCCCGTGCTATTTTTTACCTTGCTCTCTTCAAGCTGCTCCCTCTACCCAGAATATCTTTCTCTCCTCTTTCCCCTCTTTAACCTATGAAATATCTATGATTTCTCCCTGCTGCTTTTGTTTGTTCTTCTTACAAGTGAAGTGACTGCACACTGAGCTGAGTTGCTGACCGCTGCTGCTGGTACCCTGCCCCTGTGTAGAGTTTTTCCTCTACAAGATGGGACATTCAACACAAGTTCAGTGGCATGGTCTTAAGGATACCTTACTGCTTTTCTGCTCAATGTCATGACTCTTCCAGCAGATTTTAATAGTGCACACATTTTTTCCAGTCCCCTCAGCTCTAAATCTCCAAATCTCCTAAGAGATTAAATCCAAAGAGCATTTACTCATTTAATTTTTTGAATGCAGTTGATCACAGGTGCCTTGGGGAGAGTCATTAGCTGTGTCTCGAAGCGACGCAGCCCTAAGCCTGCACGAGATGTGAATGCATGGCAGAGAGATTGCGCGGGCTCACAGCGAGCCTGGGGAGACTTGTGCTGACCAGTTTCCATGAAGCAGTTCCTAATGATTTGAGCTTGCCTAAACAAACCCCCATCCGCACGAATTTCTCCCATTTCCTTTGTAAACAAAAATGGATTTTTCCTTTTTGTTCTTGCATCAGTTTTTTCTCACCTCATTTTCTCAAGTGAGTCCAATTCACTTCCCACCGTCCCTTTCCTATGCTTTGGAGGAGGTGACCTCACCGAGCAGGGAGGTGATCTGGAGGAAACCAGCAACAGCTCACAGAAGCAGGCCCAAATGCGAAATGGAAAATGATTTTGCCAAGTACGTGGCTTTTATTATAAGTTGGTCTGTCCCTTTTAAGCTCTTTATAATGAAAAAAAAAAATCTTGTCTTGATTTCTTTGAGAAGTCCTGCTGGTAGCAGCTTTTGATTCAGCACACAATCTGAACATGCTCCTAGCCAGGCATGGGTTCCCGGAAGAAAGAGAATGGCAGAGAAGAGAAAAGCAGTAAAAAGTTTAATCTGAAAACTTCCCAAGTGCTTAAGGAGTAACTCATCAAACTATCAGAGGAAAAGGTATTGGTCTTTCATTTAAAAAGGGAACGAGTCTTCGAATTCTTTGTTCATATTGTTAACATTTATCCTGAAACAGTAGAGTTGCAGAGGTTATTACAGAACCACACATCACCCCGGAGACAGGAAATTGTCAGCCTAGATTTCCAAAGCAAGAAGCTTTTCAGCTCCAGAGTCTCACAAAGGCGAGCCCCATACGAAACCACTGAGACCAAGAGGGACAGTCCCCGTGATGACATTCACTTCCTGCCTGCTGTCAGCCTTCTGCTGCTCCGTACGCCAGCTGGACACCCGATGGCACAGTGACATGGACCCTCCCGGCTTTATCCCAGCTCCCTCCTCCCCTCCCAGTACTGTTTCTATCCTAGGCTTTAAAGAAGTCTCCAGCCTCTTAGGACCCTGATCTTACCCTTTAGGCCTGTGGCACAGTGTTCTCCTCTGGGAGATGAGCTAATAATAGTAAAGAGTTTATGGAGTTGTTGTGGAACCTAAATGATGGCAATGATAATTATAAGAATCATAAAAATGATACTAATAAGTAACATGTATTGACTGGGTTCTAAAGCCCAGTCAGTGCTATTACGTGGGATAACACATTTGATTCTCCCAGCAATTCCAGGCAGTAGAGGTTATCATCCCCATTTTATAAAAGAAAGCTATGGAGGCACAGACAAGCCAAGTTCCCACCTATCCAGAGTTCAGGGAGGGTGAGGGTGGGAAGCAAGGCAAAGACCAGAAAGTCCATGACCGTCTCTGCAGGACATGGTGAGAAAGCAGACATCACCGGATCCCCACCTTCTGGTATCCCCTCTCTTGTCCGTTAAGTGTTTTACTGCAGAAAGGAAGCAGGGAGTACCGAGGTACAGGTCAGAGGAGAAGAGGGAAAACTACCCCTTACCTCTTCCTCTTCAAGTAGAACCAGCCGAACCACAACAATGTGAATGGCATTGCCGATGCTGGGGTTATGGAACAGCCCGGTGACCTAGATCAGAAATGGAAACCGATTAGCCCGTGTGAATGGATAACAGACAAATGCCAGAGGGGCAGGGGAGAGGACATCTTATGGGTTAACAAGTTTTGTTGGAGGAAAGAAGGAGGAAGGCCTCCAGCCCAAACCGCATTGTGATATTTAAAGACAACATTTCCAAGGTCATTGATCGGCTGTGTGCTTGAGGGATTGGTACGTTTCTTCTCTTTGCCCCTGTTCCTGACCCAAGGTCTTCCTCTCTCACTATCAGTGACCCAGGCAAACGTCATTCCCCATCTCAATAGAACTTACTCTGTGGGAAGCTAGAAAACATCAGTCGTGCAAAGGGTAAGCTGGAAATCCAGGATCATTAACTCTATTCTAATTCTAGCTCTAACCACCTTGAGGAAATCACATTCTAGTTCTTTGTGCCTCAGTTTACTCATTTGTGCACTGATGGAAATCACTAAGATAAAGTCCTACTGAAAGGACTGAGTCACTTGATAAATACTTAGTAGAAAGTGTAACTGGTAAATTACAAATTTTCCTAGGACACACAATTTTAAGAGAAAGACTAATATGTCCTGAATTTCCATCCTTCATCACTTCAGCGGGGAATGGATTCATCCATCTATGTTCAAAGCACAACCAAAACAGGAAGGTCTCTCTCATTTTTGGTTAGTGTGGAGCATTTCAAATGCCAGGTTCCCTTGAAGTCTGACGTACCATGTTCATGATGGTGAGGATGTAGGACTCCACGTTCTCGCTCCCGTGATACTCAACCATCTTGGTGTCGGCCACCACCAGCGTCTCCACCCACCTCTCCCTGCTGATGGAGCGCCGGGAGATGCGTCTGCCAGGCAAGGCGTTCCTCTCCCACTCCTCTCGCCGCAGCTCCAGCGTCTGGGAGATGCCGGGGCTGTCTACACATTAAGCAAAAGGCAATCAGTTTAGTCTGTCTCTCTCTCCAATATTACCCACTTTCACTTGTGAAGATGCAAGGCCATAAATTTAATTTGTGGTTAATGGTGTATGAATGCACGTTTTTATATATACATGGCTGAAATGGAAGAAGGGACCAATTTTAAATGAATATGACCAAGATAACCTCACTTCTCCTTCCTAGTCTCCAGCGATGGCCACCCAGCCTCAGCTCGAAGGCCTCCGTGGCAGGGCACTCACCTCTGCCTAGGCATCTGGTTCTGTCAGTCAGTCCCCTCCTGTGCTGAGCAGAAACCCCTCCGCTGCCCTTCCCCTCATTACCTGCCTGCTCTTAGAAGCAGTCTGAATCCTGGCCCTCCTGCAGGGGCTGCAAGCATCTCCTGCCCTCTCCCTCCGCACTCTTTGAGCCTGAGAGCTGATTACACTGATTTGCTATACACCCCTCCCCAGTTCCTCAGTTTTGCTGTCTACGTGAAATAGAGCACACTGACTAATAGTTACAAAAAATGAGACATAATGGCAGGTCTGAGTCTATTCAAATGCTCTTATTGTGAATTTTACTTGAAAATAACAAAATTCAAATGCTATTATTTGAATTTTACATCAAAGTGCTTTGATGTAAGGCTTTTGGAAAATAATCTCGGGCTGTGGAAGCTTCGGAGGGAAGTCCTGTGAAGGCTCAGAGCGGGGGAGATGGTTAGCTTGATCCGCGGTAGAACAACTTTCTACTTCCCTCCTCACTACCTGTGTGGGTAAGCATGACTTCCTTAAGAAAACCCCAGAAATGGTATTGATGGTTTCTAATTCTGCACCCCTTCTTATTCCCCTGTCTGTCACCCTCTCCTCCCTTCTGGAAGCTCACGGGAAAGTTATCAAACTACAATCTGTTTCCAATTCTGTGCAAACCAGGGAGCAAGCCATGCTGGAGCCCAAGTGGGGCCATGTTTCGGGTCCTCACACAGGACGGTCCCCTCACACAGGACGGTCCCCCTCACACAGGACGGTCCCTCTCACACAGGACGGTCCCCTCACACAGGATGGTCCCCCTCACACAGGACAGCCCCCCTCACACAGGACGGTCCCTCTCACATAGGATGGTCCCTCTCACACAGGACGGTGCCTCTTACACAGGACGGTCCCCTCACACAGGACGGTCCCTCTCACACAGGACGGTCCCTCTCACACAGGACGGTCCCTCTCACACAGGATGGTCCCTCTCACACAGGATGGTCCCCTCACACAGGATGGTCCCCTCACACAGGATGGGTCCCCTCACACAGGATGGTCTCTCTTACACAGGACGGTCCCCTGACACAGGACGGTCCTTTTCACACAGGACGGGCCCCCTCACACAGGACGGTCCCCTCACACAGGAAGGTCCCTCTCACACAGGACGGTCCCTCTCACACAGGATGGTCCCTCTCACACAGGACGGTCCCTCTCACACAGGATGGTCCCTCTTACACAGGACGGTCCCCCTCACACAGGATGGTCCCTCTCACACAGGATGGTCCCTCTCACACAGGACGGTCCCTCTCACACAGGACGGTCCCCCTCACACAGGACGGTCCCTCTCACACAGGATGGTCCCTCTTACACAGGACGGTCCCCCTCACACAGGATGGTCCCTCTCACACAGGACGGTCCCCCTCACACAGGATGGTCCCTCTCACACAGGACGGTCCCCCTCACACAGGACGGTCCCCTCACACAGGATGGTCTCCCTCACACAGGACGGTCCCCCTCACACAGGATGGGCCTGAGTGAGGAGCAGACACCGGGGAAGGACCAGGTGAGCCTTGGGCAGCCTCTGAGCGCCTTGTCTCTCCTCCTCACTCAGGGGAGATTTCAAATGCCAGAGGCATCAGTGGCCACAGAGGAGCCGTGGTCTGGAATGCCCTCGCAGGAGTGTCTTGGGGCAAGAGCAGGTCGTTCACAGAACTAGAGGCCTCGGTGCAGGGCTGGGCCACAGACCAGGGCACCCGAGGCCACAAACTGAAGGCCAGGGTCTGGTTCTGATGGGAGATCTGAATCCCACAAACACTGGGCTCATCCTTTCTCAGCTTTCCTTGCGGGTCCCCTTCATTCATTCAAGGGACATACCACCCACAGCGGGCTCAGTGAGCCATCACATTAACGTAGACGTTTGTTCTTCTTCCCCAACCTCTGCACTTTTCCCAGCATCCTTCCTGCCTCCAACTCCCAACCCCCAAAGCGAGCACGTGTCAAAACTGGGCAAATGTTGCTTCTTAAAGGAAACACTATTCTGGAGTAAGGTGCTCTCCTGCCTCTAAGGGATAAGAGGTCCTATAAGTAACTAAGCATTCCCATGTGGGATCTGAAACTTCTTATTAGTTCATTGGAGAAAGTGAATTGTGGGCAATTTTTTTCTTTTATCTACTTTATTATATTTTCTATATTACTTTTATAGACGTTCATTAGAGAAAGTAAAATTGTGGGCAATTTATTTCTTGTATCTGCTTTATCATGTTTTCTATATTACTTTTATGGCTAGAAAAAGAAACCTTAAAAATACGGTGACGATCCTGACTTTGACGAATTTTATAATTTAATAGCAGCATTTTGCTGCACTTCTCTAATTCTCTCATTGATGTCTATCTTTTTAACCAAGGCACCAAAGGCTATTTTCCCCAATCACGTTAAATGGTCCCTTAGCAACAGCCTAATAGTATAATTTCCTACATATGTAAAGAGAAGTAGAAATCTGCCCAATTTGGCCATTCGATACCTGGTTCTCCAAACATAGAGAAATAATCCTGGGGGGCGGAGGAGGGGAGAGAGAATGCAAAATCCAGGAGGGGAAAAAAGGAATTATTCCAACTACTAATCCAGCCATTCTTCTATGAAGGCAAGAGCTTTGAAAATCTGAGCCAGCACTTCCATTAAGAAATTAGACATACATGAGTCTAAAGGGAGACGCCGAACTTAGCCAGATAAACACTCTCCCCGGGGCAATGGAGAGAACACCGTGGCCCACAGGAGCACAGGACAATACGAGCGCTTGAAATGTGCCAATTCAGAACTGAAACGTGCTGTCAGCTACACCCTGGACTTCCATAGCCGCTGTGAAAAAAGAAAAGTAACCGATCACATAACAATGGACCCCGATTACATATGGCAATGATAAATCCGGGGATCTTGGGCTCAGTGAATTATTAAAATCAATCTCACCTGTTTCGTTTTATTTTTCTCTGGGCTACTAGGAAACTGGGACTTGCTTTTGTGGCTCACATTATACTTTTATTGCACAGAATGTATTTGGAGATCAAGGCACCTCACATCAATCCAGGGTCTCCTATGCACTCGCTGTCCTGTCTGAATCCTGACTCGCAGAATTGCTCTGATAAAGCAGGAAATCGGGATGTGGGCTAAGCATCCAGCAAGAAACCTGCCATGTCCCGGAGTCACAGTGTCACTTTGTGGCCTCAACCATATTTTGAGACTGAAACTATCCCTACATCAGTAAGCCCCCCCTCCCCAATGCCCTTTGGGTCCCTAGAGAGACTCCATCAGAGATCTCTTTCTTGATCTCCAAAGTATGCGTTTTAAGGCATTGGTATTTCAAGAAGTGGCGTTATCGGAGTAAGACTTTTCTAAATAAACTAACAGCTTAGTGAAACAGAAATCCCACGTTGCAAAACATTCCAGCAGAATGAGGCTTGGCAATAACATAAATTAAACGTCTTTCCCTGGGCTTCTCCTGACAGACCCTTGACAGCATACAGCCCGGTGGTCCCGCCCCCATGACTTCCACCGTATCCCGGGGTTACGCTCCATCCATCCTGCTGACAAGCCAGCCCTGGGGTAACCTTCCCGCCTCTGCTCCCTCTGGATGGTGAGGCATTTCCTCGGCAGCTCGGTGTGCCTTCGCATGGCCAACCTGACATACCGTCCCTGGCAGGTCCGCTTGCTTTCTTGGACTTTACCTTGGAGACTAGGTTTTGCTCTCTAATCCTCCATCTAACTCCTTGGTTGTTGGCCCAACAAGGCAGCTTGCTCATCAGACATCGACCACACATCACTCCTCCATGAGATGGCACTTCAGGCCTGCCGGGTTTAGAAACAGGGGCTCAGGTTGTTCTCTTCTCAAAAATGGGACAGTGAACTCAACATACGTAAACTGTGATGTTTAATTAGGCCTCAGGTTTTGTGCAAGTATTTTCTTTCCCCTGTGCTGGTCTCTCTGGGGAAAGATAAAGTGGGGGCGAAGGGTTGATCGTGTAGCCTTTAGAGAGCTCAGAATGGTTGGATAATTCCAAACGGCCTGACCCTACAACACCATTTGCATTTATACCTAGTGATGAGAGGACATCAGCTCTCCTCTGTAATTATGTTACCCTTTGCTTATCAAAATGAGCTTGTGTTTCTGAACCAACACAAACCAAGAGGGTGGGAGGGATCCAGAGAGGCTGAAAAAGGGCTGCAGCTAGAGGCTGGGGCGAGATTCTCATTTCACTGTGAAGACTCCATAAAGTGGACGTTTCCCATGTCTGTAACCGAGCGGTGGCTGACTCTCTGTGGTTCCCAACATGGGGACATGCAAGTTGAACGGTGCCACCAGAGGAGCTGAATGAATTTAAAGGGAACGAGTGAAACTGTTCTTCCCAGTAGGAGCATGTCCAAGCTCACACAGTAGTTGCAAAAGCAAAATCTCAACCTACCAAATCTCCCAATTCCAAGCCCAGAGATCAGAGACTCCTCTGGCACAAGCCCATCTAAGCCCTGTGTGCTTCCTTCCTGATTGAGTGTATTTACCACCAAGAAGAGTGACTTCTGAGGACCGGGGTTGGGGAGAGGAAAGAAGTGTCCATGCTAACATCAAGAGGGATATAATCTGGGTGTGAGAAATCAAAGACATGTGCATAAATATTGGCAACAGTGAACTCCATCCACATCCATGATGGACCATACAGACCAGTGCTCACTCGTCCCTTTTGAGTTGCCTCTTGACATTCAAAAG